TATCAGGAGAACAGGAGAGCGAAGGAGGTATCTTGTAGAATGAAAAAGACAAAATTCAGAAAACCAATTTTTATCAGGAGAACAGGACAGCGAAGGAGGTATCTTGTAGAATAAAAAAGACGAAATTCAGAAAACCAATTTTTATCAGGAGAACAGGAGAGTGAAAGAGGTATCTTATAAAATGAAAAAGACAAAATTCAGAAAATCAATTTTTATTAGGAGAACAGAAGAATAGAGAAAGTATCTTGTAAAATGAAAAAGACAAAATTCAGAAAACCAATTTTTATCAGGAGAACAGGAGAGTGAAAGAGGTATTTTGTAGAATGAAAAAGACAAAATTCAGAAAACCAATTTTTATCAGGGTAACAGGAGAATAGAGGAGGTATCTTGTAAAATGGAAAACGACAAAATTGAATTAATTTTTTTTACACATTTTGATTTTTTTTTCATCCTCCCTCCTGCTTTCTCCAATTTTACAAAATACTTCCTTTAGTCTCCTGCAATTCAACAAAATTGCAGCTAATTACGTTAATTGGTTATCTTTCTAATCTAAAAATACAAAATTCCAAATTTGGTGCGCTTGAATGGGCAAATTCACAACTTCCATTTATGGTAGCCCGTGGATATGTTGAAGTGAGCAGGAAAAGTTAAAATTCCATCCAAAAGAGGTGGAGAACAGATGGCGTTGGGCTCCAGAACGCAGTTAGTGCGAGAGAGATGAATAAAACAAGAAAAATTTCAAAGAGTGCAAGAGTGACACGTGCACCCACTTGAATTGTCATCGATAGAAGCACTGAAAAATATTGAGTGGTTGAAATTCCTTTTCTGAGGTGAAAATAATTAGCCCAAATCGTCCCGTGTTCTACCCCACTCTCTCAACTCACTATTTTCCATAAAAAATCACTGATTTTCCCCGACATTTACTCAAATATGTGACGTATTATCATTTGTTATGCCGACAGTTCAAGCATGCTAATCAAGAAACCAAAGAAACAATTGTACAAGACCTTTTTCAAAATCGGTAAGGGATTTCTTCTATTCGAATTGGCACTTGCTGGGGGCTGCTACGTCGTTTGGTCACGGATGAATCGTTCTCAAGGTCAGTATGACTTATCTACCCCTCACATTTGAGGTTAATCGGTGGTAAATATCGTTGAATGACCTCCCTCACTTTCTCAGTCGTCGAGCGATCCAATCTGCTGCAACATCCATATTTCTTCTCCCTGAAATCAAAATAATAGTGAGATTAGAAATTTTCCCCTGTTTTTCAAATATGAATATATTAGCATTTTAATTCCATTTTTCTGTTTGCTTTTTTTTCTCTATAGATTTTCGGCATTACATGTCAGAAAACTGGCCAAGCATTCTTGAAAGCTATTACAGTATTGGGGAGACGATCAGCAGTGAGAATAAAAAGATTAGAGAGTATGATTTACTGACGTGGGCGAATTCAAAGAGTTAGACAAGATAGCAACATTTTTCGATAGTGTGGGTAATAACTTCATCATATATTTTCAAATTTCTTTCCTAAAATCTGCATTTCTGCAACACCCATTGCAATTCTGTTATTATTTTAGCGATTTTCAACATTTGAGGATGAGTATTCATTTGTAAATAACCGCCTAGGAGACAACAGGAATTGACAACAACGGAATTGCTACTCAGACAGTTACCGAGTCGACTGACGGACAGACACCCCCCTTGCGTGTGGCGCCCCCCCTCTCTTGGGGTGTAGTACTACGATACCGCTGGGGTCACTCGAACCCCCAGAACTGAGCCTCTACTTTAGTCAATCCTCTGTGGAGAGCCCTATAATCTCTTAACCTATTCCGAAAACTTGTGTCTGCAATTTCCACCTCCAAAAGCCTTTGAGGCAATTCGATTTTTGTAATTATTAGGGCATTAAAAGTGTTAGGTGGCTCAATTATTGGAATTGTAACCTTATCATTGGGATAATCAACACAAATGCTTAATGGCGGCCGGGAAAATAGTATTTTTACTGGCTAGTGGTACTGGGATTGGCTATGTTTTGATGAAAATTATCACACCGGATGAGAGAAATCTTCCTTTAGAGGTAAACTTCTGGTGAAAATGATCTAAGATCGTCTTGTCAGAAATGTTCTCCTTGCAGTTGAATCATTGAGTTTTTTCAAACATTTAATTTCTAAATCGGTCATTGGGATTGAATAGAATGACGTAAAATATAAATGCGTGAATTTTTTTTTTGCAGAAATTTCCGAAGCAGTCGAACGCCGTAGGATATAACCCCTGGGCGCCCTTTCAGCAAAAATCTAAGCCTATGTCATCCCCAAGTGCAACCTCATCATCTTCCCCTGAGAAATAACCCAGTGATGGAGTCCTCGGAGGTGATAAACAGTGACAGCCTTCCTGATCGTATCAACAAACGTGATCGCGAGCGAAAAACGATAATCGAACGTCGACGAGAAGAAAAACAGCAATTAACCGTCGACAACGAACAGTTGGGCTACTTTAAAGATGCCTTTTACGCTTCATGTAGCCAGATTAAATCCCTCCTGGACTCTGCCCCATCAACCCCCAGCCCCTCCCTCCCCAGTCTCTTCGACAAAGTCAGCAAGGAGGTCCTAACCCTCAAGAATTACCTCTCACAGTCTAAAATATTCCTCAAGGTGTACGACATAAGACGAGCCCAGGAGACTCTCCAACATCTCGAAAACGAAGCGTCAGAGCTCGAGATGAAGCTCCTCCCAAAGAAGAAATTTGGTTTCAAGAACAGAAGAGTTATAAAAAAACCATCGGACACGAAAACTATTGACGTCACTGATGGCCTAAAAGACCTCACTCTCTCCGAAGGAATTGGAAATGGCACCACTAGGCAGAATAACGATCTCACCGGTAAATTCAACGATAGTGCAAGCACAATTACTGGAAAAACTGACCAACGACTCATTCTCGATGTCGAAAATGTCAATAAAAATGATGTTTTGCTGTCGGATTTAACGAGATGTAGAGTTATCATCTATGGAGCACCTTCGACCGTTCACATGGTCAATATAAAACAGTGCACAATCCTCATTGGACCTGTCTCGTCCTCTGTATTTGCCCATAATTGTAATCAATCGACATTTGCTTTTGCCTGTCAACAGTTTCGCCTCCATTCCTCATCTGATTTATCCATCTACCTCCATGTTACGAGCCGAGCAATCATTGAAGACTGCACAAAGATAAGAGTAGCGCCTTACAACTGGAGTTACGAACATCAAGAAAGTCATTTTAAACTAGCTGGGCTCGATGCGAAAGTTAATAATTGGGATTCTATCGATGATTTCAATTGGCTGAGTTATGAGAAACAGTCGCCCAATTGGGGAATCATAAAGAGTGAACAGAGAGTGAAGAATTGGGACTTGTGAAGAAAAACCATGTTTCACGTTTTTATTCGAAAATATTCGGTAAAGTTTGGCGAATTGATTTTGTCATTTATCCGTGTATGTTCGCGCTTTTACAGAAGATTAATAAATGCACGTAATTGATGAGTTCAGCGAGTTGGGATTTAAAATAAATTTCTTACCCTCACCCCCAGAATCTGGTGGATCTCATCGACTCGGCATATGCGCCATATCAACGGCCTGACATTGATACGGCAGTTATGCCTGTTATGGGCGCCATTAGTTTTTCTCTCCATCGAAAACAGAGGTTAGAATCACTGGCACATGTCACATTGTCAAAATGTAAGTCAATCTCCAGAGACTGCACAAATCGAATATGAGATAATAATACTAAATAACAGTCGAGAATTTACCCCTAACACTTTGAAATCAAACTATATATTTTTAATACCATCCCACTACAATGGACACTCACGAAACGCTCCACAGAATATTTGTAAACACCTCTACATCTGGATTTACACTTGTCAGTATTCTCGATCCGTCATTCGAAAACGATCCATTGAAATTCATTCACAAAGTCTTCGATATTTATCAAGCGAGAGTTGAAAAAAATACTGTTGATGATAAACTGCATGAAGCCTTTTACACATTGTTGTGCTACCAGTACCAATTGCACTCTCAAAAGAAAATACACGAGACTGTTAATCACTTTTCTAATAAAAAATTAATGAACAATTTGAGGAAGACTTTGTTCATTTGTGACGACAATAATGAAAATATTAAAGAAGTCTTGTATAATGTCACAGTCCTCCAGATTATTCTTTATCTGAGCGAAGAAAATTTACTGCAGTTATGGAGCGAAGCTTGTGATTTCATAAATCAACAAATTGAAATTGCCAACGATCCACAGACCTATTTTTCCATTATGGAAGTTTTCGCAGACGCGGCTGTCCTGAGAAAGAAATTATTCGAAAAATGCAGAGTGGAAATGCCTGTTAAATTACTGGAGGGAATTAAATGTTGGTTCCAAAAAATCGATGAGAATAAATCTGAGGAATGGACCCCCTTTCTATCACTACTTTTGAAGCTCACAAAAGCAGTGACCTCTCGTCAATTGGTACTCGATACGTTATGGACCTGTATAATAGAATATAATCCACATACAGAGAAAAAATCATTAACGCTTTTATGCGGTATGATAGATGATTTCCTCTCAGAAAAGTCTCAAGATGCTATAAAACTGAACGTCGAGTTCTGCCTGAATGACAAAATTTCACATCTCATTGTCGATCACTTGACATCGAACATCCAATTGTACAGAAAACAAGCGCAATTTATTCTCGACCTGATTACTGATTATCTGAAGGCATATTTCCAAAAAGTCGATGTTACCGATAAAAACGAATCAATTTTGCCCTTCATCTTCTGCAAGGACGGCCTAAATAGCGAAACCATCAAGAGCAAGTACTTCTTACTTCTAGAGAGTTTAGAAGAGAAACAAGCGCATCTAGTCCTCCCTGCAATGAGCCACTTGGACGAACTCCTGGATACAAGTATTACCCACGACCCCTTGCTCAACATCACCTGGGTGAGATGCCTCTTCACTCGTATCTTGAACCACGATAACGATAGAGTAATAAAAGCCGGAATCACTGCACTACTTCGAATGGAACTACGAATTTTCGACGATAAATTTATCACTCTGCTGATTGAAACCCTGAATAAGACATTTCTCTACGAAGATCAGAGCTCAAATCCTCATCCCCAGGTTTTCAGGGATTTATCACAGATGATTATCACAGCAGAGCAGTCCGAAATTAATATCACCAGCAAATTAATCATTGCGGCAGCTAACATTAACTGGGCACCCATTCCCCTTTTTTACATGCTCGAAGCTCTTGGAAATAATAGAGAATTGAAAGCAGCGAAACACAATACTTGGAGTGAAGAGGAATTGGCAGCTCTGAGGATAATAATTGACAAACACGTGAAGAAACAGATGAAAATAATGAGAGCTCCGACATTGATGAATATCCTCAAGTGCATTACGATTTACGTGAAATCCACATCGGATTTAATTAATCTGGGTAAAATATTTTATTCTATCGCCAGTGATAAAGTACTCAAACGTGGAGATGATAACTGGAGGCTGATAATGGATTATTTGAAAGAGAATATTACGGAGAAGCTTGCATTAGAAAATACAACTGAGGGCTTCGCCCTTTTGAAGAATGGTAGCGAAAATACGAGTGTTGAAGCCCTAGCAATATTAATTGTTCTTCTGTGTGACACTGGGAATATATCAATCGCAAATAGCTTACGTGAATTATTCATTCCACTGATTAATTCGTACAAAAGGCCATACGCTAATTTCTCGGTTTTATCTAAAACCTTGAAAATGATCACTTGTCTGATAAATCTTGCACCCCGAGAAAATGATGCTTACGTCATCGCAATCTGTGAATTTTCTCAGTCGATATTCGAATTAATTATGAGCAGTTTGAGATCCAACTGGCCCAAAACGTACGAATCAGCTACAATTTATGTGGAGGCACTTGGTGCTATTCTCAAAATTCGACATTTATCTCCTACTTTATCTGCATTAATTAACGCCAAGATTAATGCTAAAGACGATGAGCTGGAAGAAATTGTAGGTCTCATTAGTAAGAGAGACACTCCTCTTATTCGATTGTGGTACACATTGCATATATTATGCTTGATTGGAGATAAAGGCTGTAACTTTATTTTTTATAAGCGTCTTCCCAGGACATTTGCTACTGAAGGAGACGGAAAAATCGTCTCTGAGTGTTACGGTCGGATGGCCTATATTTATTATTATGTAATTGCACGAGAGGAAAAATTGTCTGGAGAATTTGTTGATGAATTCTTAACAGATAAAATTGCTGCCCTGACATCAGCCAGATCTGACCATGCAATCCCAGCAATTACTGCAACTCTACGTGAGATCATAATTAAATTGGCCAATTGTGTCGAAATAATTGAAAGACAGACTCAAATCATTAAAGATATTATCGCAGATTTGTGGCAGAATTTGTGGGATATGAATAAAACCTCTGAATTTTGGGAGTCTGCTGCACAGTTGATGCAGTTGTTATTAAATGAAGATTTCCTCGGTGTGATAGAATTCCGAGAAATATCTGTATATTATGTCAATGACATTATTGCCAAGACAGATAATACTTCACCACTGAGATGTATGCTTTTTACACAGATGATGCACCTCTCAGGCGATAATATCATAATTTTTAGTGATTCGATATTGTCTTCTTTTCTGCAGACAGACATTGGAAAAATTAATAAGAGAATCGAAATGCAGACATGCTGCTATATTTTGAAAAACCATACAATCGATATTTTGGATGAATACTTCAAATCGGGACTGGGAGTTTACACAGATGTGATAACTCGAGCAGCCTTAGTAATATTAATGGCAAGAATGGATAAAAAGAACTCGGCAAATTTTCATGATTGCGTCCAACAACTCCTCTCAATGTTCAAGAAATTGGAAGGCAAGAGATACTTTGGAGATTCGAATGTGCACAGGGTGAAGCATCGAATAATGCAAGGAATTTTATTAATTCAAGAGAATATCCTCGAGGATGATATCGTATCAGTTCACGATACTCTGTGCCATTCAATTTTAATTGAGAGCGATCAGCCAAGTGTTAGGATTATGAAAGAGTGGTGCCTTGTACTGATTTATACGAAAAATGCATCATTATTAGATCGAATCTGGGATCTTTTTCATTTAGCTCGTGAAAATCGACCAGGAAGCCTTACATCTGTTGTATCAATCGTCTATCACCTAGCCCAGACATTATATCCCTCCTCTGAGACATTGAAATTCCTCGAGAAGGCTGTAAGCCACATTCTACCTGGCTGTTTCTCTCAACAATTTATTGTTCGATTATATTCTCAGGTGATATTGGACAAATTGTTAAAGATGATGGACATGAGTTTACCTGAGCACACTGATAAATATGAAAGCATTAAGAATGCTGTGAAGGAAAGTCTTCGATATGGAAATTTGATGACTAATTCTGTCAAGTTACTTGAAAATTTTTATTTTTCGATATTTAATCCGAATAGAAATTTGAGCCTACAGAGCATTTTCCATGAAGTTCCACGATTGACGAATGTTTCAATGGATGAGTGGATCACGACCAAGATTTTTCAGTCATTACAATCGACAGGAATATCACAGCTGGGATTCAGGATTTCTGATATTCAAGGGGACTTGAGTACAGTCGAAACTCCAGCAGAGTTGAATGAACCTGGGATTGTTGAATCATCTTCATGCCAAAATGTTTTGACTGATATTCAGAAAAAAATAATGCCATCCACATCAGGGTCAACCCCACTGACGACGAGACAGAAATTCATGATAAATGATACTGGTCTAATCGTGATTGCCAGTTTGATCGAGGGTCTGCCTAATCTGGGAGGACTTGCCAGGACAGCAGAAATTTTTTGTGCAAGAGAACTGGTTCTCAGCAGCAAAAGATACATTGAGAATAAAGACTTCCAGAGTCTGAGTGTTACTGCAGAGAAATGGATCACAATATCAGAGGTGAAAGCCCATGAATTACGCGATTATCTACTGGAGAAGAGATCGATGGGTTGGATATTGGTTGGTGCAGAGCAGACAGTCAATAGTATCAATCTTATTGACATGAAGTTCAATGAGAAGACAATTCTGCTGCTAGGGTAACTATTTCTTTGTCTAGGTTTTAATTGACAAAATAAAAAATTTATTCACTTACTTGGTTATATTTTCAGAAACGAGAAAAATGGGATACCAGCGAATTTGATTCAATTAATGGATACGTGTGTAGAGATCCCTCAGGCAGGAGTTGTTCGATCACTTAATGTACACGTCACTGGAGCTCTTTGTATGTGGCAGTACGCACAACAACATATTTTTTCACTTCTCTAATTATTCACATCACTTTTTAATCATTCACTGTAATTTAATTATAAATATTCTGAAATAACTTGAGACGATCACTTAACACCCCGTGCTCCCATCTGTACTGCTCGTCTGCTCGCCTACTAACTGATTCATTGTCCGAATGGGTGCCTTTTCTGAGAATCGAATAGAAACGGAATTGTTGTCAAACATTTGACCTTCGGGAGCGACCCGCTCCGCCCCTCGATGAAATATCAAAACAAAGGGGACGATTTCCCACGTCTTCCTGTGATCCTGTTCCACGCCCCCAATTAATGTTTTCATGTCCTTATTGGTTACTATTAAAAAGGCTGATACCTCTTCAATTATTTTGATATTCATTTTATATAAAATCACAGGAAAAATCCTAAGATCGATCCTCTTAAGATAGGGGGGTTATTCGGGCAAGGTTTAAATAAGTTGACAAATGAACTTCTCATAATCACAACAAATGTTATAATAAACCATATTTTTACAGTCGCTGTTACATTGCAGAACGAACAAGTTACATTATTCGACGGAATTATTTCATCATCCATTATCCATTTTTCAATAATAAAATAATCGATATTTCTTAAACTCTCTCACATAATTATATACACCTACTCTCCTCTCTTCCTTCTCAATAATCCTGGCGATGCTCATACCTTAATATCTTAGCATCAAATGAAAGCAATGAGAAAGAGAGGTAGAGAGAGAGAGAGAGAACTGAAAATTTTCCCAATAACGAGAAAATAATCAAGTAGAACGTAATGAAAAAATTTGTACAGAAGACGAGTTAAGATACCTTCGACCAACCCCTCAATTCTCCAATGGCAATGATTCTCCCCCTTTTTACATTTACGTATTGATTTTTTCTTAAGTACACAAATTGCGTAAGTACCAGTTGTGCTTGAAGAGTGATTCCTACTCCATTTACTTAACTTTTGATTTATTGTACGTCTTTGTTAATTCACCTCGAGTTCTCCCACCTGATATTCCCATCAGATCTCCATCGTTACAGCACTCTTGACAATAATTTAATAGTAATTAAACTAATTAACAATGAGAGAGACAGAGAGTGATTTCTTTTTTTTTTCGTCACGAGAAACGATTTTTTTGTCGTTATCCTTCGTGAAGACACTGAAGCTTTTTTTTTTCATCATTTCTTTTACTTCACTAACAATGAAATAGTCCCGGTGATGAGGGCGTGTACTCATCACCGAGAGGAATACTATTTTCGTTTAGGAATGTAGTAAATAGGTGCAATAGCGTGCTGAAGATGAAACCGAGATAAATCATACAATAGAAAAGAAAGAAAATCAAGTTCAATATCTGCATTAGTTTAATATATATCAATATTTTTTTGCAAGTCTTACCGATTATCGTGAGCGCTCAGCAGCTCAGGTAAGTACGTGGTAAAATCAATCACTTCCACAATTGGAAAATGTAGGAAAAAAAAATTCAATAGAATAATCTAACGAATGCCATGAGTTTTTCTTCGAATTATTTTCGTGCGTATCATCCATGAATTCAATTCGTAATTTTTTCCAATTCATCCCCCCCCCCCACGATTTACAAGTTAATTCATAGATAATTAAATAACTAATGTTTTTATGTACAACGCGTATAAGAAAGTTGGGAAGCGTCCAAGAGAGATGGAATTTTTCCTGTAGAAAAATTCTCATCGAGTTTATATTTCACTCGAGGCAGTCATTCATATCCACCATTTGTATTTATCCCATCGTTTTTTCCTCATTTTTCTTACAATTTTTCTAAATTTCCGATAAAAAGATGATCCAAAAGGGTGCGCCGCTAGTTCTTATCCTCTGGGTAGAAAGCCACACGACGCCAATACTGATAAAATTCACGTACATGGTGGAGCAAAATCGACCATCAGATGTCATTAATTTTAATACTAATAGCTCCCGTTTTGCCCCACCCCCCACGACGTCATCAATCATTATATTCATATATATAATATATATTTGTTTTGTTTGTAACAATGAGCCCAACGGTTAATAAATCAATTATCGTTAACTCGATCAAATACTGTACGAGTATTCTCTTTATAATTTCATTTCCATGCCTGTGATTATCTATTTACTCATATAAATCGATTTTCTCTAGGAAGGAAGCCTAAGTACATCATTATGCATTCTCCTCTCATCATTTTTGCATTAATCAACGTCGTGCAGAGGTTTGATGGTGCATATAAATATAATAATCCTCACCTCATTTTTATCATCGGAAAAAGCACTAAATTAATGGTGTCTCCCAATATCTTGAAATTTATTTTACTCCTTTTTTGTTCATTCTCATTTTGCAATTACCAATTTAAACCAGCCGTTTTTTTTTTCTTTTTTTTTTTGCGAATTGCAGTAGTACACATATGCGGCGCCTTAAAGCGTTTATATAAACAAGTGCCGCTGATCCTCGACTGGAAGCGGTTGGTCATAAGCTTATTTGTTGCACTTTTTTTCATTAAGTTATTTTTGTTTAGTCATAACTGTGCTATTGTGCGCTTCTAAGACTAGCTGAAATGTATACCACAGTGCACGGTTATTCCGGATTATATTTATTTCGAAAATGAGCCTTTTTTTCATCACCGAAGTGGAGAAAATGGTTTGGGGTGAGAGAAAATTGAGTTGTTGAGCTTTGCTAATGAATTATTTCTCAATTGGGATGTTATATTTGTTTGTTCGTAATGCCTGTGGAAATATTGAATAGAAAAGTCTAGAAAGCCCAAAAACATCTCACCTCTAAGAGTCCTCCTCTCCTAAATATACTTTCTGTAGAAATCAGCAATGCTGTTATTAAATTCCGGACGCTACAATTGCACCTGAAAAGCTTGTGTTGCATTTGGAACGATAAATGGATTAGTAGCAGCGTTTGCTTGCCTAAGATTTCTCGCAGCGATTTCCGCCCATTCGGCATCGAAGGGATCATTGGGTCGGGCCCCAGTTGAAGGAGAAACACTTGCTGAACCCAGAGAAAGAGCTCGTGCGTGTAGAGGAGGTGCTCTTCTCGGTGTCTGAGAAGGTGCAACGGCTCCGGTAACACTTCCAAGCCACTGATCTGGTCTCGGGAGATCTGTCGTCGTGATTTTTTCGATTGCGCTGGTATCAGTGGAAATGGTCGTAGAACCGCTGACATTCGGTGAACTTGTCACTGGAGTCATCTGATTCATGGGGATGGGAGATCTGTTGACGGTCGAGGGAATAGAACTCCCCATGGAGGAGGTTGAGGCTGTGCTGAAGGCTGGACTGGCTGTTGGGGGTGTGCCGAATGGTCCTCCACCACCCTGGAGGGCTGGCGTTGACGTTAACGTCGAGGCATTTAATCTACTCATTATGGGAGTCAAGTTACTGGTAGAATTGAGAACCGGAGTAAGACGGGAATTCGTCACCACTGGGGATTGACCGTCTCGCCAGGTTACCTCCACTTGCGTTGTATTTATTGTGACGTTAATTTCTTCATCATTGTTGTTATTGTTTGCATTTTTATTTATGTTGTTGTTCAAGGTGCTTGAACCATTTTGCAGATTCAGGTCGTCGAGGGATGAACTAGTTTTCACTGGAAATATATTTTTTTTTCGTTTTCACTAATGATAGGGATGGCTAATGGCCAAGGAGATAATCCGTTAGATTGCATTTTCAATATAGATAATTATCTGTATAGCTTTCCCACATTTTTACAGCTCAATTTTCAATTAGTGTGACGAAATGGGCATAAATCCGATAATGCGACTAAAATTATTACCTTGGGTCGTTGTGGTGGTTGTAAATAGTTGCTCAGTCACTGAGTTCAGCGCCGAGTTTGATGGCAGCGGTCCAAAGTCATCTTGTCTCGATAGGAGTTGGAGATCATGGGATATATGTGCACATAGCGCCGAAAGACTGTCCTGTCCACTGGGCGATATCTCAGGTATCGGACTCACTGAAATATCAATCCACCACCCTTTAAATTCGCTTCTATCATATGCACGAAACAATTTCGTACACAAAAATTTGACGCATTCGTTGAGAAAATCCCATTGAATTTCTGTAAGACTTTCATCAATAATTTTACTACGTTTCAGTTGCAGCGAGTGCGAAAAGTTTTTCAATGAAATTTTTTCATACAGGTCGCTCTGTCTCATCGACTTCTGAACAAATGAAACTATTGTTCCTTCGTTCGGAAGTGAGTACAATAGAGGTTCTCAGCGCGACAAAATTACTGGAGATGGGGATACTTTGTTTGCTACTGGGATACTAATACTTGACGATAAGAGTGTGTAACATTGAGGGAAATAATTAGCGTAATGAGAGAATGACCTTCGCCATATCCATCAAAGTCTGCTTTGAAAGAAAAATCCAAGCGTTAATTCTAAATTTTTTTCAACAGAATTGAGTCGAAAAAAACGCTCGACGTTAAATAGATTAATGGATGAAATCAATGAAATCCCAATGGGAACAATTTCTTGATTGTTGTGAGTTAATAAATATTTACCGGGAGGTCTGAGGGGCATTATGTGCGGCAGGGGCGGCAGGCGTGTGAGATCGGTGGGCTCTAAACTATGGCTACGTGTTCGCTCCAAATTGCTGGGAAGATCATTGACGCGCAGACTCAGTTGTCTTTTGAATGGTGATGCTTGATTCAATTGATTGAATCCACGGAATGACCCCTGACGCTCCAGCATCGATGGGGTCGCATGCGGTCGTTCTATGGCGAAAGGGTTGTGCACTTGTCTAACTGGTGGAACGTCTGTAATCCCATATAATTTCATCATGTTATTCCCCTCATCAATATTATAGATATGAAAATATATGAATATTTAACGTACCAACTGCCCTTTCTCGACTATCCTGCAGCCTTTCAGTGAGACTCGGTTGCCTGAAACTGCCACTCCTCGTAAATGTCGAGGTCCTGGTGTCAAAGGTCATGGTGACACTGCACTCTTTGTCCCTACGCTGCTTCCGCTCCAAACACGCAGCAAATGCACATCCCACTGCGTGACTCAATCTTTCTCCCTTTAAATCACAATTATAAGCTCGTCGGTGAACAAATAATTTTACCGTCGAAGAGGTGGAAATGAGGGGACAAATAGATATTTTTACAAATCGTTAAACAACCTGAGCATGAAGCCAGTATGTAACCTTGTCCAAACCGAAGATAAACAAAAACCTCATAATGAAACAAGTACAGGTGATCTCATTCCTGTGCCACTCGTCCGTAAAAACCACCGGTGAATGCAAATTAATCATAAGAAACGTTGAATCACACCGTCTATCAATAATTATTTATAATCATGCAAGGGAGCAATAGAAGGAGCCGTTCTGCATCGGAATTTGTCTGAAAAAAAAAAAAGGAATGACTCACCGTCTCTTTGAGTGCCAAGAATCCATGACACATCCAGCGTTTAGTGGTCCCATCTCTGCAGATGTAGCTGAAGCCCTTCTCGTGATTTCTATCAGGTGCACAGAAAGAGACTTTCTCGATAGTTTGATCGACAATGAGACCCTTCGTTTCATCTTCCACTACCCGCAATCCATCCCCCGACACATGGAGAATCGCCCTCACTGGCCTTCTTCTTGAATTCTATCGAAATTCCACATAAAATACCAATATTGAGTCTTGTTTTTTTTTTTAACATAAAACTGCAATCGTTATGTCAAATGATTCTCACCCTCAGAACTTTGAGAGCCTCTTCGCAAACCTGCATTCCCCTCGATTCGAACACTTCCACGCAACCTAAATACTGCAAAAAAAAAATGAATTCAATCGATGATTAATGGATTTTTAAGAGGTGGTATTGGTGTTTAGATGAGCCAGCGAATGACTCACTTTAACGTGGAATGCACAAGTAGCAGATCTCACAGCACTTTCATCGGATTGCCACTGATGTGGTTTACTAGATTCTGGGATATGCGCATCTTTCCTTCTCCTAAAACTATCCCTGAAACTTCTCCTCAGTCGATCCATTCGTTTACCAGGTGATCTCCTCTCTCGTTTCTGCAAATAACCGTTGAAAAAAAATCATCAGCACAATTATTTCTCAATAAAATTTATCATTCCCACAGCGTTCGGATAATTCTTGAAAAATTCTCCCAGAGGGTTGAAAGGTTCAGAGGCAGGGAATATCAGAGTCTGCAGTCGAAAAGCCTGTGATCGAATCTTGAGGCCAGTTCCCAAAGAATCTTTTTATAATAGGTTTTTACCCCTCGGGGGGCTTTATGAACGACGACGAGAATCTCCCCTAATTCAACGGCATATCAATCCCCTCGGGGGATCGAGCTAACTCCGAGGGTAAATCGCAAGGGCTTCATCAGGCAAGTCTCAACTCAATCTCAGGATATTTTCATCATCAAAGACTAAATATCAAATGCCCTGTTTTTATTAAGAGACGAGATTAACGGGGATGCGATTTAATTTTAGCGATGGATACGTGTTGAGCCGAAGAATTATAAAGGCATGACGGGTACGAAAAGCCCATGAAAATGGTATTGATGTAACGAACCAGGAGTTGTAAACGGTGAAAGCTTCGCCGGATGTCAACCCATCCCACACGCGTCTTCTCATCAGTCCCTCCAATCCATTGAACCGTTACCACGATAATCGATACGAGACGAGGTGGAGACACATAAACCCTCATGTAACCTATGTAGAGGCAATTTTTCAAACTCATTAGGGAGTGGGACAAACTACCTCAAGCATTAAATTGTTTCGACGTTATTATGAGGAGTATGCATTATTCTTGGGCTTCGACGTGGCATTGCGTTACTCATTCAACGACCCCTGGTGATGACTCAGAATGTCAGGAATTTCTATATCGAATGAATGCTGGAAGAAATTTTAAACGGTGCGGGGAATAGGGTTCAGGTTCGCTCGTATAACGTATGACGAATTTCAATGGAAAAATCCATCTAAAACCCCCTGTCTCGATATTTTATCATGAAATCATTGCCAGATTCAAATTTAAAAATAGCAAGATGAGTTTAAGATAAATACTTGTACAGAATAAGTACTGGAATTGCAGTAGTGTGTACATCTGACACTGACTCTACTAGCTGTAATCCTTTCACCATTGGTCTTGGGTGAGCAGGTGCAATGCATGCGAGAAAGTTAGTACAAAAGTGGAATGCTGGAAAACACATTGCCATATGAATTGATGCCATCAGTCACAGTAGTATCCATTGTCACAATATCCCGTCAACTACACGTTATCCTCGTTACTCTCGTTTTACTAAGCCCCTCACATAAAAAACAAACACTTGCTCCTACCAATTGACATTTAACTCCTTTTTTTATAACTTCCAAAACTTGGATATGTACAAAATGAAGAGCCTTCTTCTGATAAATGATGGAGATACCAGTTATCCTTGAGTCGAATCCCGAGGTACGAAAACCTGTTGCGGGAGCTCGTCGAACCGTACCATCGGCTTTTACACATTTTACGATAGTTTATCAAACCCCATGTATCGTCCATCGATTCATCATCAATATCGACTTTTACTATAATATGATTTCAATAAATTACCTCCATAGATTCTTCAAATTTTATATTCAATTTATCATCAACATAATAAATACTCTGATAAATTGCTTCAGCATAAATGTACACACTTTCTCAAGCAAAAACTTATGGCAAAAATGTGGAAAAAAAATTCTCTCCCGTCCCCTCTCTACGAGCAAAATTACGCAATGACAACGTCATACTCTAGCCTATGGTTGCATGAAAAATGCTAGCATCACGCGATATGTCACAAAAATTGAGAGACAATTTTTTCAACAATCACCTCGTTCATCCTTAACATCAAATTACCCCGAGTCATTTATCCTCAAATTACGGGAAAACCGAAAAATCAGCCTTTTGTTTTGCGTCATAAAAGGTAAAAATTGCATCTACACACGACGATTTCTAGTCGTTACGTTTCCCACCCGGGATTTTTCGAGATAATATATGTTTTATTCGATGAACAGTAGCATGGATAAGACTTGATATTTTCGCTGTAACTAGACTTGGATGTCCTTGACGTGGGCATAATGATCTGACTGTCGATTGCACAGCGAACGAGGCGTGCGAAAAAATGGAATTATTGTTCTCTACCCACGTCCCGTTACCTTTTCGCTCTGCCAATTTTTTTTTTCGCACCCAATGGTCTGTCAATTTGACGGGGAAGGAGGAGGAATTGTCGACGTTAAGGGAGGGTTTTATTACGTGCAGAGGTGAGTTGAGAGCCACTGGACTGTGGAACGTGGGAGTCGCGAGGGATAAGAATAAAAAAATTGTCGAGACCCAATAGACTGTATCCCTCTGTTCCCTCAAATTTATTATTCAAAGTGACAAAATGTCCTAATGGTTCGGCAAAAAAAACATACAGATCGAAAGTGAAGAAGAAAGTCCTACAAAATCGATTTACCATAAAAACATAACAGAAAAATGAACTCATCGCCCCTTAAAAAAAGTCTCAAAATTAACTCGAGGATGAGGAAAAAATATAGTGACGGAAGAGAGTATTTTCCGGAGGAAATTTCATGAAAAGCAGATGCTGTTAGAGACTCCTGCCTGCACAGCTGTCTCATCTCCAGCAACATACTTCAGAAGACATCTGGAAGGCACCCAATACTATTCGGCCCCAAACAAAAAATCCAATACAACATTCAATTCCTGAATATTGTACTCTACATTTCCGTCAATTAAAAAATTAAGGTAGGTTATTATTATTCGTATTTGAATATTCACTGGTTTTTCATTGTTTGCCAATTATAAAGTGAATAATATGCATTTAGCTGACGCATCCTCCTTGCACAATTCTTCATTTACAATGAAACAAAAAAAAAACATACCGATAATCTGAGAACATTTCCCCCATAGCTGGTAGCCCTTTCGAGTGGCTGATGAGCGGACGGATGATTGCCCATTTTGTCTCCGATTAAAGCACCCTAATTAACCACCTCAAGTCTTACTCAAGTCACCAAAAAAGTCCACGTTAATCCACCTCCTCTCACCTCGTCGAATGTTTTCACAACGTTTAGTAACTCCTCGCAACACAAAACTGATATCCACTGAGAGTTGTGATTTCATTCAATAAATTTCAATGCACAACAACCGCCAAACCACTGAGTCAGTCCCATGTTACCCGGACATTTTCCCCAAATATTGCCTTTTCATGGAGAACACTAACCAACTGATAATCAATCGATCGGCGATCGACGATCGATCTCCACCGCCACTCGGACGTCCACTGATCCAACAATTCACTGCACGCGCTCACCCAACCTCTGCGCAAGCCCACAAGATCCCCTACTCACTATCAACAGAAAATTACTCAAATTCTTCATTCACTATTCACAGGCAAGAGCCGGCTTTTCCAAATAATTGGGAAGAAACAATGAGAAATTCTTGAGAAATTCGAATTTCAAGAAAGTCGTAACAGGACGCGCGACAGGTAGAAAAGCCCTCGCGTAATATAAGAGTGATAGCCTTTCTCCTTCAAAAACTGGTCATACTCGTTCAGACCATGTAAAACCCCAGGTCTAACTGACGTCACGCCCTCAGCAGAAAGAGTGGGATTGACCGGTCTCTCCAGGTTCTCTCTCGATCATGAGAGTTCATATTCTCCTGTCTTTCTCAGACGAAGCCCTCCAAGAGCTTCCAACTCGTTCGATTCCACTCATTTTCTCCTCCTAACAATGACAATTGCCCTTTTTTCCCTTCTTTTTTTTTTCTCTCTCGAGATTTCAGCGTGTCGAGGTTTCCAAATTTAACTGTTATTTTCCCCACGTTCCCACGTTTTTCCGTTGGACTGGCGTCACGCTCAAGCACCTTCCGGTGACCCCACCGGAACTTAAAGTACGTTTCGAATGTCCAATACTTGGCGAGATGATCAACTCAACAACTGCTCAATTTCACTAGCACATTTTTCTATTTAAATTTGGCGAAATCACTGCACTAATTTTTCTCGGATGAGCACAGTTGCACAGGTGGATTCGCGGCGAATTGTGAATTGTCGAAAGAGAGAGATTTTGGTAGAAGAGAAACAGTGGGGATTTTTTTTTCTTCACTGCAATTCTTAGATGAGTTTTCTACTCCAGAGGATGAGGAACACTCGACACGCGCTACCCCCGAACCCCCGCCCACAGTGGTATTACAGAAAGAACTGGCTAGCGTTTGTAATAACGAGAGGCCTCAATACTTGGAGAGTTTCACCCAAGTCGTCGGTTACAGGGACGGATGTACTTGGTGCTGTACCCTTCGTGCGACACCTCCTTTCCGGGGCTGGGTTTCATCCACTACCGGAGGGTTGAGAGGGCGCAGGGGTTGAAGATAATGTCTGGGTGTTGGGTTTTGGTGGAGGTAAAATTTAAAAAATTTTTCAACAATTTTTGGCGAAGGAATTTTTCAGATTTTAACACTCTTCAGGGCCTGCAGTTGAGGAGTGGGGGTAAAACAGGGACAGGTACGGGGGTTGCACATTTTGAAAAGTAGAGAGAGTGGGGTGTGCAGCTGCTATGGCAAATGGGCTTGGACATCTGCTGATGGGACAAAACGAAAATCCGATGGATGAGAATGGGTTTTTATCAGGGAAAATTCAACGGGAAATTCGGTACGAGTCATTCACGAGTCGATTGATAAATTTCCGATCGATTTTTTTCTCCCACTTAAATTTTATTTTACTCCACACGAATACGAGAATATTTTGTAATTACATTACTATTTGAATATTTTTTAAAATTAAAATTGATAATAGTAGACTGAAAGAAGAATGAAGGCCAATGAATAACCCACTTGTCTGGACGACTAATTAACACTTTCGAAATGAAAAAAAAAAAGGATATTCTCACAATCATAAATATTACATGGTGATATTACAGCGAATAGGGCAGCATATGAGTAAACGATGGAAAAATATTCTCACGAGTTGCCATATGGACCTTCACGTGCACCTATGTAGCATAGAGCAACACATGACACGCTATGTAATCCCTTAACTTGAGTGGATTGTCACGAAGCAGTTACATAGGTAACAAGCTCAGTGAAATAGCGTCTATGGAATAACGTACGCGGATGGTTTAGGATTGGTCAAGTACTGGGGTCATGCCACTTCGTTGTCAACTACATCTGTTTTGATTGAGCTAATCGTCTCTGACACGCGCTATTGCACTTCAACGCCCTAACTCAATTAATACAACCAAAACCTGCACTTTGTACTATTATACAAATGTCTTTCAACAAAAATTCAATATACCCATTAATGAATTAATCCGACAATGCAATTTGATAATTTGATATGAAGATAATTATTTTTTTCCTAAAAGAAAAAAATTATATTTCCTTTGGTATCCACCTGAGCAATTTGTCAGTTGCACATGCACTTGAATCGATACTCCTCAACTCACACGGATACACCGACTGCACAACCATCAATTGAATTAGTGACAGGGACAATCGAATAATGTTTGATGCGATGGAGTGACTCTGACCTTTGACATGAACATATGAATATGTATTACAGGTTTTGGTATCGTGATAAATAAGCGCGTTGCACCTTCCATTCGGTTTCTTATTGTTGGAAACGTAGACACATCTTTCTGGAAAATTTATTAATACACCGACGCTGTTGGATGGTGTTCGAGGGGTCAGATGGAGAGAAACGGAAAAAAGAATGACGGGGTTGATATGGAGTGCGAGGAGGGTTCCCACGACACCCTGTGCTCAATCTACCTCTCTCAGCGTATGGGAAACTAAATTCAGAGGGGTTGGAATATTTCTGTTGTACAACGCCACGGTCAATGAATCGTATTGTAACCGGTTGGCGCTCCAATTATTCGCTCTATACGACACTCGTCCTTAAATCGCCAATTAAACCGGATTTTATTAACCATCTTTTAATTACCTGTTTTCTCATTATTTTCATAATTAAAAAAAAATATTGAAAAAAAATCATTTTTAATTGGTACAATTAATTGACGCGTTATTTTTCATCCTTCAATTTATTCCCTCAATTATCGGAATTTTATGGATTATCGAGCATGATTACATGATGACTATTTGTCGATTCACAATTCGATCGATTAATCATACAAATTAGCATAATTTCGAATTTACATCGAGTTAATGTTTGTCGAAAGTGAGGTAACAATCTAGGATGATCCAACTCCCGAATCGATAATAAACTTGGCAAGATCCGTAAAAATCAATAGCATTTAACAATACATACTATTAGTGTGAACTATGAGAAATCGATGAAAATTCCGCAGGAGAAATGATCGCCAATGAAGATCATGCAAAAGTGCTTCAATTAATTAAACAAAAATTAATTATTCCCCCATGCTATTTAACCGTGCAGTCTGAACAAGGTTAATTGACACAAGTGGCCGAACCCTCAGTGAACATCACTGATTCTTGAGTCAAAATGGTGTGATATCAATGCACTATATAAGCAGGCGTATGAATGTCGTCAATGCTACAGTTGTCACATCTAAGCAGTTCAGAGCAACAATGAAAAACGCGGTGATTGTGTGCGCTATTCTCCTCATCTCGGTAAGTCTTAAATCTACCATTTTTTTTTAAATTATTTATGAGGAAAATTGTAGGAGAGTTCAATAATTTTGAGGTGCAATAAAATCCTTGGATATTCTGTTACAGGGGACCCAAGCCTCTTTCATTGGGGACTCAGTGACGGCGATTCAAGAGAAGATCGAATCTGGAATCGATGCTGCCATCAAGCAAGTTCAAGAGATAGTGCAAAGTGCACAGAAAAAGGCCCAGCAAATTGGTGAGGATTTGAAGGTGGAGGCTGAGGCCATCGCTCAACGCACGTACGAGCTCATTCGTCAACGACTTTCAGAAGTAATTACTCGTCAGATCAATTTTTTTTTTCTCATCGCGAGATATTTTTCGAAAGGGATTTATATTTAAATTTTAAATATCGCAACAGATTGACGAGAGGATCGTGAATATTACGAGCGTAGCCGGAGTCGACGTGGATGAGTGTATCAAGATCGGCGAGACCCTGGAAACCCCGGTCCTCGCATCAATCTCCAACATGAGCTCATGTGTCGTTGAGAAACTCCAACTGGGGAGCGGATACGTAGAGAGCATGGTGGCTGTCTCCAATAACGTTATCGAAACCCTCAATAATCTCAGGGAAGAGGCTAGGAATTGTTCTAATGAAGTTGATGGAGTCAAGGGTGCAACTAAGGCTATTCTTTGCGCTAATGTTGTAAGTAACTCCGAGAAATAGCGGAATATGATAACTATTTGTTTCAGGACGAATGGACGAATGGACGAATGTTGTTTCCGGGATTTATCGACTTGAATTATTTCGTTGTAGGCTGCAGCTAAAGCAACATGGGCAACGGCTAAAGGTGTCCCGTCAGTAACAGCCTCTGTCGCTAAGCTCTCATATCTCTTGGGTACGCTCCACATAACTCTTCCCTACTGCACCGCCCAACGTGGATTTATTTCTTTGGTACGTGAGTCTGACCGAGTTATTGCTGAGGTGCGAAGCTGTGTAGACCGTAAAATCATCGAGAGCAAACCGTCTCCATCTTCATCCGCATCTCCACTACCAGAACTGCCCCCACAGCTCTAAATTAATTGAAACCCTAATGTATCCCCTAATGTATCCCCAAATTTTATGAAAAGAAAATAAAAATGCATTGCGGTGAGAGGAATTCTCAAAATCTCTATAATTCCTTGCTGTCTTCTATTCTAGCATGGTTTTATCGATAAGAAGCCGTCAAGTGGAGGTGCATTTCTCTGAATAAATGGCGACGCCAAATTAAGCATTCGACCTAACCGCACTGGAGACAGTGTTTGAGGTCAAACGATCGGAAGAGACCGATCGACCGATTGCATGAAATGCTAATGCAAATGTAAATAGCTTTACGAATAAATAATCCGGGACAGCGCGTACGCCAGTCCCGACTATCAAAAATTATGCGCACGATATACCCAGTTTGGGTATTCGCAAGGTTCAGCCCGAGCCGATGGTGCAATGGCCCGGGCCTCGCCCAGAAGGAACCGCCTTCTTGATCACGGTATATCCTCCACGCCAAGTAAGTTATGAATTTATCACCCCATTAAATAACTTTTATCACATTTTTTCATTTATTTCGATCGTGGAAAATTCATTTTGCATAGAGATCTCTAGCGGGCAAAATGCTAATTCATATTATCAATTCTATACTTTTACTGGGAGAGATTTTCATTTGTTTCCTCATTTAATCGACATCTACAATCAAACTCCTGGAGATCGGCATTTTTTTTTCGAATTTTGATTAAGTCTCGGCTTTTCAAACAACTAGAAAGAGATGACAGTAAGATTTCCATCGAATTGAATTATGGGAAAAATCAGGCAATTAATTTCGATGCAATGAAGGCCATCTGTCATCAGCCAGGTAATTGCATGGCAGAAAATTTTCCAATGTGCTACATAAACAATAACAAACAACTGGATAATCAGCCGTGGCCGTTAAAAGCTCGTTAAATAGTTTGATTTTACCCAACTAGTACGATGTTTTAATCTGGCAAGCAGCGAAATTTGTTTATCTCGATTTTATGCTCCTTCATTACTTTAATTTCCGTCACGCTTTTACGAGTCGTTGCATCACGAACTCGGCAACGTGATGGTAACTGTTTCATAATGTCAGACACCAATGCATCGGCACAAAAACCAAATCGTAACTGCAGTTTATTCACTACCATTCCAAATAATCATCCAAATTATTCTACAAACGTCAATACTTGGGGAGAAAAATTCAATGAAATAACAAGAAGAAGAAGAAGAAGAAGAAGGAGAAGAAGAAGAGGAAGAGTCTTCTTGTGGAATATAATTTCCTCGAGGAGTTGGAAATTGAGTTTGTCAATCGAATTGTATGAATGGACTAAAAACACTCACTCGTGAATCCGTAGAAAATTCAGTGACCAACTCAAGCAAATGAATATTGAGAGGAGTTCGGAGGGAGAAAGCTGAGGTGAACCGGATATGGATTGATCAGTCAACTCGTCGAGATTAAATTTCTGAGAGGACAACTTCCAGGCGGAAATCAACAATCTTCAGTTTCGTTGTGGAAAATTCATATTTATTGGAACCATCGATAATTGAGTTTACACGAGCTCGTTTTATGAGAGTGGGAAGGACTTAGATAGCCCGAAATGTTCGGCTCTCAATTGGTGTTTGAAATGGTACTGGAAATTTCTTGGAAAGCTGAGGTGTACGTCGATCGATACCGCGTCCAATCCACCGCACCACGTGGGGCCCCCCCATGACGTCATTCGACAAAATAATCTACAATTCGAGGATCAAGGTCACCACTGCGGCAGAACGAAATCGCGAGGCTTACTGTCGCTGTTTATCTAAGAAGTTGAAAAAATAAATCACGACACTCCTGTTATTGGTGGAGGAGACACGCGGCAGTGCAGCAGGAAACGCGTCACGCTGTCTAGTCGAGAATTTTGTAGGCGGTTAGCGTGACGGGTAACGGGGTAGCTCACCTTGCTCTTTAAATCCATGTCGAACAAATAATCAAAAATGTTGATGGCATATGTTTATACATATGGTGTGAAAATGACGAAACGAAAACGATATCCAGCCTTCAAACTATCCACCTCGGCAAAAATCTCCCCTGACATTTCTCCGGCTCTCCTCGTCCCCTAACAATTTATTCCTCCCGACCGCATCTCAAACTCTCGCACTCCGAAATGGCCAAGTTCTGAGAACACGTGAACACCCCAAGTGAACGCCCAAGGGGGTCACCCTACCTGTCTCCCATGTTTAGCCGGTAACAAGCCATAATCGATAACGCGAGGGTTGAAAATACCTTCAGGTGGGGCATCCCAAAAATACCCCAACACTCCCGTTACCCCATCCTCAAAAAACCCCCAAAATGGAAATGATGATTCGAGTCGAGGCCTCCGGAAAGTAATGGCAAAAAAAAAAAAGTAAAGACTCACCCACCACGCTGAAGCCCCAGTGGAGATATCACTGATACGTCAATGACGACAGTAGCCAAGGTATCACGGGTATCACGTCACGACCCCCACCCCTGAGTTGCCCTATAGAATCTCTATCCCTCTGAAAGCACCACAAAATTCCAGAAAAAATCCATCAATTTAAATGAAAAAAAAAGAATAATCAATCGGATCGGTAAGTTCACTGAATAATTTCACCTGTACAAGACTGGTGTAACGAATGTGTGTGATGCGATGAAATCCGTCAACGCAGCAGGTGAACTACAAACTCACATGACACAAGTCGAATAATCCTAGCAAGTTGCAAGTACTCGGCCTAGCCACAAACCGTGCGTTATCACGCATTAATTAGCCAATGTCGCACTCAGCGAATTATTGAAGGCAAATACGTTGTGAATTCACCAGTTTTTATTTTGACTCCTCTCATTGTGGTGCTCCAGCGACGTCAAATTGCGGTAATGTTTCGTCTAGAGCGTTTAATCGGTGAAACCCGGCTGCCCGGCCAACGGATCTCACTGTTTTTAAGAGAGAGTTGTGTTACACTTGAAAGAAATAATAGGAGAACGGGAGAGTGGAGCCAGTGGTGCGGAGGAGTGAGAGAAAAATAAAACAACACCTTCACGGCGCCCCCGCCCTCCCGCCATTGCCGCCACTACCGCGCACGCCCCCACCGCCTATATCGTCTATAGCGTGGGCGCATGCGCTTTCCAAAATCACCTAAACTCACTTCTTTTCCGTCTCTTGCTAGCCTCACACACAATTCAATGCGAAACCCTCAATATTTTATCACCACTCAATTCCGCTGGACAATATCCCCACAAGTGACAACACATTGGACAAGGTGACAACCGTTATTTCCCGTTTACTTACTACAATCATTTTTTTTCATTTCTCCAATTTATTCTATTTTTCATAGTATCAACAAATGCATTACATATTGCATGAATTATTATTGTTTCATCGGTGTTAATAAGGATCAGGTATTATTATTTTTGGAGAACGACCTTCCATTATATCTCGGAGGTTTACAGCAATTTCCTGAAATGATAGATAGAGTTTCGTTGTTGATTTTTATTAGATGTCGTGGAGGAAACTGAATAGATTATGAGTATTAAACCGACTATTGGCATTAAATGCAGATCCATACTGATTTTACAACTTGGATAGTGAATTGGTCAGCAAATTTAATAATTTTTTTTTTTTTCAATGAAATTCGTGGCTTCATGACAATTGTTTACCTCTTCTCTCTGTGACTTTAGCCGATCGATTATGGCCTCGTTGAAGTTTGGATCATTAGCTGGATCCTCAAGGTCTACATCGCTGTCTCCCACCCTCGTAGGGAATTCGACCAGATAGCCCTGCTTGATTGTCTCTAAGATTGAGGTTGAGTGTGTCGCCGAATATTTCAAATCTATTGCAGTGAATGAATCGGTTCCTGCCGGAATCAACAGGGCCTTATCTAAATCACTACAAATCCCTTTCCTGAAAAAAAATTTCAATTCAATTATATCATTGCATGATATTCGCACGAATATTCCGCCGATTAACTTACATTGGATGATTAGAAAATCCATGCCAGCTGAGTAAATCCTTCATCTTCCTAACAAGTCCGCTATCCTTGGACGAATAATACTGAAGATCAGCCCCAAGATTGCAAGCAACCGCTCTGAGAGTTTTTCCAATCATTTGCTTCTTTCCCAAGTCGTAATCCTTAAACTCATCGTACTTTCCACCGACAATGCAGAGTTTCATTGGAAATAGATCAATCTGTTTCTCTGTGTAATTGTGAAACTCCTTAATCCGCCGTTGCTTCATTTCCTCGATAATTTGTTGAGTTAAACTCATTTTCATAGCACTCCTAGCAGCTGCCAAACTTTCCTCGAGGGTTGACCATAGGGTACTTGGAGAAGTCAGGTCAAGGATCACCATAAGGGTAATGTGATGAGGAGAATGCGTCAGTGAAGCCCCAGTCACTGCCGCCGATATTAGGGATGATGTGAGATGACCAATTTCCCATATGTGAACAATGTCTCGCATCTTTTTTTTTTTTCATAAAAAAATCATGTATGAAAAAATAATTAATTTTAAAATGAACCAAGTTCATTAATATTCTACAGCACTGACCAAACTCTTGCCAGCTTTTCTTCCATATGAGTAATCCATAGCAATTGTCGGCTTGGCAGTCTCATCTTTCTCCAGAAATCTATAGACCATTGTTGTTTTTCCCTAATAATAGCATCAATCAAAACGCAATGAAATTCAATGCTTATTCTATTTTATTTTATTCAGCTTGTCAATCTACTCACAACTCTTTTACTTCCAATAATAATGATGGAACGCTCCCGGGATTCTTCCATATCATTTTTTTTCTTCCTCTCCTCATCAATTGACATTTTTACCGCTGCGCCTCGCATATTTTCCCTGTAAAATCGGGAAATGCACTTATAATTAATTCATTGGCCTTCCTCATTATTATCACTTACACATTGTCACTTTTCATTGTCGAAAATTTACTAATTAACGTTTATCCATGAGAATTAACTCAGGTTATAGTTTTGTATGCATTTCTCGTTGCTAGGGAAACACGTCCAGGGAGACTGCGGTATTTTTCATTCCAAAACTTGACTCGTGTCTCTTGCATTTTAATATAATCACTGGCAGAATATTCATATTTCTTGCGCAACATTAATACTAGAACTAATGAAATTCACCAGCGAAAAAATTTAATTGATTCGTGTTCATTAAAATGGCTTGTATCTCTAAATTTTCTGCGCATTGATTTATTATAAAAAAATAAATATTAAAATGGATCGGAGAAAAACAAATAAATGAAACCTCAGTTAATTAGATATGATTATTGTATAGTATAATTATGATATACATTAGTATCTACATACTCCTCTCGAAATAAATACACAACATTTTATTCACTCGGCAATTTCACACTTTCAATGGCCCAAAAAGTATAACATTGCGCACATGAGTAAATTTTCAAGCTTAAAAAAGAAAGAACACGTTTTTAATGTTCTCTAGCTGCTGCTCATTGCATAAACATTATGTACAAATGTTGGACTAGAACAGTGGAATGCAATTTTTCGAAATTAATTGATTCATTTTGATAACTATCTAATTATTATTCCGTAAAGTGGTTATTCATTTACTTTTTAGCCGAGATTTTTTTCATTCAATAGATTTCATCAAACGATCTCGATTAATTTATTACAAACGTAATAATTCGTAATTGCACGGTGGGATTAATATAGATTTGGCCAATGGAACGTGGCAGTGTTTTTAGACATTAAACAAGTTAAAAACAATGCGGCAAAATGATACAGTAATAAAAGTACATTATTCCGGTGTAAATGAATTTACAAATACATTATCTTGAATGGCTTGAAAGGGGAGAGTTCAGAAGAATTTGTCAGAAGACTCTATTTATAGGGTATAGAAAATTGAATTTTTACTGGGCTTTTGATATTTTGTAATGCAATGACAACCTCTTCAGAATTCCCCTCCCTGAAATTCCTCAGTTTCCAATAAATATTTCATCGATAACCAGTCGATGAAGGAGGAATAATATTAGTCATCTCTTCCTGTGATGTCTCATTGCCTCTAGGAGACAGTAAACCACTCGCTCTGCATGTTATCTCGACCAAATATCAGACATCCAATCATCATTCAATTCGTTTGCTGGTAGAACTTTTAGATTTCTCAATGCTTCAAGATAGAATGTTAATTCTGAGGTTACTACACCATGTTGTGGTCCCCCGTTGTTCACTATATTCATTTTAACTAATTGTTCCCTGAGTTTTTCTTTAAATGATACATTGACTGTACGATAGAGCGCTTGAACTTCGACTGGGGGGAGAATTCCTGAAACAGCTTCGTGGAGTTTTATTAAATGTCTCGAAATATTCCTAAATGATTGCGAAGGTACGGGAGGCCTTGCGTCCCAGCTTGTGATTTGTCCCCCCACGAGATTATCCACAATTGTGAGAATTTTTCCCTCAATCTCCCTGATGTGTGCACGAACATCCCTTTCAACGGAATCGAGCAGTGCAACCCCTCCTGTTCCCCCTGATGAGCTCATGGCACTTCGATTGGCACTGTGATTTGCCAATTCTTGAAAATGGGCTTTAACGAATGGCATAAACCACAGAATAAGCTTGAGGCTTCTTCCAGCTAGCACCAAAATTGTGCTAGTAATAGTTTTCAAGCCAGCCACATGCATGGCACCAGCCCCCAGCACAAGCTGACAGCACCTCGAGTTATAATGTCTTAAAAGCTCAGCGAGTTGTCTTCCAACAGCTCCGGAGAGTGCCTTGAGCTCATCACCAGTTCTACAATATTCGTTTATCATCTGTACCAGCATCAATGCCGTACCCACCACAGCGAATTGCTCCTCACCCACAAAAATAAAACTCCCTACCTCGCTCTCGCGCCATTCTAGCTCATCACCTACAGGAAACCTCCGATTTTCGAAGACAAAAGTAACAAGCCTCTGAAACTCCTTGGGTACCTCCGCCTGTTTCCATCGCTCCGATTCAAGCAGAAGCCCCAGTTTGCTTTTTCTTTCATTGTGAAACCGCTGTACAAACTTGCTGGCCTGTGCCTTGAAGGCAGATCTCAGTGCTGTGCACTGTTTTCCACAGATTCCTTCACAGGTCTCAGTGAAACCCTCAACCATACCAGCAAGCTGACAAACCTGCCCAGCAGTTGCTTTGTCACTCAACCAAGATCCCTTTTCACTCCATTCGCGCTCCTTGCCATCACTAATTTTCTCCCTCTCGCTCCTATCATCCCCACCAGCTGCCACCAGATTTCCCAGCCTCTCATGGCAATAATCACAGACCGATGTCAACATATCGGAGAGCTTGGTAATAACCCTGGAATGCTCGTCAGTGGTTAATCGCCTGTCAATAATAAAATTGTCATCATCTACTGGGCCCACAGAGAGGTCCACCGTGTCCTTCATCACTTCGTAGACAGCTCGAACCCGATGCAATAAATATGTCAGCGATTGGATGGTGTTCTGGAGGAGAATCAGCCTTTCAGGGAGGGACAGCCCTCCAACTTCGAGGGCTGCTGCTTGCTGATCACTGCAGCAATCACTGGCAGCCAATGCCTCAATTACCCTCTGCTTAGTTATTGCTCTGATTGTCGTGATTGCTTCCTCCTTGTAGGTGTCGACAAACTGAAATTGCTTCTGTCTCAATAGCCCAGAGATTATTGACACGAGTTTGTCACCATCGAGAACTGTCCCGTCACTGTGAATTGTCAGAGGACGATTGAGATCTGCTGTCGAGTACCTCTCGAACTCTGTAGAGAGCATCTTGTCGACTAGCCTCTCCATTTCAGTGAGTTGAGAGCTCAAATGTCTGAAGCTCTGGATACCATTGAGCTCCTGATGCAGGATCTCCTGAGTGGTGGAGATGAGGTCGAGGGCTGCCACATAATCTGGAGTCGAGAGCAGGAGTTGAATCATAGGCTGACTCTGATGGACTGTTGCCATTAATTTAAGCTTCTCGCGAACCAACAGGTGGTTGCAACGGCATCTCTCTAGCTTGATAATATTCAGGGAGTCCTGCACTAGAGTCTTGTCAATCTCGTGGATGTTACGGCGCAGTGCCTTGAGGACTGTTATCGTCTGGGTGAGTTGCTCCATGAGGGCGTCGTGAGAAGTCATTGCAATGAAGAAGGCTTGGGATTTAGAGGCCACCTGCTCGGCTATTTGCACCTCGACGATATCGAGGTAGTGACTTAATTTCTCCTGGAGGGCCTTAACGTCACTTACTATATTTGTGGAAGGATTCAAGAGGCCGGAGGTGGTGAATGGGAAGACCGTGTTAAAAGTCGAGGCCGAGGAGAGGTCTAGGGAAGGCGATAGGAATATCTTGGGGATACTCCCGAGATTGAACTGGGATGAACGCTCTATTGATGTTGATGATTTTTTCAAACTAGAAAAATTCGATGTTCCTCTGGAATGTTTTCTGTACCTCCTAATGATCTTCTGGATATAATTATCAAAATGGTGGATCGTGATATCGGGAAGATATGGACTTTTTGGGATGTCAACTTTTTCGATGAATGCATCACCCCAGGTTTTCGTGAGAAAGTTACTCTGCTTGCCCTTGCGTGGATCATTGAGTACAGCTGGTAGATTTTGTACAGCTGAGTAGACTGTCCACTGGGACAGCGTTTCATTAATCTGTCCATTGGTTTTACGCTGTTGGTGTTGCTGCTGCTGCTGCTGCTGCTGTTGCTGCTGGTGCTGCTGCTGCTGGACTGCAGCATGTTTTGTCGCATGCATTATGTAATCTTTGTCGGAGACACCTTCCAGGGGTAATGATGAACACACTTCATTGTACCCATAATGACAGACGTAGGAGCCGCCTTCGATTGTACAATGTTGCTCTCTCAAGTGTCTGAAACCAATAATTTAACGCAATTTTTTATTTTATCAATTGTTCTTGTTTTTTTAAGCTGTCATAATGGTGACTAGACATAAAGCACTTTGACATACGTATGCAATGATGACCCACCTGACAAAGTCTTGAATACGTTTGAAGGTTAAGTGTGAGCAATATTCACAGACAATAGTTGCGATTGTCTCTGATGTTTTCACTATTTTTGCCATTTCTCAAGGGCCCTATCAACAATTAATTTTTTCAACTCATTTGGTACGAGAATGATTTTTCATCCGATTTACATTTTAGCAATTGGGTGCGATAAGCACACGTACACTCAGGTTAGCCTGTGTAATATTGTACATGACTAATACATGAACACGATGAAGTAGAGGATTGACTAAAGTAGAGGCTCAGTTCTGGGGGGTTTGAGTGTAGTGGAAGTAGCAATGGGAAACGTCACCTGGAGTGCGTTGGAACCTTGTGACCGGCTGATGGTTATTTTCCCGGTGAAAATTCATTCTCATCATATAATCACATACGTAATATGATTCTCGAAAATCGAAATTTTTCAAGAGAGACACGATCTACGATTTTTGAGGATGAAAAATGATTTTTTTTTTTTCAAATCGTAATTCTTCCATTAGCCAACGATGGATTTAAAATATTTATTTCAACGGGCGACCCTAATCATAATAAAAAATATCTTTTTCATTTGTCCAAGTTGAGTCGCTTCGATTTTTAAATTCCCTTGCAACGGCGCGCGGAGCAGCCGACAAGATGGCGATCGCCTTGTATTTTCAAATAAAATATATTTCTATACACAATATTATCCCTCAAACAATTTATTTTCCTCAAAAATGAAAAATGCTATCAGCAATAAAAAAAAGATGTAAAAAAAAAATGGAAAAGTATCACAACAGTGAATTGTTGTTAGGATCGCTGTAGGGATTGAAACGAGTGACAGTTAATATGGGAGTATTGGAGAATATATTGTCATGATCCTGAGGAAAGTGAGAATTTTGTTGATTATTTCGTTGAGTCTCCAGAGCTATGAGTTTTTGTCTTTTCTCTTCCATTAGCCTGTCCCGATGCTTGTGGATGTAGTCGCAAACGTTGGGAAGGCCCATTATAACACATGCAGCAAGACCAGAGCGGAAGAAATTCATATCTGTGGCTTCATACCTTTCGAATATCATTGATTAATGATTTTTTTATTCAGCCAAAATGGATAAATGGTAATTGAAAAGATGAATTCACCATTCATTGGTTCTCTCGTCGTAGCACTCAACGAGAAACAAGGTATTCATGCCGTTGTAGCCACCAATAGCGAAAATCATATCATCAATTACTTCAATAGCAAAATTACTCCTCGGGTTATACATTTCAGGGATATGCTCCCATCTGTTAGTAGTAGGATCATATTTCTCTCCACTTTTTTTTCTACCATTTCCGGCAAAACCTCCTTAATTAAATATCACCAAGTTAAATAATGACTCTCGAAATTTTAACCAAATGAATAATATGAATGATACCTTAAACGGACAAATTACCTATAGCATAAACACATCCATGATAAGAAATGCAGGAGACTCCACTTCTACGTGATCTCATCGACGCTATCACAGTCCATTGATTGCTCTCAGGGTCATAAACCTCAGCTGTGTTTAGGCACTCGTTTCCATTAAACCCCCCAACCACGTAAATTTTATCTTAAAAATTCAATGGATAGAAGAAAATTTAATTGAGTATATATAAATGATTTAAGATTTTGAATTGGTATGAAAAAAAGAGAATTAACTGTTGAGAGTAGTAGCACTGGCGTCGGATCTCTGTCGATTCATGGAGGCAATGAGTGACCACTGATTTTCCTTGTAATTGTATCTCTCTGCAGTGTTGAGCCTGCAGTGTCCATCGAATCCTCCTATTGCATAAATAACCTCATTGAGAACAGCAACACTGACGTAACATCTTCTAGCATTCATAGGGGCGACTTCCCTCCAGACTTTGGTCACTGCATTGAAGCAGCGACAACTGTTAAAGTAGCTTTTTGTGTCAATGTTGGTGGCATTGGGGAGACCGTTGCTGAAGCCCCCGATTACATAAATATTGAAACCAATAGCTGCGAGTCCGTGGTAGGCACGTCCTCCAATTGGATCCATTTCAGCTACCTTGAAAAATTAAATGATATATGCTAAGGGATAGAGATGCAGTGATGAAGAAATAAAATAGACCAACTGGAATCCAGCGATCAGCTCTGGTATCATAAGTTTCGATGGCAGAAGTGGTTTTGTTAGCCCTCCATCCACCAATAGTGAAAAGAATCTCATGAGGAACCCTAGGTCTAGCGATTTCCGGGGTGGCCAGGGCACCATCCTTCTGGGTAATCATCTCCAGATCATAAAGGAATGTCAATGTTTCGATGATGATGGGTCTGCAGGCCTCTACTCCTGCGACATAATGATGCTCCTTTACCCTCTCCAGGAAGTACTGAGTGTCTAGCAAGCCCAGCCTAATTGTCTTCATGAGCTCAACAATGTGCTGCTTTCTATCCTCAGGCTTGTGGTCTATCCACTTTATCACCAGCTCCCACACGACCTCTTCGCTCTTAACATTCAACTCATCCGCACCCACTAATGGCAAAAGTTTGTCTATCGATAACTTGAGGATCTCTTCATTCCTCTGGGCAACATCAATGAAATTTCTCATAACGTATGTGTGGGCATCACTCTCCAATTCACTGCAGAAGTGCTCTTTACCGAATCTCATAACGGATATGCAATTTTCTGGGGTCAAGTTGTTCTTTAAATAGGCGCAGCAGAGCTTTATTATACCCATGATGCAGAGATAGTTGGAAGTTATCAAAAGGTCGCAAACATTATCGTGAGTCACTTCTAGAGATCGCAAGTATGCGTACTTCAAAATTAATTCCATTATTTCGGAGGTGACACCAGGGAGTCGGACTTCCGTTTTTTCTTCGGTGTAGAATGATGTCGTGAATAGAGTTCTGAATATTTTTTTCAACAGGACAATAAGATTAAACTACTAAACAGAACATCTTAAATGGAAATATTAGGATAGAAGTATTAAGCACCTGAAATAACTGCTACATGCCGACAATATGGCGCGATGAATGGAAAAAACTCCACCATCCTCCAGATGCACCACAGCGTCGCAGAATAAATTATTCTCTCTCAAGTCATACAGTGACTGCATGGCTTGGGTGCTCATGCATCTTCCACCATATTCAATCACCATGCCATTTTCATTATAATCATTACTCTCTTCATTGCTTTTCTCATCGGCATACACCACCATCTTTCACTCGCAATAAACTCCCCAATTTCAAGCCCTAAACTCTCGAAATTTTAGATTTTTTATTTTTCATTTTTTCCCCATCAATTTCTTTTCTTTTCCGTTTTTTTTTTTTATTTTTTCCTGTGATTAATCAATCCTCGCGAGTTTAATAGATATGACGTGAGGTTAAACTTGAGATTTGTCGGATACTTTTTGGTTAATGAGAGAATGAGGAGATTGAGCTGGATAGGTTGATGTAGCAACGCGCAGTAACAAAAGACAATAATTCATCAATTGAGAGAAACTCCGGGTACTAATGCGAGACGACATTGTGCTTTTTAAATGTCAATCATCATGAAAATTATTTAGCAGGTCTTAGTGATAAACAAATGACGTTTCATACCTATGAGCATAGAGAAATTCATAGGATTATATTTTTTTACCTTTGTTTTTTGTTTTCTTTTTTTTTTCACCTTTAAATCAATGAATAAGAAGAAGAGAAATAAAATATTAGTTCGTTTTAAAATTTAAATGAGATTTTTGTCCCTTTTAATTACAAAAAAAAAGCATTGAAATATAAATAGGCGAGGGAGAGTAAATCTCATGAAGTAGCAGTATCAGATTCAACAATACTACCCTTCCCTCCACCACCGCCATCCTTTGCAGCAGGAGAATTAGCCCTGGCGATGGCCAGAAAAAAAGAATTAGCGTAGGCATCACCAGTCCACATATTGACGAAAGTACTCCACTTGTTGCTGACACACTCATGAGTCTCTTGGACGACGCCCAGTGTAGTGACTCCTAGGCCATGGTTGCTCTCTTGCTTTTTGTGGTGATTTTCCTCTCCCCATAATCTGAAAGTCCAATGGACAACGGCGAACGTAGCGGCATTTGTAGGAAAAGCCCGTATAATGGTGGAGTTGAGGCCCCTGAAGAGACAGGAGATGCCCTCATCTCTAATGGATTTTTTCAGGCAGTCGATGCTTCCCAGGTACCTCTGCTGTAGATCCGCCTGAACTCTCGACTTGATCACATCAATTGGATAAGTAAATACCCAGGAAGCTGTACCGGCGAGTCCACCAGCGATGAGCATCGTTATTGTCGAAATTGATTCTGGAGTGGCTGATTCGCTCCTGGTGAGAGCCTCGTATGTAAAAAAATAAATTCCGTAACTCGGTGCTTCCCTGAGGGCTGTGATTCCCAGTCCTCGGAAAACACCTGCCAGCCCTGAATGCCTGTAGATATGTTTGAGACACTCGAGTGGTCCTCCGTAGGATGATCGCTGGGATGATCCCTGGGATTGCAGCTGCATTCGGGTTTTAGTGAGCTCTAGGGGGGCTGCCACTGGGGATTGAACAAGACCCGCTGCTGCCCCTGCTAGGAAGTGAGTTGAAAGGTCGTCTGGCCTGGAGGAGTGACGTTGAGCTTCACCGTATGCGCCGAAGATGAGGGCATTTATGAAGGCTACTCCGGCCATTGGGGACGTCATGCCTCGATAAAGACCTGTTATCTGAACAATTTTTATTTCATTATTTTCTACATTTATTTTTAAATACCAAATATAAATAAAATAAAAAGACTTTTTTACCGATTCTGTGGCTAGAATTGATCGGAAACAGTGCCATGTGCCCCTGAAACGAGGGTTTCTGCTGTCCTGTGTTTGAATGTGGACTTTTATTGTGTCCAGAGGATATCCCACCACAAGACCGGCGCACCCTCAAAATTCATTGTAAAATAACATTTTGCAAATATGAGTATTTCTATCAAGTTAGTGAACATTTGGCTAATATTTTTCTTTCTCTCAGTCTCTATGTTCAAACAAATTTTATCTCTAAACCTTTAACATCAAATAAACGACGAATGTTATTCTGTTTGAACTTCTGATAAGAAGTTGGCCCTTGGCCATTGAATAAATATCTAACTATCTTTGAGTTGAGTAATTCGAGAAAAATAATATTTTCATCAATCTATCGATAGTGAATGAAATAAAATTTGCCATTACCTCCAAGACAACCGGCAGTAAAGTCAAGTGCCATTCTTGTATATTTACACTTCCAAAAGATATTTCGCTAGCACCCAATTTTTTATTCAAAAATGCCTTCTTAAGTTTAACGCTTACGTTTAAACATGATTTGTAATATTTGCCGGAATCCATGAAAGTGAATGAAAAAATTATAACAAAATTTCGTTGCTTTGTTTACTGAATCCGATAAACCGAGAGTCAATCACTATTTGGACATCGAAATGATTAAGAGAGAAAGTTCACTATTGAATAATGTCCACCGTTCTTCAAGTAATACAAAATCATTCTAACAATAATAGATTGTTAAAAATGGAAAAGACAATGTTATTTTAATAGCACGGATATGAAATGGACTAAACTGTGATAGTTGTAGTTGAATACTGATCGACGAGCATGGACTGATGCTTTCCAACGATTCCGGGGAGCAAAGATCATCGGACTTATCGTAAATTCTCAATGTTGGAGGAGAAGAAAAAGCCCAAGTCTCATACGCTAATCGCACCCGCACCCGCACCCGAGATGGTAAAATTAATGTCTTAAGTTTTCCGTAGGCGCTCGAGGTCAAAGGTCCTCATGATAACGAAATCAGCTTGGCCGAATGAATGTCATTATTCTCTTGTAGTTGTGTTTTTTATTTATTTTTTTTTCTTTCTCCATTCTCTTGATTTTTTCGGTGGCGCGACAAAATGGCAGATTCAGACGGCTGGTCAGGACGTATGACCAGCCGATTTTTATTTTTCTTTTCATTACTGGGGTTTAATATAGTGAGCTCTGATCGTTGCAGATTTGGTTGAAGAATCGAAAGATATATTTAACCGCAAATCGATGAAGAATGAGGATGAAGTATACCGGTCCTCATTATTTAAAAGGAGGCAGATCAATTTCGAAAAAGTAGCTCTACTTTGCACTAATTTTCAATATTTCTAGCTTTTGAATTTTACAAGTGAATTGGAATTGGAAAAATTGGCGGATCCTGCGCAGAATGACATGATGATAAAGTAACGAGCTACAATACCACACCATTTCACCAGCAGTAGTATTGATCCAATTAGAATCAAGTAGAACCCGCGCCAACAGACCATCCCAGAGACCTTTCAAGTTCCAATAAAAAAAATTCATTCTTAAATCATTCTCAAGAAATAAAAAGGAGGAGAAAAAACCTTCTTCCTTCAATTAAAAGGTCATTGACATTAATTCTATATGCGTTAATTTAGTCGATAGAATTGGTCAAACAAATATACCGCGGCTGTTGCGCAGAATCGAGTGGCTTGCAAGTATCAGGTGTTGAGTAAAACTCACGACTAAATATATACATCGAGGCACGCGGTCTCTCAATCCATTTGGATTTTTAGTGTAAATCTCAAAGCCTACACTGACAAAACATCATTTCGACTATTCAATCATAAATCCATTCATTTCATTTCATTTAAATCGTAAATTTTTCTCTTAACTCCGCTAAATCAACCAATACCACATACTGTCAATTAATTCTACTAAAAATTGAGTAAATTTTATTTATATAATGAAGAAATGTGTAAAGTGCTCTGCCAAGTGATTTGATCTATCAATAACGCACCAGTGTCTCTAGTTAATTTTTTTTTAATTATCGATCGGTCGGTTATTAAATGTTCAGGTGAGAGTTTATTTGCGTTTGCATGGCGCTTGAATCATCAGTAGCAGGGCCATAATTTTTAGCGGAAGACACAATATTTCGCAACGTAGAACTTTCTGAATATGATGTAACTATATCGTAACTATACCATTCATTCAGTCAATCAATTCTGTTAATACTATATCGTTAAGTAGAAAATAATTCCCTTCAATGAATTACCCTCTACTCGAATATACGCGGAAAAATGTCAATTTTAACTCTTTTTCAATTGGTGTTTTATTTTTATTGAAATGTCCTTGACTGAATTATCATGTCTTCTCGATTGACGTGTCTTGCCGGACCACAGAAAGACATCAATCCATTTGTTTGAAATTCTACGCACGTAAATATTCCTGTAAGACAGACATAATATAACGCCCGTGAATATGTCACACATGATATCGGATTACTCGAGGACATATCCCCGATGTCATGTTACTCAGTACATTTTTACCGATTAATATTGACCGTCTTGCTCCATGTTTTACAATGTTTTAGAGTAAAAAATGGATCTAAAAAATTCGGAGAATTTCTCGTCGAGTACGTCACCGCTCACCCAGCGATTGTTCATCAAACAAGATCCACAGGTAGTGGGGATTTTATTAAGTTGATTAATTCGTAGCATGATGTGCTTTTATGAATCCATTGAGCTCAATTGGACGAGGCATTTTAACTGGGGAATTAATTGAATTTCAACTGGCGCGAAGAAATTATAGATATTAAGAGGAGGCGACAATATTGTGAATTGAATATTGTAATGGCGAGAATTTTAATAATTTTTCGGCAAATTCTTATGTTGATATTATTTTGACAATTTTCAAAAAATTTCCTTGATCTTTGTTTAATAATCAGGATGAAGAGGCATCAGATTGTCCACTCCTCACCCCAAGTCCACCACTCGGTAACACACCAGATCCTCTTGAAACTCCAACAATGTTTAATCCACTCGAGGAGACCCCCTTAGAAATTACACCCACACCCACCCTGGATAATTTAAACTCTGAAGATGGTCTCAAGGCATTCATCGACATTGTCAACAGCAACAACAAAAAGCACATGGTTGAAGGTAGTGTAATCAATCAATAGACAATTATTCACAATAATTCGGTGGATTTGTCGAATCAATGACACCACTCCCCACCCCCAATCATGATGATTTCTGATGGAGTGAATTTTATTGGATCGTTTCAAAGTATTTATGGTCACTTGAATTATTCGATTGAGCTTGTGTGTCGCTAAATTATTGAGGACAACGATACACTGGCATTCGGAATCATTCAGTCTAGTGACTACAGCTGTGACATACCTATCAATGTATAAATTTTTCACTCATTAATTTTCATGATGGATTCCTCTTGTTTTCAAGAAGAGCCTAGTTCACGAGACCCCATGGTGGAGTCGAGCAGTAGCGAGGAAAGCAGTAGTATTACCAAGGAACCAGTTTGCACCCAATTGTTAACGCAATTGAATACTGCCTATCAACATTTAGCTCCAGATGCACAAGCCATTGTGAGTATAAAAGATAATGATGCTTGTGCTTTAATGAGTTTTGAGTTTGGGAGGAAGAGGAATGGTGAGAAAGCACTGCCAAATGTGTTACGCAGTAATTTACGTAGACCTAGATAGCGGTCATTGCCAAGAGCCTTATTATATTTATAGAGATGTACATTGTTCAAGTGTACTACATAATTTATTTGCAGTTCTATAACCAAGAGACCAGTGGTAAACCACCACTCGTTGGAATTCAACTGGTTGTGCCAAAACCACCTAAGGATTACAGTTTTACAAGATGGAATTGGCCAAGAATACGTCAGGCGTGCTTTTGGTTGATGGTCTGTGTATTGACGTTGAGCACGGGACTTGTCATCAGAGGAATTGTTTCAATGCCCAAAAAGTAAATTTGTTAATTATTTATTTTTACATTACTCCGAATGATTAGTGTCGTCAACTAAGCTTCAATGTCATGGAATTTTCATGGATTAATTATTTTCCAGGTGCGCACCGCCCACCGAATGGTGGCAAGGCAAACTTTTCTACGAGATATTCCCGGGTTCATTTCAAGATACCTCTCGAAATGGTGTCGGTGATATACGAGGTATCACAATGCGCATGGATTATCTTAAAAATTTGGGTGTTAAAGCAATTCGCTTGAACTCTATATTCTCTTCATCTGGATATCCAGAGCACTATCCAAGCATAACGAGTCTCACACGAATCGACCACAACTTGGGATCGGTAGAGGATTTTCAGGAACTAGTTGATACTCTTCATAGAAATGGAATGAGTTTGATTCTGGATTTTCCTCTCCATCCTTTCGTCGATGAATTGAGAGGAGGATTGATGAAAAGGACAGAACCCAAGTCACAAGGGGCGGAGATGAAAGAGGGAAGACGCCGTAGGCATATCGATATTAAACATGCAATACCACAATCTCCAATTCACAACACAACGGACCAAATTCAGACACCATTGACACTATCTTTAAGGGAAAACATGACTAGGGATGAGCCAAAATCCGAGCGATACGTGGCATCCAACTCTGTAGATCCTAATCAAGCTGAGCACGAAGTAACAAAGGCACTCAAGTACTGGTTACGAAAAAGGGTTGATGGATTTTATCTGAAGGGACTGGAACACTACGTTAATGACATTCACTTCGTTCACCTCCTCGAGGACTGGAGGGATATCCTGGGATATCAGAAAATTTTAATTTGCAATTGGAAGACCCTTGAGTCTGCTAAATCGGAGGTGGTGAGAAAGAGTATCGTCGACTCGATGAATTTATTGGACGTGACGCTGAAGTTGTCAAATGGTACGAGGGATATCAAGAGGCAGGTAGAACTTATTACCAAGAGTGAGCTGTTGAGGGAGCCCAGCCTCGATCATCCTTGGATACACTGGTCTATTGGCAGTATCGAGACTGATAGGATTACTTCAAGTTTATCGGTTAAAAATGCAACCGCTGCGGCCATGCTCCTGGGGATGATGCTACCTGGGACGCCTAGCATTTTTTATGGGGATGAGCTAGGCATGAGGGATTGCAGTTGTGAAGATCATCGTGACCTACAACATTTGCACAATGTTCCCCCGATGCCCTGGGAAGCAGTTAAGGATTCAATGGAGAGATTTTCATCGTCAAGCGTGATGCCTTGGCTACCAGTTTCACCCCCAGCCACCCCCACCAGCATGAACAGTGCAATTGTTTCAATGTCCCATTTGCGACAGATCACTACACCTATATTTGTTGACAGTGCCCTCAAGCACGATCATATCAGTCTCAATTGTGACATCAGGTAATTCATTCAATAGTACTCCGCTTAATTGTTATTATTATTGATTATTGCGATATGAATTAAAAAATTTTGTGGATTACAGATATGCTAACGATGAACTCATTGTAATTGAGAGATGGTATCCACGCCAGAATACTTATGTTCTCGTCGCCAATCTGGGAAATGTGACGCAATTGAGAGATTTGTCTTCGCTTTATTACGATGGGCGAGTTGTCAGTGGTCCCCTTAACAAATTAAATCAGAGTATTTACTTTAGGGAATTCGTCATTGCACCTGGTGAAGCATTTTTAATAAAACTCGAAAAATGACCCATTATTTATATATAAATAGAAAATGTAAGAGGGTAATTTGAAATGTAAGGAGTTGTGGGCAAATTTATGCATTCCTCGGAGTTTTTCCAAAGGCCGTTTTTGTTTTTAATGAGTCGTTATCAAGTAATTGCCCTTTGGAATGCTGATTTTGCTGATGTGACCGCACTATTTGTTACGATTGCACATTTTCATAATTTGCTCAATATTTTCGTAATAATCTGATGATCAGTACTGCTCGAGCCAGTGAAACAAATATGATATTTCAATAATTATTACGTGTCAGTGCTCAATCAAAGGGACATTGATTTTTATTTTAATATTTACGTGACATGTTTTTTTTTTTACTCATGATGAAAATTTTGAAATTTAAACGATCAATAAATTAATCAATATCTTGATACTGATCAGACTTGGTGTTCGATAAAATATCTGTATTTCTGATGAATCATTAACTTTTAATAATTTATTATTGCGAAATAAATTGAACTTGTTGGTAAAAAAATGTATACTATATATTTTTTTTAATGAAAAAATATTTTTAACATTGAAAAATGATAATATTAATGGAAGAAATGTTTCTCGCAAGTGGTCGTGATGGGTTGAATTAGTATATAAATTGAATAGAGGAGAAGAGAAAAATGTGTTCCCTCGAGCCGCACCGCGGAGCCACTTTCCGAGTTTATCAATAACTCTAATAGCTCTGAGGAAGGTCCCTGGATCCCTGGCAGAGAGTGTCGTAGCATAGATGCTGCTAGCCTCCGCCGTCATCTCGATTTCGGATGGGATGTGCGTGTGTGTGGGGGTTGTGTGTTTCCACACCACTTCCTTCCGGCGCACTGATCTTTGAGATGGGCGAGAGTGTATTGGTCAAAGTAAAGTAATGTGCGTATCGGTCGACATGTGTCATCAATCCGATAACTCAACAGGGCCTCTTACGAGGAAACTTTTTATCATTTTTTTTTTTTTTTACTATTTCATTTCTGCTAATTTCAGGCTATAAATAGATAATTATTATAAGTAAAGCAGTTTATCCCGCTGCCAATCAATAATAATAATAATAACAATAATAATAATAATAATTATTTATAATAAAAATGAAAGAAAATTTATAATACCAAAGTTCGTAGCATCGAGAGATAGGCCATAGCAGTTTTCATGATCTGGAAAATATAGAGAAGACATTGGATTAAAAGGTATAATAATTTTTTTGTAAAGAGAGATACATACTCCTGTGAATCCTGCCATTGAGAATGTGTAAAATCCACCAGCTCTCAACTGCAGCGGTTTTTCCGTTCCGATCAAACACAGCGTCAATGACTTTCGGCAATTGAACGATAAGTCAGCCCAGTTGCACTCGTAATATGCTTCATGCACATTCATACTCTCAATAATAATATTATCAATGATATTATCAGGCATATATAAATAAAAGATTGTGGGACTTATTTCGATGAGATACCTCGGTAATTAAGTATTCTCCAGCAAAACAATATCCGTATATTAGAAGTAGCATTGTAAAAACATACATAACGAATGTCATAAAAGTCGTGGTGTCAGCAAGATCTGCATTCTGCAATGAAGAGAGGATAATATTATTAAGATATTTAGTTGCTTTATTGATGAAAAATCTTCACCACGAGTACATTATAGGATGCCAATCCCAGGCAGACTGTAGTTGTCACTAGTTCTTCGAGAAGGATAATCCAAAAACTCTTATCGATGAGTTTGGCAAATCTAAGAAGAACATAATATAATATTGCCTTGTACTGTAAAAAGGCGGATAATTTTTACCTAACTATTTGGAGATAACGTTGAACTGAATTAATAAGTTGATGATCGACACTTGTGGAATTATCAGGCTGAATTCTTCTTATTCTTCTTGCTAGGATAGCCAAGTGTCCACAGGCATTGAGCACTAGAGTTATGAGGAAGCATACCGCTGCAGTGTGAAACGTATGTATGTAAATCATGGGCGATTGATAGAGATAAATAAGAATGTACGTTGTCATATCCGTCAATTGGAAAGTCAGATGAGATCGATAGGGCAATAGCATAGGTACTGTTTCATTGGCCAATGCTGATTTATCATCATAAGTAATAATGTACAATCATGAATTACTCCAGTCATTAAAATTACTCATCGCTCTACATTACCAGCTTTAAATCGAGTTTCCATAGGCTTCAGATGGTACAATATTGCTGAAATGAATGCAAATGTTACCGCCCACTTAAAGAACTTTTTAGCAATGGCGTTATAAATAAGATAAATTTTCTTCTCTTTGGATTGTAAAAATTTATCCTCCATTAGTCCATCCCTTGCCATCATTACAGCTTCTCGGAGACTATCAGAATACTTCATCACAACCATTTTCACTATTATCATACTCTCCAAAGCTGTCTCCGAAACATTGGCAACGACCTCCTCAAGATCTCCAAACACCAGCACTAAGTCTACAAAACCCATTGACAGATGAAATGCGAAATACACCAACCAAGTGTGAAAAAAATAAATCGTTGGTTCTAATGGCCATAATCCAATTATTATGAAGACCATTCGATTCCACGCAAATAATTGTTTCGCTTCTCTCAGTTGACTTTCATCTTCCTGGAAGGGCCATTGCCACCGAGACATATGCAATATTAGAAAATGGAAAATGGTAAAAGAGAAATAGCCATTTGAGTTGGATGCTTAGCTTTTGACTGAATTCACTCATACTACCATTATATTTGCCATCCGAGCCAGGGTTTATGGTATGTACCAGAAATTATGAAAGACTAAACTAGAGGATCAAGGTATGAGCTTGATCTGCTAGTCTTAAAAATTCATGAGTGAGCTTCAGTCATACCATAATACTACCATAATACTAATTGTCTAGAATTATGAAAATCTCCTCGCCCTAATGGACATAATCGATTCTTGTAAATCGCTGGTGTTTCAGTTGAGGGATCACGCAAGTCTTCCCCCACTTGGTTTTCAACGAATTCATACATTTGTTCATCTTATCTTGATATATAATGAGAGTGTTGGGACCATTTTCCAGTGAGAACCATCTATGCATTTGTATGCGCATCCACTTGTTATCCACTTGTTAATTGGTGTCGTATACCATGGCAAAACCATTGTGAAAATTACTATTGTGTTTATATAGAAAATAATTGTGAAAATAATAGTGAATCAAAAATTAATTTAAACATGAAAATTGTAGATTCATTGTGAAACTTTCCTCAGCATAGAGACGTATCCCATTGCAGTCTTGAGAATCTAACAACAGGCAATTATTAAAGATCATTTAAAATTTATCCACTTTATCATTGTTATTATTATTTAATAGTTGAGAAATTAAGCGGTCGCAATAAATACAACAACTCCAAGTTGAATTATTACAATATTTTCGCTCGATTATTTCATGACCCTTTATTTCCCAATTTGATTTTTACCAAAGGCGGCGTTGAACTACTACTCAACTTACATCTGTAAAACCCGTTAATGAGAAGACAAAAAATTTTCCAGCTGTCATGCGAAGTGGTTCCTGCGAGGAAAGCATGCAAATCATGACAGCCTTTTTGAAATTGGCTGATGATTCATACCACATACATTCATAATAAGCTGCATGGACTTTGCTGCTCTAAGTAATGATGTTATCATATAATTATTGCATTGATCAATGAATAAATATTTGAATTGAGAATAAATAAAAACCTCGGAAATGAGAGATTCGCCTACGATGCAGTAGCCATAAATTAGAAGAAGAGTTGCTGTTCCGGCAATACCGAAGACAGGTGCCGTTGAACTTTCCGATACTCCATGCCCCTTAACAATACTTACTGATTATTCACAGACTGACAAATTAACCACTATGGAAAAATACTCACGATTATTATAACGTATGATGTTAGCCCCAAGAGAACAGTCATGACAATGAGATCGAGTAGTAGAATAAAATGGAAACTATCATCGAAGCTTTTTGCCATCCTGTTAATAAACCAAATCACTAACTCAGCTATTTTGTCTAGCAATTTTTAAAATAAACGATGATCACCAACCAAATTGATTTACTATGACGGTCAACGAGAGATTTGAAAATGGCGTGACTAGTATCGTGGTCAGTGACATGTACAATATTCCTTATTCTGTGCTCCACTATTGATAATTGTCCGCATATATGAAGTTGAACGGTAATAAGTACGCATATCCAGCCATTATGACAGGCCAATAGATATATCATGGGGGACAAATAGGCGTATGTCATCCAATACATGCGTGTGTCAAGAATGGTGTACGGCAATGTGATGCGAAAAGGAAGTATCATGGAATCATTAGTGCCAAAATCTGCAAGAGAAAAAAAAAAAGAGAATAGATTGGATTTAATGGATTGCTCTCAAGTACTCACTGCCCACAAGAAGAGACGTTACCAAAGGTCTCAGATAATATACGCATGCTGCAGTCATGACATAGGGAACCGAAAATTTATAATACAATTTAGACAAGGAATTGTACTTTAAATACAACTTCTTCTCCTCATGATTCTCATAAAGATGCTCAGCTAATTGATCTTTTGTTGCATTTATCAAGGTTCGTAGCATCGCACTATGCCGGAAAACAATCAGCTTAGCAAATACCATCGTTTGCATACTCACTTCAACAACACTAAACACCGTGGCGTTGAAATTACCGAAAGCCGTAAAAAGTTCGCGGTACTCCATTATCAAATGCAATGTAAGATATATCGTCCAAATACTGGCACGAATGTATGTCCTCTCCAGTGGCCAGAGCCCTCCAATCGTACAAAATCCTTTCAGCCATGATATTAAATTTCCAGCAGCCATGAAATCCTCATCTATCACTTTCTTTTTTTTTATATCCGTTATTTTTCGAGACATTCCGAAATTAATGATCGATTGAACTTTTTGAGTTTTGACATCGAGCACCTATTATCCCACCCAAGTGTCGAGCAATCACAGCAAATCATGCAAACAGCAAGTCTCCAACAAATCTCAATATCGATTGCATTGCCATTGCGCCTCACACCTTGGTCTTATATTTTTCATTATTCATAACTCATAAAACATGTAGGTAATAGCACTATTATGCAAAATTAGGCGAAAATTTGGAATAATGGGATGTGAGGATTCATGCAGAATTCGGTGAGTCGTCAAGAGATCGTAGGCGTCAGAAGCATGCTATTTTCCCTCAATTTTTTGGTTTATTGTTATGCCGGGAATCAAGGGGTTCTTGTTTTTTGTTTTTTTTTCAAATCATGCTAAACCTTAAAAGATGTGATGAAGTATCGATTGATAAATCATTGACCGAATTATTTAATTGATTGTTTGTTCAGGCAATATCGGACAATGTCTTTGGAATATTGTGAAATTGAGGGAAATGAGAGGATAGATGAGGATTTTAGAAGGATCGGAACTCTACTGATCTGGCAGAAATATTTTTTGACAATCGGGGGATTATGGCCAATGGAGAGAACATACATTCGATGTAGTATTTGGACAGTGTATCTAGCATTGCATTTAGTGATGGAATATATTGAACTTTTTACGTCATACGGGAATTTCAATTATGCGGTGATAAGTGTGCTTGAATCAACAATGCAATCCATGGTATTTATTAAACTCATTGCCTTCCGATATAGCAAGACATTATATAGGTTGCTAGAAGCGATGAGAGAAGAGTTTTCCGGTGATATGTGTGATAATCGTGAGGAAAAAAAATTGTATTTGAAATTTCACCAGTTGTCGAGATGGTATTATAAGTTATCAGTGCCGTACATTATGTGCGGAGCTACTTTGTACGTTGGAAGGCCCATGATTACATCTTTTTTCAGTGGAAGTGAGTGATTAACATTATAATGACTCATCAACGATTTTATCTAGATATCATACATAATGGTTATTTAACAGGCTTTGGGGACAACAGTTCCACTATGGTTTTTCCCTTTCAAATTAAATTGCCATTCGCAGTACTTGATATGCAAACATATATGATAACATACGCTTACTTGATACCAATGGTTTATTTATTGGCATGTCAAAATGCCTGGATCTGTCTTCTCATTACTATACAACTCCACATCTGCGGCCAATTATCTGTTGTGGAGTATAGATTGAGAAATCTGGCGGATGAGAACCATTTCTCTCGCAATAGCCATACAATTTTCAAATCATCGGTCGACCTGCATTCCAGAGCCATTTGGTATATGAAAAGTTTACATTAAAAAGTTTACAATAATAATAATTATTATATAAAATTATGGTATATTATTGGCAGGATGTCCAAATCATTCGACAACAATTTTCATTTGGTTCTGCTAGTCGATCTCGTCGTCATGACCCTTATGTTGGGATTAATTTCATACATTATAGTAATTGTAAGTATAACTTATTGTATATTATTGCCTTATTATATTCATATGAGTATCATAGTGTCATACATATGAGTCACTTAAAGGCAGACGCTTTGGAAGACAGCAGCACTGGTCCGGTATTCATTTTTTGTGGATTTGCAACACTCGCTCTAATATATGGTTATTGCATCGTAGGAGAGGCTCTTTCAGTCGAGGTTTGCATTTGTCACTTGCTTCGGATGCATTTTAAAAATCTCACTATTGTTTTATATAGAGCAGTAAAATTCATACAGCCTATTCGGAATGTATGTGGCATGAATCATCAGGAAATTTTAGAAAGGCAGTAATGATTGGTTTGCTCGGCTCTCAAGAACCACTTCGTATGACAGCTGGAAAATTTTTTATCTTCTCATTATCTGGTTTTACTAATGTAATTTGATAATATTTTGAACTCTCGGTAGTTGCAAAGTAACGGCGTTCATTATCCCTGAAATTATTTAATTTTTCATTTGACGTATGTAAAATTGCAACTACCCATACTCATGGTTCGTTTTTCCGTGTCGAATACCATGAAAAAAATGCTTACCCATTACGAATGAAAAATTATCAATTGTTAACAGGTTCTGAAAACTGCAGCGGGCTATCTCTCCATGCTCAGGAAAGTAACAGAGTGAATTCAATATGAAACATTTACTTGCCAATTTTATGCCCAAGATATTCATTTCACTGATAACATACTCACCCTAATTATCTCCCAACACTTAAAATTTTAAATGATACTGCATTTCCAATAAAACATTAAAGTTTTATTTATTATTTTGTATAAAATATTTACGTATGTATTATCCACAAGCTGTAGAAACTTTCTTCGTCAATCGATACCGGTGAGAGAGAGAGAAGCGCTCAAAGTTTCCAAGTAAAGAATATTGCATGGATTTTTTTTCTTGACAAAAGTGGATAATTACGTAATTGTTCTAGATCAGACAATGTGTAATTTTCTATGTAAGCTCGACCACATGAGAATAATGAAGATAAACGCTGCAATTATCCTATACAATAGCTCAAAAAAAAGCTCACAAAAATAGTCATCAGAGTGTAGTATGGATTGGTCAAATTGTGAGTGGACGATTGAAATATTCACGAACCAAGGCGAAAAGAGATATCGAGTTGTTGAAACTATTAAGTCAGTCCAACACGAATCGTTCATCAGATCAATTATGATAGAGCGATCCCTAAATGTCAATGTAAGTATAGCATTGAGAAAATTGTGCATGAAGCCTTGTTCTTTTTCAATGCAATTTTTAGGAAGAATTCTTGGATAGTGCTCAGGATGTCATCAACATTTTATATCCAATTTTAAAATTCGGGGGCTTGTGGCCTTTGGATCCACCAGGTTTTCGCTATCTTTTTTTTCTTGTACCTTACATTATAACCGTAAGCTCCACATGTCGTTCAATTTAATTTAATCTTTTTGGTAATTTTAATGTAATATCGGTGAGGGTTATGAATGAGTGAAAAATTTATTTGGGGACATATGAGTCAGAATAGTAATGATTAATGAATGATATTTTGATAGAAATTGTTCGGATTTATCGACCTCATAAATGTCTTCGGGAACCTCGAGCTAACCATTGAAAATATCGCTGAAGAGACACTCGTAATTGTCACAGTTTCACGAATTTTTTGGGTGAGATTTTCACCGTTACTGCCAAGTCTCATTAATACCGTGAGTGACGGAATGCGAGCGGAAAACTTTGACTCAGATGAAGAAAGACAACTTTATCTCGAATACAATGTAACGACGAAAATGGTTGTTAAATTTGTCATTGCAATGGGGATGGCCGGTACAATAGCCTATCATGTGAGGCCACTAATTTTTCGAATGATAGCAAGTCAGTTGATAATCTCATCACTATAGAATTATAGTATTTTAGATAATTTTGTGTGTATTATCCGATTGGTTGGTTGGAGTAGGTTTTCAGGGTGAAACCAACATATCCTACGTATTACCATACAGAGCTCATCTCTTCTTTGATTATCAACATCTAGGATTTTATTCTCTAGTCTATTTATTACAGTCAATTACTATATTTATACACTTTTTCGTTACCGCCACTATTGGATTACTATTCATGCTCTGTTTTCACTGCTGCGGAGAGCTTTCTGCTCTACAACATAAAATAAAAACTATTGATTTTGATGAGCAATTGATGACCCATAATTTGCCCAGACCAGACCATGTATTCAAGGATTTTCTCCAACGACACATGAAGATAATTGAGTAAATATTTTTTTATTTCTCTCCATCTCTCCCCTATTAATTACATAATAATTATAACAATCACGATATTATCGATATGCTTACAGAATAGCTAAAAATATAGACAAAGCTTCTCAAGTTGTGTTGTTAGAGGAACTAGCAACAATGACCATTATTTTGGCTTTATCTTCCTATTGCGCCATGTTGGTAGGTAATTTGACATTTTAATTATAATAAAGTTTTATCTCTGTTTATATACATGACGAATTGTTTATTCCAGAATGTGACAAATGCCGAAGTTTTCCTATCCTTTTCCATGTGGTGTACATCAACGTTAAGTATCATCTATGCATACTGCTATATTGGAGAAGCTCTGATGACTGAGGTTTTTTTTTTTTTTTTTTTTTTCCAATATTAATCAGAGATAGGGCATTTGAAATATTGGATATTGAAAAATCTATTTGCAGAGCTTCAATGTTCAGCAAGCTTATTATGCATCAAGATGGTATGATTTCTCCCAGGAGTATAAGAGATCATTGGCGATATGTATGATCGGCTCCAGTAGACCATTAATATTGTCGGGGGGTGGTTTCTATACATATTCAAAATTTAGTTTCACGGCTGTAAGTGCATCTCATCAATTAATTAACTATCATATTCTTTTTAAATCGATGACTCTTTAAAATTTTTTCACCTCCAGATATTGAAATCGGCAGCGGCCTATCTATCAATGCTCCGCAATCTAGCAGAGCCGTAGTAAAGCTGTATGGCATGCATATTTAGATGCATACCCAAAAATTAGACTGAATATGTTAGAATTAATTTTTATAGGCAATTTCTAAGCTATTTATCATATAAAGGCAATGAAAAAATAAAATTAATAATCACAAAAAATGTTGCACGGCCAATGTTGTAGATCCAAATAAATATCCGCCAAAGCGAATAATCAAATCAGTACATTCAATATAAACAGTTATTTTCTTAGTAAAAAATTGGGGGAACTCCCCTCGCCAGCCTTTATAATCCTCATGCTGAATATTCAATAACAATACCACACAAATAGCAGATATTATAGAGGAAATCAGCAGCGCTTATGGTAAAGGTTCAACAGCGAAATTTCCTGGTGGCGGTCAAAGAGGATTGACTGAAGTAGAGGCTCAGTTCTGGGGGTTTGAGTAACCCCAGCGGCATCGTACTACTGCACCCCAAGAGACGGAGGGCTCCACACGCAATGCTGGGGTGTTTTTTTTTATTAATCAAGTTTTTATTGCAATGCTGGGGTGTCCACCAATTCGACGGGGTGAATTTTATTTTCTGCGGTATGAATGCTTGTTGCTTTTTATTTGTCTAACTGAAATTTAGCCGACTGTAGCACGTACGGAAGGGGGAAACCACATCTTGTGGAATTTCAATGGAAAAAATTATTCAATCTATTGAATATATACCACTAATGAATTTATAATTTTAAATGAGCGCGTTGTCCTAGTGGTAACGTGCTCGATCGGCACGCCGGCGGCCCGGGTTCAATCCCGGCATCATTCATTTTTTTTTTTATTTAAATAATTCCAATTTTTTTTTTTTGTTAATGGCAAATCAATCTAAATATTGTTTAAAAACTGAATATTTGATAATCGAGGAGATATGCAATGAAATTGAACAATTAGCAATTTTTTAAAACAATACTCTTGCAAAATATATACTCCTAATAAAATTATAATATTGCAATAGTTCGTTATCCTAGTGCTAACGTGCTCGGCTAGCACGCCGACGGCCCGGGTTCGATCCCGCCGTCATTCATTTTTTTTTTTAAATAATTCCAATTTTTCCTTTAGGTAGGTATTCACTGCAATTGAAAAATTCGAAATTTTTGAAAAAGTATCAGGATAACATGAACATCGAGGAGCTATTCACTGAAATTTTCACTGAAAGTGAAAAATTCGAAATTTTTGCCAAAGTATCAGGAGAACATGACAATCGAGGAGCTCTTCACTGAAATTTTCACTGAAAGTGAAAAATTCGAAATTTTTGCCAAAGTATCAGGAGAACATGACAATCGAAGAGCTATTCACTGAAATTTTCACTGAAGGTGAAAAATTCGGAATTTTTATAAAAGTATCAGGGGAACATAACAATCAAGGAGCTATTCACTGAAATTTTCACTGCAAGTGAAAAATCCGAAATTTTTGTAAAAGTATCAGGGGAACATGACAATCGAGTAGGTATTCAGTTTTTAAACAATAATTCGATTGATTTGCCATTAACAAAAAAAAATTGGAATTATTATGAAAAAAAAAAAAATTGAATGTTGCCGGGAATCGAACCCGGGGCGTTGGCGTGGTAGGCAAGCACGTTACCGCTAGGACAACGCGCTATTAGAATAAATAATTTCATTAGGAGTATATATATTGAAAAACTTTCGTTTTTAAAAATGTCAAATTGTTCAATTTCATTGCATATCTCCTCGATTATCAAATATTCAGTTTTTAAACAATATTTAGATTGATTTGCCATTAACAAAAAAAAAAATTGGAATTATTTAAATAAAAAAAAAAATGAATAATGCCGGGATTGAACCCGGGCCGCCGGCGTGCTAGTCGAGCACGTTACCACTAGGACAACGCGCTCATTTAAAATTATAAATTCATTAGTGGTATATATTCAATAGATTGAATAATTTTTTCCATTAAAATTCCACAAGATGTGGTTTCCCCCTTCCGCACGTTCTACAGTCGGCTAAATTTCAGTTAAACAAATAAATAACAAAAAGCATTGATACCGCAGAAAATAAAATTCACCCCATCGACTTGATGGACACCCCAGCATTGCGTGTGGCGCCCTTCCTCTCTAGGGGTGCAGTACTACGATGCCGCTGGGGTAACTCAAACCCCCAGAACTGAGCCTCTACTTTAGTCAATCCTCTCTGGTGGCGGCTACGGAACGGAATCACTTTCAAAGACAGTGATTCAGTCAATGCATTGAGAACACCGTTAAAAAATATCATAACCTCAACGTGCGTAATTTAACTCTTGATCCTTGGTGCACTTAGTGATCTAGCACCAGCAACAATGTTGCATGATATAATATTGAGTATGATAAACATCATTGATATTGTTTGATATTGAATCAAGTGAATTGACAACAATGTTGCATCGTTCCTCCAGTTTTTTTTCGCCATCCCGAGGTAAACTCAACTATTACCACCTCGATCAATTGTTTACATTGAAGATATGCGTCGCGAAACGGCACGCAAGTTTTTTAATAACTCGGAAAAATGGAAATTGTTATAAATTACGAGTGGCCAGGGAGAGCAAGTGTGTGCATGATAAGGAGAAATATATTTTTCATACGAAATGGTCTTGGCTAAATATTACGAGGCAGTTCGGAGATGACAGCAAAACGAAAAATCAGGCAGGATCGAAGGTAGTGAGGGAATTTAAACAAACTCTCCAGCAAAAAATAATCGAGTTGAATGGGGGTGAGAAATTGGGCAAACTCAGGGAGAGAATTTTGCAAGTTGAACCTGTCTGTGTTTTGACAAAAAAGGGGATGACTGGGGGGAGTGATAACAGTGAGGTAAGAGACGATGGGTCCAAAGAGATTGGCAAAAATGATGAAGTTATGAAGAAAGGTTTGTATGTTTTTCTGTGTCAATGGAATAATGATGGAATAATTACAGATTAATTTAAATTTATTTCAGTTAAAAGACGAGTAGATCACTCAGCTTCATCCCTGGAAAGGAACTTCATTACTCCAGTCCGTGCAATGTCAGATTTCCTCTTGAAACCAACAGATTTGGAGTCCCTTCCAAAAACCAAACGAAGGTCACCTTATGAGGACAAGCCTCCCATCACAGTTTACTGGAGAAAAGATGTTGAGGCCAAGGCCATAGAAGTTTGGGGCTCGAGAGAGGCTCTGTTAAAAGAGTTGTTGAAAAAAGAGTTGGAATTGAAAACATATCAACAAAATGTTTTCACTGTAAAGAGACGGCTACGTGACTACAGGCGAGAACTGGGAAATAAGCCAGAGAGCATTGATGACGAGAATGAAGGTCTCTTTGGGAGATCCGGAAGGGTAGTTTTAACCGCTGTAGTAATAAATGCGAGCAATTTCTTATTTAAACTTGTCGCTTGGGTGTACACTGGCTCACACAGTATGTTTTCCGAGTGTATACATTCTGCTGCCGATACATTTAATCAATTAATATTGGCTTATGGAATTCACAAATCTGTTCAAAATCCAAATGCAGATCATCCCTATGGCTACACAAACATGAAATATGTCTCCTCACTAATATCCGGCGTTGGCATTTTTTGTGTTGGCACTGGCCTCTCAATTTATCATGGAATCCATGGGATTCTCTTCCCAGATCCTGTGGAGTCATTCTACTGGGCCTATTTCATTCTTGGTGGGTCTCTTGTATCGGAGGGAGCGACCCTTCTGGTAGCCATTAATTCGGTGAGAAAAGGGGCTGAGGAGAAACGTCAATCATTCAAGGACTACGTCCTATCTGGACAGGATCCCTCGGTTAATGTCGTACTCATGGAGGATTTAGCTGCAGTGATGGGGGTAACCGTTGCTGGCTGCTGCATGGGATTGACCTCTTATTTGGGGAATCCAGTTTTTGATGCTGTTGGTTCATTGCTAGTTGGGGGACTCCTCGGTGGAGTTGCATCCTTCATTATTTATTCTAATGTTGCTGCTCTCATTGGAAGAAGTATTCCACAAGAGAATCTAGATAAAATTAATGCTGAGTTGGAGTCGGACGTAATGGTGAGTATTTATCAATGCATGCACTGAATTATTAGTCCTCATTTATTGTACTTATAGGTTCGAGCTATTTATGATGTCAAAGGAATAGACATGGGAAATAGTCTCGTACGATACAAAGCAGAAATTGATTTTGATGGACGAGAATTAACAAGGTCTTATCTTGATAAACATGACCTAAATGCCATGCTGGAGGTAATTTATTTTTCCTTCATCATTTTATATTATTTTTCACAATTTTTTCCCTTTTCATTCAATATCATATTTTAATTGTTCATTCAAATGAATAGGAAGTGAAAAAAATGCAGAGTATAGATGAGCTCGAAATATTTTTACTGAAGCACGGAGAGAATATCGTTGACATGCTGGGTGGTGAAATCGATAGAATTGAATTGAAACTCAAGGTAGTCATCAGAAAAAACATATATTGCTGCACTCCTTATCGCCTTTTCAATGTATTTCTCTTCAGTCTTGCGACTTATTTATTTATTGTTTATTTGCAGAAAAATCATCCAGAAATTCGACACTGTGATCTTGAGGTTCTTTGAACTATTGTAATCAATTATCTATAGCGAAACTATTGTAAATACATTATTTAATAATCATTGCTTGTTGGAAAGGTGATAAATTCTAGACTTAATAATTCCACAGCCATTCACTAATTTCAATATTTATTCAAACCAGAGAATTCGTTTTTTTTTTTCCATAAATCCATTAATCTCTTTTATGTCAAAAAAAATCATTATGCTGCTTTACGTGAAAAGCGTATAATAAAAATTTATCGAATGACAAAAAGAATATTTATTTTCTAAGAATGTTTCGCAAGCTTTTTTTTTTATGTTGAATTTCAATATTTAGCCAAGAGAAAAGGGCAATTTAAAGCTGAGGGGGAACGATGCTTTGTGATGTGGATAAATATTAGAGTGCATTGTCAACTGATAAAGGTTGAACAAGAAAATTGGCTATTTTATTCTAGTTTCATTGAAAAACTTTACATTCTCTTTAATTCCAAAATAATGATTCGAAATTCATCCCAAAAATTTATGATTTTTAATGAGAATGTCAAGGAGCTGCGTCTGTATTATGAAAAAATGAATGAACATCGTGACATTTTCTCGGAGAATCACATTTACACCGAAGACGAATGCATAATTAATATAAATGTTGAACTTGAAATATTCCGTTTCGTCACATCGCTATTCTATCTTTGAAATAAATCAATAAAAACATGATTTACAGAATATTTTTCAATTCAACTACGCATAAATAATTGAATTTAGAATTGGTAAATTGAAAAACATAAAAATGCAAAGAAAAATTGGACAAAGGAGTAGAACACATTATTACACACAGTACAGGGAGGCCCCCTGACGCCCAACCAAACCTGAAGGTGAAATCAGTGTCGTGGTAGCCGTCGCGTATTCGTGTAAATATTATCGTATCTCGTCCATCTCCACGTGGATGAAAAAAAAAAAAAACACATATAAATTAACACTATGAGTGATTTGACATTATAAAAGAATCATCATTATTAGTGTTAGTTGTTAGCCGTTGGCTATCTTCTCGGAAACCACCTGCACGAAAATGGCTGTAAGTTGTCTGTATTGACATTCATTCACCTCTCAAGCTACCATCTCACTCTGCTAACAAATTCCTCAATCTTTCAAGCTTCCAAGCTTCCAAGCATAAATCTCAAATATCACTTTTTCTGAATGATGAGTTTCACATCGAATTTCTGAATTATTAGCTATATAATAGTCCAAACAGTCCTGAACGTTCCAATGGATAACCTGAAAAAAAAAAATGATATCAACTTTTCATCTCCAATTTATTTATTCATCACTTTGGCTCTTTCATTGTAGCCTCCGACAAAGAGCACAAAAGTAGCGACCAGAGGAGCCAAACAAATCCTCGAAGAAAATGTTTCCACATTGAATTTTTATAGAAATATGGTATTCATTGCTTCCGGAGTATACCTCGTTATTATGATCGTCTTTTTCGAATTTACACCTTTAACAATAGTGAGTACAAATTGATTAAGGGGATAGCGATAACGTGCAGAATCTGTACTGCCTTTGCATGTGAACACAAAATAGTGTCTTATATAAAACGGTGCAAAAAATTAATTGTTTTTCTTTTTCTTTTTTTTTTTTGTCAGTCATTAACACTCCTCAGTGCTGTAACATATGTAACTAGTTATCAATTTATGATGTACATGGCACGTGCAAAATATAGTGAATCCGGTCAATTAATTGATTCCGGAGTTGATCTCAACATGGAAGGTGGAATTGCTGAGTAAGTACCTTTTTTCGTCTCATCCATTTAATTCAGAATTCACCTCTTTGAATTTTCCAGGCACATTAAAGACCTTATAATTCTCACATCGGGATGTCAAGTATTGTCTTTAACATCGAATTATTTTTGGTGTTTGTGGACATTAGTAAGTTTGAAAAGAGAGTAGTACTTGATTTTTTTTCTACTCCAATAAGACTGCCTGTTTTCTATTTAGGCGCCAATCCGGGGTTTCTACATGTTGTGGACAAAACTCCTCGCACCCTGGTTTTTCTCCTCTCCTGAACCTCAGCCGGATATGGACGAGAAAAAACAACGAAAATTAGAACGAAAAATGGCGAGACGCCAATGATAAAGTTTGCATTAATTCTCGTATTCCCGAATGTTGAATGAAACAAAAAGCTACTCAATAAGCCAGACAATTAAATTTTTTGTCTGAAACATGGAAATGATTAATTAATTAAATATAACTGATTGTATAATGATTATTAGGATATTGACTTGTTTCTTATCTCTCTTCAATAAATAAATAAAAATTATATGAAACAAAAGGACTTATTTTCATTACCTGTAGTCATTACCAATATGATTAAAGAATTATTATTATGCATAAAAAGAGAAGAAGGCAGTGTTATTATTAATCTCTCGTGGCGAATAATAGACTGAAATGTGTGAGAGTCGTCAAATTCCCGGTATTAATTTTTGCGAAACAGACAATTTCATTCACCCTATTCCCCCTTTACTGTGAGTGAAATGCATTTCTGAGTGGAGTCAGCGACGAATGGCACTCACTTGGTTTGGGCATTACTACAAGTTTCCTCAACCGGTTCATTACATGCATTCATTGCATATCACCTCTGTTGTTTCTTGATGAAGTAAATCATCATTGACGATTAGTTATCATCGAGTGACTTATCTATAAAGTAGTCAATCCTTTTGAAATACCTTTGTTATCAGAGATGGTGATTGGGGCCCGTGAAATAGTTTAAAATACGGAATATACGTTATAGAGCGCCTAGATCAAAGGTTGAGGACACTCTTTTTTTTCCCTCTTTCACTCTGTTAACTCAGGCACATCTACTTAAAGTCAGATGTCCCGACAATGTTGGAGTCAGTGCGAAAGGGATAACGACACGCTGAACATTGGTTAATATTAATTAATTGAGGGTTGGACTTTATGCTGGTGATTGGTGTAATTGGAAAGTAAAGAAAACGAAGAAATGAAATATAATAATTTAGTATTCGTGCTGGTCCCTGTGGCATTTTTATTTGTATGTTTATATGCCAGTGGAGATTTTATTGAGGAGAATTGCAAGAAAAATGCTAGCGACTGTATTGACCAATGGGTGTCAAAAATATCCCACGGAATTAATAGAGAAAGCGAATTTGGTAAAATGGATAATGATCGAGTTAATACTTCTCGAGATTTAGCGGCGGATGGGGAGAATCAGGTCCCTTTGTTTTTAAATCTGCCACTACTACCAATTCTCTTTGCATCTTCACCGACACTTCCGGAGGGAGAATGCAAGAGACATTCACTGAGATATCTTCGCGAGCTCAAAAATGGTACCCTCTGGGCCTCAAGAAGTAAGTCTTTTTTTTTTTTTCACAAGTGGAAAAGTTTTGGAATTTTCCACCCAATCTTTGCCATTCTGGGAAAATATTAGTATACTATCAAATATTACTTAATTTTGATGGGACGGATAATGCTAATGAGATTGAATGTGACATTGTGGAATTATAATTGGAAGGTCGACTAGTCAAAATTGTGACGAAATCCAATACAGATATATATATATATGAATACCTCACGATAATGTTGTGTATTTTTTTTTTATACCCACCAACATGAGGCGAATAATAAAGTTGGAAGTCTTCTGTATATAATGTAACTTTTGTTCATTTTTTCCATCTCCGTGCTCGATAAATTTCAATTGGTCACAAATTATTGTGTGTCATTTTATTCAAAAAGATTTAAGATAGGCCTTGGTAGAAAATTTTATGAAAAGCGGAAAAAGGCAAAACATCAATAGCGTGCGATATGGATTTTCTTAGTGAATGCCTTGGATTTTTTCTTACGTACGCATTACAACGCATATACATTGACATTTGAAGGCATGATTCTGCAGGACAAAATCGGTCGGTAAACAAAAAATGTTTGTCAAAGAATGGCGATTAGCGATGGAAAAAGAAAAATTAACATTTCCGAGTGATGAATTGTGAGGTGTGAGTAAAATATTATTTTTCAAGTGTTCGACTCGTCCGTTAAATATCCAGAGGGTATAATAGTGGGTCACACACGTCACTACGGAAATTTCGACGAATGTTACGAGTTGAATGCTAAAATTTCACGGCAAGATCCTCATCTGGAACCCGAGGAGATTAGTGGCCGCTACTGTCTCATTAAGATTAAATATCGAAAGATTAATGCACCGCCCAGCCGACCCAGCCCCTTCACATTGAATTTCGATCCTAATGAGTCAGCTTGGGAGGCTGTCAAGGTCAGAATTGAAGATTGTAAAATTTACATTAACATAACATTACATTAGATCAGACATATGTATTGATTAATCATTGAAAAAAATAAATAAATAAATAAAAAATAGGAAAAAGGTGATTTTCGACGAGTAAAGAGATACGATTTGGAATTGGCCCTGTGCGTGCCGTCATCGTGCTCAGCGGAGGATGTGGATAAGGCATTGAAGATACCCTTGAGGAGAATAGGAAAGGAGAAACAAGTTTTCATTGAGACGAGCATCAAAGGGAACACATGCCAGTCTAAAATTGATTCACCGAAATTTTCAACCTCCGCAAAGGTCTATTGGTAGGAATACCAAATAATAATTTAATTATAAAAGAAATTAACCCAATGAATTTCAGTTACATAATTGGGAGCCTCGTTGCTGTAGTATGCTTGAGTACGTGGTATGACAATGCGATGAAACATGAAAAATATAGGTGCGATGGAGGCCTTGCAACGGACTTGCTACTTTGTTTCTCAGCTAGAAGCAATATCAGAAGTATCATGGACGTCTCATACTCCCATCCTGGATTAGATAGCATTCACTTTATACGTTTTTTCTTCATGTGCGCTGTTATATTCGGCCATCGATACATGCAGTATTACGCTAATCCGATGATCAATCCGGAGTACCTCGAACATGTGAGCACCCACCACTATCACGCCACCTTCTTTATCTCCATCGCTCTCCCCAATTATTCATTTTTGTTCAATATAATTCCAAGATAATAAATATATCGAATTAACAGTGATCACATAATTGTCAATATGATTATGCCTCTATTTTATCCTATTTTTAGACATACACCGTACCCTCCTCGATACTCCTCTATAATGGACCAATTATTGTCGATGGATTCTTAGGTGTCGGAGGATTACTAGCGGCTTATTATCTACTTAAAGAATTGGATACCAAGAGAAAAATTAATTTTTCTCTCAGTATCATTATCCGATACATAAGGTAATGGTAATTCATTAATTTTTTTTTTTTTAATTCTCATAATATATTTCACTATGAAATTGTACAATTTTTATATTACCCTCAGAATGAGTAGAGATGCTTAGGTAGGAAAAGAATATGAATGTAAATTAATTGTCAGAAATAATAGTGTGCAATAATGATAAAGATTTAAACTGATTATGCTGTAGATTGACGCCATCGTATGCTGCAATCATAGGCTTTATCGCCCTAATACTACCTCACCTGAGCACCGGTCCCTACTGGTCCCACAAAATTGGTTTAGAAAGTGAAGGTTGCGTTGAAAATTGGTGGACCAATCTCCTCTACATCAATAACTACGTTAAAACCGATAAAATGGTAAGCTTTGCACAAGAGTGAATAAAATTTCAGTCAAATGCAATAAACCGCAATAAAATGCTAATGTGAAATGCAAAATTCACTTATTACTCAATCGGTTAGATTTTCTTTTCTCTTTTTATATTATTTTCTACTTTATAGTGCATGTTCCAATCGTGGTACGTGGCTGTCGACTATCACCTGTACATAATTGCGCTATTCGCTGTTTACTTTTTTTGGAAATTACCGAGACGGCTGGGATACCCTTTCCTTGTCGCTGTAATCATTGCCGGTTGTATTATATCTTTCTGTGTATCGTATATGTACAGCGTTCAGCCCATGTGGTTGGGATTACCTTTGTGAGTATATCATTTTATCACCGAATCTCATTGAATTTCATTTTTTTTTTTTTTTTTTATTTGAAGTTGAATTAAATTGAGATTGATGGATTTAAAGTGGAATTTGTATTTTATCAGCATGCACGAGGTGAGAGAAGATCCGTACTTCACCGAGCATTATGTAAAAACCCATGAGCGTATTGCAGCCTATTTTGTTGGTGTCGTTGCCGGTGCAATTATTTATGACCACGGCCGATCTCCCTGGAGACTGTCTCAAGTAAATATATTATCAATAAAATCCCTCTACTTTTACCAATAATAACAGATGTCATTTATTTTCTATCCGCTTTCCATTTTTTTCTAGCCATGGTCAAGTACCTTGTTCATGCTAGTGGTTCTAGTATTGGGAGTGACATCGCAAAATTTGGGTCACAAATACTACGATCCTAATGTCAAGGTATCTGCACTTGAAAGTGCACTTTATTCGTCTCTGCACAGACCTGCATTTGCCGTTTCTGTGGTCGCTATTGTCATCTTGTTGACTGTTGGTGAAGGATTGGGTAAATTAAAATAATATATATTTATTGAGTGATTATTCATTAATTTAATGGACATTTGTATTTATTGATTGGTTTGAACAGATTTTCATCACAGTTTTTTCAAAGGCCGCTGGGTACAGCCTCTAGCAAGACTAACATACGGTGCATACTTACTTCACAACATCAATCAGTGCTACGATGTTGGTGTCATCAGACAAGCCAGAACATTTTCACTTCACAATTGTGTAAGAAAAAAAAAAACAGCATTGAAGAAAAATTGATTAATTGATTGTAAAAAAAAAAAACCATAAGAAGAATCCCTTGCTCTTTTAATATAAGAGAACTAAATTTTCGATCTCTTTATTATTTTTCCATTGTGCTTGCAGTTTTGGGATTTTGTGCCTGACGTAGTGCTGACTTTTACTCTCTCTTTGATAGTGGCATTAGTCATAGAGGGACCGTTTAGAAAAATTGAAAAAATATTCATCAGCAGGAGAATATCAAAGAAGCTGTCCCCTTCTGGGTAAGTTAACATTGTTTGCTCATTGTCACAGGCTAATTTATTTGTCTTTTTTCAATTTTGTTTTAAATGCCCTATTTTTCACTCCTCCGAGAAATCCCACAAAATCGAATGATCTCCCCGGAAATCCCATTATTCGGCCATTATCATCGTTATCTGACAAATTTTTCATTTTCTAGATTTTTCACGAATATCCCGCCAGCCCAGGAAAAAATCGCCTAGTCCAAATATTGAAGATTCTTGTAGTTTTGTTGTAAATATTGTTTCTCCCCTCTGTAACACATAATTTTTATAAAGTATATTCTAGTACAAAGAGAGCTACCTAGTAGTGGTTGCACTGAATATTATTTGAAATTTTCTTTTCATGAATTGTTATATTATGTAGTATTTAGTATATAAATTGTTATTAAATAAAATTCAGTATGTCAGAGTGGGTTTGTATGTCTTTAACCTTTAGGCATACTCTTAAAATAGAAAAAACATTTACTTAACTTACTCAAATCATTAATTAATTTTATTACGTTTACCATGACGACACCAATGAATGTGAGTAATGAAACACAGCGCTATACGAATCCTGATACTGATATTCCATACAAGTATGCACGACCATTCCGCTTAAAAAGAAAAATGTCTAACACTGTAAAATTTACATCGGATTCAAACACTTCCATAACAGTAAGACTAAAAGGAGTACCTGATGGTGTCTCGCCACTAGCTACTGAAGCCATAGTAGAGAAAGATTTGCCACTTCGTTTATATATCTACTCGCCGCAACCACTCAAGAGTGAACAGATTGAGTTTCTGGAAAAGTTGGTAGATAAAACACCCTATCCTATATTTCAAGTGGTTCACCCGTCCGCTAGACTCTCTCACATTCCAAAAAATAATTTCTACCTATGCCAGGGTGTTCCAAATATCATAAGCACATTTACCGAATATCGTTATCTTCAAAGACGTCATGAAATTTCAAATATTGCTTACGATGTAAAAACAGCATTTGTTTATCCACTCGTTTTACCTCACACACCACAAATTGTTTTAATAATGCCGAAAAATTTCAAGCGCACGGGATTACGTTGTGGTTACTTTGAATTCCCTAACAATTTAATAATACGTCTTTATAGTGCTCACATGCTATCCGCTTCTACCATTGGCTTTGAAAATGATCCAGGTATTGTGTCGGTAATTAGCACGGAGAATCAATATCTAATTACAATCATCAAGACTTTCTTTTGTCGTATGGGAATGCACCGTATCATGTCTAATGCTTTAAATCAGATTTATGCGTCCGACAAATACTTAACATTGATTGTCGGCAGCACAGCCAATATTCTTCTACCGTAAAAAAAAATAATTTATATTTTTATATATTTTAAATTTACATGGTTGATTAGTTGTGGTGGGCAAGTAACAATAAAATTTATCGATAATGTAGAATTACTTGAATAGTAGTTGGAATATAAAATAAGCTTTTTGGAAAGTGTCAATTGCCCACTCTAGCATTGTGTGTGGTCAATTCTATACAAGGCATCAGTTAGGCAAGTACTTATAACTCGATTCTCAATGGGGTATCAAACTAATAATAATCATCATTCTCATGAACTATATAGCAATATGAAATGGAGTGAACGTCTTCAACTCATTCACTATCGTGTCAAAATCATCATTGATAATATGACAGCCGCTGAAATTAACAATTTCCACGGTAATTCAACGCTCACTGTTTCATTTACGGAAAACGGTATTGAGACTGTAAAAATCATCAACGCCCGCCGTGAAAAAAACAAGTGACAAGTGATGAGTATTTTTTTTTTTAAATTTACTTATTATTTAGGAGAAAATATTGATGCGTTATGATTTCGGTGGATAAACCGGACTTAGTTGTCCATCCCAAGTTTTTCAATCATATTTCTCAATACAATTTAACTCGGTATTTTAATGTTTTGGAATTGAATGATTTGATAATTGAAACGGACATTGAGCCATTGATAATTACTGATGATGCATGCCAATTCACATCTCTTACTCTTGACCCATTTTATTCAAAAAGTTTGAACCAACAGTCAGGTATAGATCCATCATCGACCAGTTATTGGTTTGATGAGCCACAACCCATCTATACGATACGTCAAAATTCACCGCGCTATGTAATTTGGCCAAAAAATGAAAATTTAACAATTTGCGGTACACATGTTGAACGCATCCAATTCCATGAATTGTATGATACAGTGCGACGTGCAAAAGAATGGTCATTTCCCATAACCGAAGAAAAATCAATAATAGTCTTTAATTTGCACTCAACTCTCATTGACGATGAAAATAAAAAACTGGATTATGCCGATAATGTGTTAGAGTATGCCGCAAATACATATGATTTTGTTGTACTATGGTCGCATAGGTCGCCATTGGACGTCGATGACAATATTAAAAAATTCACGGTGGGAAAAAAAACCGGCGAGCAACTATTTGATTTGATTTTGAAACACAATTCACATTCGTATATCGCAGCCAATAAAAATCTCCTCTACCTCTACAACTTCTTTCCCAATTGTCGATTTACACGAGCTACCCTAGTCGATGACTCAGCATTCAATTGGACTCCGGAATATAATAAATTCATTATGCCCAAATGTAAAACACTCATCCATGCTTTGCCATTTATAAGTTAAAGAAGGAAGCAAAAAAAAAATAATAATAAATAAATAGATGGATATTTTTAACACAACTGACTGTGCCACAGAATAATAATAAAAAATAAATTAAAAAAATAAGGTGGGCGATTAGAGAAGACGTGATAAAAAATAAATATAGCCGTGGTAAAAAAAAGTTTTACCCTTTATGAGTGAAGTTGGGTCAATTGTCTACGAATATCCACTAGCATCTTGAATGGATTCGACAAGATCAAGAATTGAATCATCAAAGACGACTAATCGTGCAAGACACAATAAGCATACACTTATAATCAGCATAAATAAGGCAAGGATATTTATACGTATAAGAGCAAAGAGTGAAGCACCTAGAAATAAGCCCGCTGAAAGGTAATTGAGATGTCTTATGAGTTGAACGCGTCGATAGAAACGTTTATTGTATTCCTCGAATACCTCACGATCAAAGCGAACGCCATGCACTCGCAATTTGTTGCCAACGTCATTAAGGCTATCTATATCTTCAGGTTGGACCGTAAATTTTTCCTCCAATGCAATTTTAGATCCCTCACTATTTACCTCCAGGGAACTCAGATATTCATTCTGATGTTGGTAAGACTCAAGATCAATGTCAAATTTTTCGTCCTCGGTGAGAATGAGGTTGAGAAAATCCTCGAAAGTATACTCTGCCACAGTCTTTCCCACATCTTGACGAAATTGAGTTTCACCAGCACGATAGTTATCCCGGGGCCACTCAGGTGGAAGCATTTTGTTATAGCCGTAAGGATCCCATATTAGAAATATGATATCTAATATCGAGGCTATAAACAACAGTATGCCAATGATACTAGCTGCACCGGCTAAAACACGAGCTAGAGCTATTGCTGCTCGTGAAGCAACCCTTGCTACCGTTTGCACGGCAACACGTTTGAAAACACTCTTCATAGCAGTTTTGGCGACTGTTGGCCCCACTTTGGTACTCATTTGTAACAATCTTTGGCAAAAAGCCGGTGTGCATTTAGTCATCACTCTCTTAGCTAATTTTTTCGCGCTCGTTATTGCCAGTTCCACACCTTGGGAGATGGCTTCCTGTTCCCAATATTCGATAGTAAACATCGATTTTAAATAATTTACAATTACCTCTTTGAAATGAACCAACATTATTTTTCCTTCTTTTATCATACCTTCTGAGATGCCTTCTTCCTGCTGTCTTCTAGGTAAATTAGTTGGATTAAAATCTTTAAGGGACATGTTAGTGATGGAGAGAGTGGACTGCTTATCGAAAATTTTATGAGAAAAGTCTGAATTTATATTTTTTTTCCAACCTTCAAGTGTATATTTTTCGGGCATTGTATTGTTGCCGATAATACGATTATAATGATCGGCCGGTATACCCAAGTCTTCACTACCATTGATCAACACTGTAATGCCGGATTTAAGGGTGCCAATCAATGATGGGCCAATAACAGTATTGGCAACGGTTTGTAAGAAAGTGTACTTACATTCATGAGTATTTTCATCGAAAGACATATTGAAAATATCACAATAGTTGCTGTTAAATTCATATTTGTATCCAGCCCCAATAAAGTCATTTGGATCATAACGACGATTGAAACCCCAACCAATATCATTAACACGTTTCTCATATTGAGTTTTGCCACGATAAAATGGTTTCTCAAGCATTGCTATTATTGAACTATTGACGTAGCGACATGATTTATTGTGAGCCCAAACCAGGTGAGGTGTATTAACCCCCATTTTTTCTGGAGATATTGTAGGGCTTGTTTTTGTATTGAAACATGCTGGCTGGCATTGAATGTCAAATTGATCATTGCCAACAATATAGAATGATGCATTGTCATTGGGTGTACAAATACCCTTCTCCTTTTCCGGAGTACAAGAGATTGCCTCACACAAATCTTTGGTTATGTTGGCTGTCACGACCATTGACCGAGTCTCCAATGCTTTTGATATTCTATAATCAGAATCGGTGGCAGAACGAATATCTACATGCAAATGTGACGTTAAATGTGGCACTTTTTTGAACATTAATTTCAATTGTTTTAATTTTATAAAGGCAGCGGCATATGACACTGCATCCTGCTTATCTTTTTCCGTAAATGTAGCCATTATTACTATCTATACCTGGAGTATAAACTATAAATATAAATGTATATCTAATGCTCATGTTTTCGGTGCATTCGATGCTTTCATTCTGCTCTCTCAAGTAGAAAATAAAATAAAATGTTAGTAAAGTTTATAGCAGGATTCTACATACTACAAAAAATTTGAAAAAAAGTTAATGGTAATTTTTTTTTCATTTAATATAATTTTTTTCGTTATATAAGAGATCGTTGAATTTAATGAGCGGATTGTTTCCTGAATCAACACAAATCCCATGACTACGAATAATTCGGGTAGAGGGAATAATCACAAGATGCTGATCATTCGGACATTTACAATTTCTCATCTGAGGAAAACTTTCACGATAGTCTATTTCAATTTGCCCCTTGCTACACAAATTATTGGGTTTATCGGGATCTTCAGGACTGATACCAATATCTAAACTCATGCACACCGATTTTATAGTGCCAAATTCACTATTACCGGTTAGATAAGCAACGACTCCACGTTTTAAATCACATCTCTTCCTCTCATTGGCCATTGTAAATATCGTCTGATTGACACACACACCTTTTTTTGATTCAAAGATGCCGGTTCTTTGGCATACCTCATCACAATGAGAACTCTCCATGGAGTAGACAGTTTCATTGTCACAATCGCGTCGTAATTTATCGCTCATTGTTCCGGGAAAATCATGGCGTCGAATTTTCGGTGTAAAATTTTCCAATTGACGCAATAAACTCAATATTACCAATATCAACATCAAAATTAAAAATATCCCAGCAAAGATTGATTTCATTGTTGTAGATAAAAAATATGCAGATGCTCTATATGACAAGAATGAATAAGAAAGTCTTTCTAGGGTAGCTTTAGAATTGGATAGCATTCATTATCAAGTACATGGACAAGTGATCCGTATGATATTGTTGCGTAATTCCCGTTTTGCTTGACTATGAGAAATTGAAGAGTTGGTGGTGCATATTGGCCATTCATTCGAAACCCTTTAACCCCATGAAGTCCTAGACCATCGACTAATTCATAGTCCATATCTGTTTTTGATGTAATTTCATGAACCTTACTCCATAAAATGCCATATGTGCCCGATTTTTTAGTATTAATTTCTTCTGGACATAATACTATTTCTTTGACGACGCGAGTAACATCCACGTTAATCGAATCCCATTTTTCATTCTCTTCGTTATAAATAAGATCTTCATCTGGAATTTCAATCGGCATGCATTTTCCACTACCGATTGTATACCATTGGTAATTGTTAGCATCATTCTCGTCGATAATACCATAACCCGACAGATAAAGGCGTGAATTTTTCAATCTATTATTAGATGTCAAATTATTCGAATTCTCCTCGAAACCGTATTGAATCGCTATATTTTTTTCTATAAAGCCCGGTGGTGGATACTTTGATGTGAATGTAATAAGATGAATTGCACGACTTTGCTCGTAAATTTTAAGATTATTAACGTGATATGTTTCCTCAATTTCATTAAAAAATGGCCAAAAGCTAACATCAGGATTGTAATCAACTGGAACACCAATTAAAATTGGCGGTAAGCCTGGCTTTGGGGGTAGGCTTGATCCTGCTGGACGAATCATGGTTTGTAATGTTTTCCAGGGAAAATCATATCGATCAAGCAACTTATCACTACAAGGACATCCCCAATCAATTGTTTTTCCTTCAGGTGGCTCTGGTTCCACCCTACCTTCGATGTAATTCCAACAATAAATCTTGCGGCTGTCGTCTGCTATCTTCTCGGAATTCTCTGAATGTTTTTCCACGATCAACGGATGATAAGCAGAATTTGTCAGTGAAGGTATATAAGTATTTGTAATCAGGTTGAAAGGATATGCCCGGGGCATTGCATCAGTCCACGCTAAATTAATTATGAGATCTTCTCGAAGGACATCTCTTAGTCGATTGACGGGTAGACATTGACCATTATTATCCATAAATTCTTGGGGATACTGATCAATTTGAAAATTCACTTGTTTCCACCATTTCCATGAAACGGGAGCTTTCCATAATGTTAGATTTCTATTGCATTCTGTGACAATATGTTTGTCATCGACACATGTTATTTTGCCATACTTGTACTTCAAATATTCAGTAGTACTTTCCAAATCTTGCTCCTTGCATTCAAATATTTTGCACGCATACTCGGTGTCCGAGATTTTTATGACACCTTGATCACAGTCAATCACCTTCGCCATTTTATTCTTACAATATATATATTGATTATTATTTCCTTCAATGGGCAGTGTGCCATTCTCCTCGCAAGAGGATACAGCCACACAAGCATTGTTTAATTCATTGTATTGAGTATATGGTGGACAATATTTCACTTTACTCTCTCCATTATAACATTCATAATAAGAAGTTAGTTCCAGTTTCGTATCATTATCCTCGATCGGGGATTTATGCCTGAAACCATTATTTTTTTCTTCGCATATATCATAAGAGTGACAGTTAAGATCTTCACCGAGAATTTTATTGGTAGGACACGCTTCCAACTCATAATTTCCATCCTTCATACAGTGAATACGAATACGCGGATGTTTTGAATGACCAGCTCGTTTACTTCGCCGCCTCCGCAATTGTTTAATATGAAAATTATTTTTATATAGGGCCAAACCATTGAAATTGGTAAATGTAAGAGCTTTGAATTTGCCATCATCAGTGTGTTGACATAGTGGTTTTAAATTACAATTTTCACCTTCATACCCATCGGGACAATAAAATGTTACATTCTTAAAACCAACAATCTTGAAACCATTTGATTGCCATTTAATCTTTCCCAACTCAGCGAACGATGTCCTAATTAAAGAAAAATCTACGGGTTTTGTTTCATTGTTTATTTTAACCTTTCCTCTGTCCATCGTAATATTCTTATACTTCCCACTTACTTTATCATAGCCCATGCAGAATGATTGAGCGGATGGTTTCGCTAGCAATATTTTCTTAGCGAGCACTTCTTCATCGCCAGTCGTCCCAATATGATTGAATATTAAAATACAACACAGTATTAATCCAAGAAACGCTATGAGAATTCCAAGCACTAAATCCATTTCTCTATACTATTTATAATGCTTGATTAGAAAAATAAAAAAACATTCAACTCACAACAAGACCAGTATAAGCCGAGAAAAATTACCATCACTATTGCTTGCTTGGGCACTTGCAATTCGATTTCGACTTTTTTCAATTCGATACTCTCGCCGCCGCCATTTTTATTTATTTCGACCTTCTTCAATTCGATTTTTGAGAGCGGTAGCCATTGTGCTCTCATATATACATACAATGCATATGTTGTATGAGCAAGCGGAGGAGGTGGAACTGGTGAACGGCCCGACGATACTATCCCAATCAACCGCGATAACCACCATTTTCACGTAACCTATCAATTGTCACCAACTGCCTAACTTGTATCTCCATACTTCTCCAGAATTTTCCTGAACAAATAGATACAAATATAAAATAGTTCTAGAAATGACAGATGTATTTCCTGCATGTTGATTGGTGGTGCGGTTGGGCGTAGTGATACAAACATGTCGGCCGGTGTCAGCGGTTTAATCCATAATCCATAATAATGTCGTCAAACGTGTACAAAAATTCAGTGATCATCACGGCAATAAAAAAACACACCAACTTCTCTTCGTCATAATAATAATAATAATAATAATAATAATAATAATAATAATAATAATAATAATATCAATAATAATAATCGTATAAAGAGCGCCATGCTTGAAAAAAAATAGTGGAAATAGGAAATAGTGGCTTAGGAGAAATAGTAAAGATTGTGTTTAGACTCGGTTGGTAATGGGGTGTGATGGAGTGATGCCGTAGTCAAGGAGACCGCAGGGCAGTAGACAACTGACATTCTCAACCGGCCGTTTCTCGTTTTGTTGGTCGTGAGAATATCGAGTTAAAAGCCCCCGTGTTGTTTTTTCACTGGTGCATCGACGAGTGTTGGAGGATTTGCTCGTAATTTCCAGCTCCAATTTTCCTAGCTCACTCATTAAATCATCACACAATCAGTGCACCACACTTATCAATAACAAAACCGATTGTGACGATTATTGTTTTTTTTTTTTAAGCCTTTCTTATCTATTTGTACTTGAAAGGGTTGGAAAGACACATCTGCAAAAGGTAAGGAATTATCATTTGTTGCAAATACTTTGGTATTTTACCATGGCTGAGTCAGCTGGTGTCTCCGTAGCCTCTCAATTTTCTAATAATCTTTATGAGTTTTTTTTTTTTTGCAAACCATATCTCTTTCTTCCCCGACCTATTCATTTCGTTTTCAGTTTTCTTCTCACTTCACTTATTGTTTATAATAAAAGCGTATTTGGTTATATATGTAGAAAATGCTCCTCGTCCAAGACTTCCTTTTCAATTATCCATTAAATTTTCCGCCCAAGGAAATATCATACACCTGGAGGGATGGTAAATATTTCAAGACACTTGCAACAGCAACAAGAAACGTTCAACTCAATGGGTACCACCAGGCACCAGCCACGCATAACACCGTCCAGGTGCAGTCATCAACGGACTGTCATGTTTTTCTAAGCCCTTTCCATCAATCTTCCTCAATCCCTTTTATTTCAAAAATACTATTCATTCGCCACATTCTCCAAATCTTTCATTACTATTAATAATGATAAATGAGAAGAAAATGAAAAAATAAATGAAAAAAAAGCGTTAATTATATAACTAGCATGTTTAATACAAAATATACAAAATATATATAAGACGATTATCGTTAATACACCCTAATTACCTCGGACTAGCAGAGATGCCAATATATATATATATATATATCTATTCTCCTCTTAACGTTCTTTCATTATCCGTGATCAGTTACAACATTTTGGAATGTGTTTGGTATTCGGTACTAGGTAGGTGGTAGAAAAAAATACGAGGCCAATGTGAGATACTTAGCTAAGGGTAGTGTGTGAATCTGAATGTACAATATTATACCGGGGAATGATTACCCCCCAGCGAGATCTTCTCCCTTTGATCAAAGTATTATTAAATGCTCTGCCACGCGCACCTGTAACTAGGTAACGAACGCACGATACGGATTGGTCATTACCTTTTTGCAGATTGGATTTATGGGGAGAATTGACAAAAGAAAAATTTCATAAAGAAAGAGGGAGGGCTAAAGAAGCTTTGTTATAATGCACTATTGCGACATTAATTGAGAATTTATATATAGCAAATACATGGTACCATACATGAAATTTGAAAACATCAAAGATGAACGGCCATCTCTCCATCTATGGTTGTCTCCCCTTATAATCTCTCACGTGGAAAATAATGCCGAAGAGCTTCAACCAGTTCGTTCACGGAGTTTCTTGATTGGACATTTTTTTAACCTGTTACAGCGGTGGTTGGTAGTAGAAGGGTGAGATCACTTGGAGGAGAATAATATTGAGAATTGTAGGAGATATACGAGGGACTCATTGCCATGACTACAACTGGAGCTCAGTACGCTTTAACAGCAGCCACAACAGCCAGCCATGGCGGGGGTAATTCGACGATTGTGAAGACGGAGAGCAAACCAAGTCTTGTTGTTGTCACAACTTCGAGTACAAGTGCTAGTGCTAGTGCTGCACAAACCCAAGGCACCAGGAGTCAACTCATTACTGTTGTAACTAGTCCCGATCCATCTAATCTATCCAATAGTAATAATCTCCAACCCATCCAGGTTCGTTGTAATTTCTTGCTAGAAGTTAATTTCTAAATCATCAATGCATTATTTCTCATAAAATTATTGTTTTTTTTTTCTCTTATATTAATGATTTTTCAATTTTTTAGAATTTTTACCATTGAAGTAGTCCATAACTATGGAAATCAATACCTCATATCTTTCCCTACTGCGTAAACAGCATGATGAAAGTTGAAAATCTACAAGAATTAAATAGTGATTCTCATCGTAATCATTGTATTGAATTACATTGGCAGCTGGTGGTGCAAGATCCTTTGGAAACAGCTGCAGATTCATCAAATGGCTCATCAGGTACAGCAGCTCACGTAACAGCACAAGTGGTGGTCAATACAACTCATTCGGGACAACATACTCTCATTGATTCGGACGTTGCTTCAACATCGACCGGGACAATCGTCAGTGGATCACCTCATTATATTACAGTAACAGGTGAAAATTGATCATCTTTATTTGGAATTTTTCTTGTGGCAATTGAATGCCATTGTTGGACAATTCATTATTATCATTTATTTTTATGATTATTTTAGTAAAAAAAAAAAATCTTAATAATATAAATGATGTTGTGTTATGTCCTAGTGTCTGGTGACGCCGAAGCTGTGGGGTCTGAATCGGCATCCCATCCAACTTATGTTCAATACGTCCAGGGAGATGGTTCCACTTATAATCTCGCTAATGGAGAGATGTAAGCAGCAGTTAATCTTTATAAAATGCAACATAGGTTGATCATATTAAAATGGAAGAATTAATTGATTAAATTTTCAGGACATATCCAGTGTACGCTGTCGGTGAGGCAGGAGCCATGTACACTCCGGCCTCGAGTCAGTACTACACATCAGCAACGACACCAGTCACTTATGCACAAGTAATTCCAACTCCTCCATAATAATAATAATAATAATAATGAATAATTAATAATGAATAAAAAAATGCTGTAATAAATGGAAAAAATAAATATTAATAATGATTTTTAATGAGGTTTCTGGACAGGGCTCTAACACAACGACGAACCAGCTCCTCTCCCAAGGCAACGGCACGTACCTTATACAGCAGAGCGTAGTCGATGGAGATCCAACAACCCATGCGTTAATATCAGCAGCAACAGCTCGAGCAAGTCCCCAGACAGAGAGTGCAGTAAGTAATGAAATTTTTTCTATTTCACCCATGCCCTCGATCTTCCATCTCTGGTTATGCTTTGTGAATGTCAAAAATTAACAGCATCGAACGAATATGAATGAAACAATTGGCTATTTTGACCAGGATGCTGTGGTTAGCGGGGGTGGAGGGGCATACCTAATCAGTGGTAATGCTGGAGGGACTGCTATCAACGTGGATGAGACTGCCACAGCGGCCAACATGACGCATGCCACTAGAGTCTCGCAAGCCACCGTAAGATCCTCTTCATATCCGTATCTTCCATCTTTTCTTCAATTAATCTACTTAGACTGTGTACTTTCTTTCCACTATTAACATTTATTTATCATATATCATTGGCTTGTCACATATCCAATTATTCGATTTATTATTATTATTATTATTATTAAATTATTAATTTTATTTACACATAATTATTATTCATTTTTTGAAATAATATTTCAAAGAAGTAAATCTATTTCTATAGGAAAATATTATAATTTCAGAGCACTCATTAAAAAAATTGAACGTTTGTAGCCGGCATTAATTGCTGCAGTGTCATTAAAGGCTGCGTGTAATTTATAATGAGATAAATTAATATGGAAAAAAATATGAAAATTTAGGTGCAATGGCTGCTGGAGAATTATGAAACAGCCGATGGTGTATCTCTGCCGCGATCCACCCTCTACAATCACTACCTACGCCACTGTTCGGAAAATAAATTGGATCCAGTAAATGCAGCTAGTTTTGGAAAATTGATTCGTTCAGTATTCTTAGGATTGAGAACACGACGTCTTGGCACACGGGGCAACTCCAAATACCATTACTATGGGATCCGAGTAAAGCCAAATTCACCGCTTATAATGTTGAACGAGGACGGTACATGCCGCCCGCAAGCACCCACTAACAATCAAACAAAACGCTTCAAGTTCTCCAATCAAAAGCAAGAGTCATCGTATGAAAATAATAGCCACGGAAGTGTCAACATAACATCGAACACAACAAGCCCTCAGTATCATCAGTACTTGGGTGAAGCGAGCGGTGCAATTCCTGAATTTCCAGAAATTGTTGTAAGTCACAGCTCCTCCCTTCCCGAGGATTGTACCCTTGAGGATATTGATACCTTCAGAAGTATCTACCGAGAGCACTGTGAGGCATTCCTCGATGCAGTGCTCAATTTCGAGTTTGGTACTGTTGAGAGCCTGTGGAGAGAGTTCTGGCGCAGCCAAGATAACAATAATGGTGACGAATGCGAGGAGGAAAAATATCTATCCAAGACAAAACTCTATCAGATGTCCAAGTGTCGCGAGGTCCAAGAGTTCATAAAAACTGTCGACTATACGTTCTACCAGAATTTAGTTGAAGTGCTGATGCCTGATGTATTGCGACCCATTCCCAGCACTCTGACCCAATCTATAAGGAACTTTGCCAAGGGCCTCGAGAGCTGGCTTACCACTGCTATGAATGACTGTCCCGAGGAAATGATGCAAATTAAATTAACAGCTGTATCTGCATTTGCTCAGACACTCAGGCGTTACACATCCCTTAATCATTTGGCTCAAGCTGCTAGAGCTGTCCTCCAGAATTCTAGTCAAATTAATCAGATGCTAGCCGATCTCAATCGAGTGGACTTTCATAATGTTCAGGAACAGGCCTCATGGGTTTGTCAGTGTGACTATACCGTTGTTCAGCGTTTAGAAGCTGATTTCAAAATGACATTGCAGCAACAAAATTCACTAGAACAGTGGGCAGTTTGGTTAAAGAGTGTTGTTACACAAGTACTCAAACCTTACGAAGGAAAAACAACATTCGCTAAGGCAGCACGACAATTTCTCCTCAAATGGTCATTCTATAGTTCAATGGTGATTCGTGACTTGACACTCAGGAGTGCTGCAAGCTTTGGATCATTTCATCTAATTCGATTACTCTACGATGAATACATGTTTTATTTAATTGAGCATCAAGTTGCTGTTGCAACTGGTACAACTCCAATTGCTGTTATGGGAGATAAGAATCAAACTTGTCAAATGCTCAACACCTTTGGCACAACTTCGAACGGAGGTAAGCCAAAAACATTTATCCATTAAGAGAAGCACAATACCAAATTAGTTGAGCTTTCAATTGAGTTTTCGAAGAATCTTGCTGAATCTACGAGAGTTAGCCAAATATTCACAAAAAAATATATTTTTGCCTATATTTCGCGTTGTGGACAATTCATCACAAGGTATTATAGCTATCGTGCTTCAGTTTTAAGATATTTGTCGAAAACTAAAGTATCATGATAAAATAAAAATAAACCTGGTCATCTTCAAAGAGTAAGAGAGAGAAAAACTACTCAATTTTACATGTTCAAGATGCGCCGAGCCCCGAAACACAAAAACGCATGAAAATGAGCTAACTGAGAGCGGATGGACTGTAGATTAGGTTAAAAAAATCAACAAACGAGAAAGTACATCTCTCTCAACGCAGAACAATTTAAAGTCATGCAGGCCTATCAAGTGTTGAATTTAGTTCAATATAAAATTATTATTTTTGATATAAATGAAGCGACAAAACAAACGAAGAGAATGTGAAATCGAATGGCAGACTACGTAAATGAGAATTTATCACCTATACGGGGCTCATCCCGCATTATCGCGCATAAAATTAATCAGTCGTAAATTTATGGGCTAAATACAGGTGATAAATTGTTTCTGGATTAGTCTGGTTAGTAATAATAGATGAATGGAAAAATTTCAACAGATATGTCTCTACAAAATAATAAGAAAAAAATTAGTAAATAAATGAATGATTATAAAAAAATTTGTACGGAAATTGATATTTCTGTCGATTTAAGTTAAAAGCCAGGTCTCATACAATATTTCCTCATTTACGAGGAATAATAACATTTTTGTGGGTATATTATAAAAAAAAAAAAAAACCAAAAAAAAATCATTCTATCCCCGTGTTCATTATTTATTATGAGTCAAGTCTGTTGGATTTTTTCACATCTAAATATCTAGTCAGTTTTCTTATTATTGAGATAAAAATTGTCCGAGTTATTTGAATCAGGCAAAGAACCAAAAATAAGGGGAGATTAAGCAATGTTGATATACGCAAGGTAATTAACGAAAAATTGAATAATATATAAAGAAATTGTCTTCATTGGAGTGATTTTTATTCACCCGTCCCTGCACAAATTGTGAATTGAAGTGTTGTTGACCAATGCACTTGCCCATTGATCTATTGCAATATGCAAATGGATTATTACGAATACAAGGGTCACGAATAGATTTAGATAGCTCATTAATTGCTGGTGTACGTATACTTAGTAATAGAATTAACAGAATTTATTGGCCAAGATTGATCGAGTAATTCAATGTTATTCAAGTAAAGTTTTTTTTTTTTTTTTTTTTTTAACACCAATTTCTGATATCTCGAGATCGGCTTAGTGAAATTGAATAATTTTGTTTTTGTTCATCTTGAAAATAATTTTGCTAGTTTTAACAATTGATTGAAAAGTGTCAAAATTGGACAGTCTATTCGAGAGATATTATGGATTGAGAAATGGCATTTTGCCTCGCGTACAATTAATTGATGCTTTTTGAGTTTCTCGAAATAGAATTCCTTCGAGTTTAATACTGTCCATAAGTAATAACAGAACAGAAGGATATTCTATGTTCGACAAACAAGCACTATAGGTATAACGCATGTGTTTGGTTAAATTTAGGGTATAATCAGTGTTTAGTGTATCAATTTCAATCGATACCGAGTGGTTCATTTATAGTTATCATGATCATCACGTATCATTGAATTTATTGAAAATGTTATGAACTCACTGAAATTTAAATTCTGCAGAAAATCCAATTGAAAAATATTCAATATAACATATGCAGAGAAGAAACTAATAGTTTATTATTTCACCATATAAATTATTTTATTTATTCCTGGGGATGAATTTTATCAGATATTTTCTGTATAAAATGTCTCAATAGAATAATTTATATGAATATGTGTGAAATTCTATTCACTTTTTTTTTTTCAATTAATCTTTTGTATTGAGCATTCCAATGAAAAATTCATTGAATTTCTAGAAAAATTTTTCATCAATACAGTTATATAATGTATCGAACAATAAACACTACAGGTGGTGGATCAAACGGAAGGAGCACGTAGAATAATCAGTGATATTACAGTGATTAAACAGTTCATTGTGCAATTGCTTACTGCTCTTTAGTTACAACGAATGAATATTGCTGTGGAGAACTTGAAAGAAGTGGCTCCGCATGAATTCTGAAATAATGAAAAGACTGATTATTGTGACCATGAAAAATCCAAAAACAAAATTCAGGATATTTATTTTATTTTATTTAACTTAAATCCTTAATTTTTAGTGTGAAATTAATTTTTCTTCAACTCCTATGGACGTTTGAATGTTTTAGAATTTCCATCAGACACTCGACTAGTCAGCTAATTAAGGCATAATGACAGACAGTCTCTCCTATAGGTAAATCAAAGTATCATAATAATTCGAATGAGTCAAGTAGACAGCACAGGGATATTTCCATAATTATAATGAGCTTATGAGTGTAAAGAAGATAAAGAACTATTGATACCTAAGTGTACCTAATACATATGACAATTGCGTATTTTACTAGTGAAACATAAAATTTTACCGATTAATTTGAGTACATTGGATATTTAATGAGAAGTATGTGCTCCACATTCCGTATGGAAAAAAAAATTCTCAAGTTATTTGTAATAATGATTTTCAATAGGCACATAGCTTCATCCTAAGCTATTCTCATGAATTAATGTCGCTTAAAATGCAATATTTAATAAACGAGAAACATTGGTGGAGTAAAAATGTTTATTCAAGGAGGAAGTGGAGTAGACGATATTTTGGACATCTTCATTAGTACAAATAAGAGAATTATCATGGGAATTTTAATTTTGTAAGCTCACTTATTGCTTTTCAATTGTCAATCTATATTTCTGAAATCCAATACTTGGTAGCAATAAAATTGATCCTTCCATTATCCTTGATTCCCGGAAACTGTTCAAACTTTCTGCCAACTCTCATTCTTCTCTACTACACAGAGTTTTTTATAAAAATTTCACGGACACCAATAAATTCAGAGCTGTTCGTTTAAATGAATCTAACCACAAATGGAATTACGATGAAAGAAAAAATGACCTTAATTCATGAGAAAAGTCTCATTGTGATGATGTAGCGATGATTTCCATGATTGAATACAATAAAAATTCAATTCCTCAACTCATAATGCATCGTTTTAGCCTTCCAAGAAGAAGAAATAATTTAAAAACAACAACACTAATGAGAACAACAATGACTCTATGTTGATTAAAAATCCACTTGATCAGCTAATTGAATGAATAAGATCAGATATACTTAATAAAATTATCACTTTTACAGTGTACAGCGTACAGCGTAGGAAAGAATAAGGAATATTTTAATACAGTTTAATAAGTGGTCGGATTGAGTAATAGAATTATTATCCACTTGCATAGAATTATTTTTATCAAACACAAAACCAAATGTGCAGCTCAAAATTTAGCCATCAGTGGCATATTGAAATGCTGAGAAGTAAATAAATAAAATTGAATGTAATTTACACTTAATTCAAAACAAATGTAAGAAAAATGTTGTGAAACTCGTGTGAATGTGAGTATTGCAACATCATAAGATCGTATGTTAAACAAATATACGTTTACAAATGCAACACTTGAGTTTGATCAATTCTTCTTTGGATGCCCACGGACAATTGATGAAATGGATAATTGAAAGTAAATTAATCTCAAATCAATCACCGCGTCAGCAATGGCAAAAGTCATTATTTCAAAGTGAGAAAATAACATAAAATTCATGTAAAATCGAAATTACGATTTCTTCCAAACACGCCTGAAAATAATAGTTGTATTTAAGGGTTCGGCTCAGGATTATATTTAATAAACTCTTTCAAGTATATTCACGTATGAATATTTTATTACTACATCAATCCTCAAAGTTCTGAATTAAGTTTCTACCTCACTTATTAATTATATAACCAGTAATTTTCCTTTGAATATCCAGAGTTTCGTCACATCACTCCGATGACACATTATGCAAATATTTATTTTGTCAATTGCCCATTGAAATCACGGAAAGAGTCAATTGTGTGAAAATTTCAATGTTTTAAGAATTTATATCTGTGATTATTCTTCATAGATGAGAGAATGTGAGAAAAAAAAAAAAGTAAAAACTAAGTGGAGCTATATTACAACTGCATTTGTCAGTAAAGTGACGAAACAAAAGAAAAACTGTGATTGAGTGATGAAATAGAATTAATCGATCCATTCTTGTCTCGTGTGTATTATTTTTCGTCATCCAATTACGGCAAACATTTGTAATGAATGATAATTCCCTTACTCTCAACAAATATTGTATTCTCTGTATGTGGTTTGACTTTGAATGCTTTTACTCATTCACCCCAAAAATAATTGATGCAATGGAAAAAATTCGAAATTAATTTTCAACTCATATATACGAATTTAAGAATTCAACAAGATGGAAAATTTTTAATTGGACCTTTTGAGTAACTCTTTACTTTTTTACCTAAAAAAAAAAAAAAAAGTCATAGAAAAAAATTCACCATCTCCTTCAGATTTCAAAATATCCACGAAAAATTGATCCGAAACCTTTGAAATACGATAAATAAAGTGTTATATGTTTTTCCTAAATGTCTGAAGAGTTAATGAAAATATGGAAATTTTGGCGTGAAAATTTTGATAGGTTGCGTTTTGCTGTACAAAAAAACTCGATAGAAAACATTTTTCCTCCCTAATTGAAGAAAAAGCGAGCAGAGGTCGAAATAGTAGGATAGCCCATTTATTGGTCAGGCTTTTCAACTTTAATCTTTACTTCAATTTTCTGATTTGCCTCGTCATTGGTAATCTCATCATTCCCCTTGTCTTTAATTAGCTTGGTATCATTTCTGAAGCGATCATAACGCGAGTCCTCGTCGTCACTGGATTTGCCAGGCTCTGCTTCTCTGAGTATATCTCCTAGGTCCTTGTCCACATCGTCCCACAATTTATCCCCATCGCCATCGTCATCCTCGTCTTCGTTTGGTTGAGCCTCTGGTATTGGTACTGGTTCATCAGTATTATCTTTTTGTTGATTGACCTGGCAAATATCGTTCGAAATTTCAACTGTACTTGAGGTTATTTGCTCTTTAATTGGACTCTGCTGGCAATTAGGTGACTCTTTTGAAGGTTCTGCTGGTACTAGCACTTCTGCAGTTTTGTTGTTCACTGTGGAAGATGTTTGCAAATGGATACGCTCTGCCTGACGGCGAAGAGCCTTATCGTCATTATCCCTGACGTATCGTTTTAGATGACTTCTAGTTGAACAATGCAGAGCTACAGCCCTCTCGGAATTCTCATTTCGAGGCAGATAGACCTTGCACAGCTCGCAAAATTGAACTTCAACTCGTTTTATGTACTCTGCCCCAACTTTGATCATTTGCTTTGTTTTCGCTTTCTTGGGCTCCACCTCTTGGCTCGTTTCATCCTTCTTTTTTTTCTCAGCTAATTCCTCGCCCTCTTCAGCTAGAAATTCCATATTCATTCCCTTATTTTATTGTACTAGTTGAGTCATATGTAGGTAATATATAAGCTATAAATCATGGATTAATTACCGTCAACATCACCCACAGAATCCAGTGTCATGAAGTTATCGAGGTTAACTTCCTTGTCGTCTTCTTCAGGGGCACTAGAGTCACCCTCAGCTTCACCATTTTCTTTTCTATCGTCAGAGTTTTTTCGCTGTAAAACAATTTGAAAATTAGCATTTTCTCCACGGTTAATGCCGTTTTTTTTTTCTCAGATCAATCATGACTGAAAAAATAGAAGAAACGTATATAATGACTCACTAATTGTGCTTTAATGTGATCGAGAGAGGCTACATGCGTCTCATAAAGCATGGGAGATCGCAGCTGTATCCGGCATATCCTACAGAAAGGGGTAAGGAATCTCTTCATCTGTCTATGGGAATCAGAGAGATGATGAATTGCTTTTAAAGAGCGATAATTGAGCTTGCAAATTTGACAGAACATAGTGCGTGATGGGAGGGTGCCTCGCTCTTCATCCTTCTCCTCGAGCCTCCGTTGCTCCTGCCTCTGGACAACACGCATTCTAGCTATATTGGCCTTGTGACGTGCAGCAATTCGTCTCATTGCGGTATTGTGACGCCCTGAGTACAAGTGAAGGGAGTATTCCTTGAAGGTTGAGCTTCTGTGAGGGCAGTGAGGACACTGGAGCTTAGTGAAACGTTTTCCACGGGCCCGAGGTTCATCAGATTCCTCCTCCCCCTTGCCCTCCTGCACCTCCTCTTCCTCCACCTCCTCTTCGTCTTCCTCATTCTGCAATTTTTTCAATCAAATAGAATTATTATTTGAAGTAATAATTTTATAAATTTATTCATTTAGTCTCACCTCCTGCTTCACATCGTCATCGCCCCCCTCTTTCTCAGTGTCCTTCTCCACTTCCTGACCGGCATTACTCCTGCGCTCCACCTTCTCCTTTTTTTCCCTTGCCTTGGCCTCCTTTATCTTCTTTTCCTTGGGCTCCTCATCCTCTTCCTGCTCCATCTGCATCCGCAAAAGTTTAAACTATAAAGGCTACTCCATTTTATTTCCTCCAACAGAGATAAAATAAAAAAGACAAAAAAAGAAAAGAAAAAAAAAATTCAAACGATTTTCACCTTCTCCTCCTCATCCCAGACCTCTTCCTCAGCATTCTTCTCTTCATCATCCTCATCAGAAAATTCCGCATTAATGGCCTTGGCCAATTCTCTATCCTTGTCCTTCATGGTACCCCCTCCCTCCTTTTTACTCCCGGATATCCTAGACGGACCGCTGCTGAATGGCACAGCAATGTATATTGCATTCAAATAATTAATAATCCCTCCTCTCCTCATCACCCTCATCATAAATTCCCAAATCATCTAAAAATCTCGTACAACAATCAATGCAATTCCTGCAATATCTCAATATCTCGCACGTATGTCAACATGTGACGTGCATATCATCGAGTACCCAAAAAGCCTAGACAATAAGCAAAGTAGAAAAATCCTCCTCAATCCCTCCTCAATCCCTCCTCATTCCCTCCTCATTTACCCCTGCCTCTCGGCATTTTCTCCAACAAACATCGCAGCCAGTAGAAATTCACTCATCGTTCGACAAATTTTATTTTCTATTCACTCATCAAACTTAATCCTTAACATTTTTTAATGATTTTTAATGATTTTTTATTTTTTTCGTTTTTGGAAATGATATTAAATTACCTCCTACGCATTTTGGTGGTCATGCGAACTCGCTGAATGTAGTCACGTGAGCGTGATGTCAACAGCTTCCTCCGATAGTCGATTGCAGTTGTCAAATTACGTTTACGTGCCAATAAATCAGTACGTGAACGAAAATTATTACCTCTAGCACGTGTCGATGCACGACCACGATAATTGGTTTGTTGGGATACTCTACCACGATTTGTACTGACATAACGTTGATTTGGTGGTGGCATGTCACTGATACGAGGCGGTGGAGGGGCTGGATAACTCCTGGATGCTGACGTGTGACGTTCATCATTACGATGATAGGATCTATCACTCTGCCTTTTGTCGTCGTATACAGCTGAAGATGAGCGTTTTGTTTCGTAGGATGAGGCTGAGCCACCGTATGGGTATCTCTGCGAACTGCTACCTTCACCCTGCCAAATCAAATTCAATTTTCTCGGGCCCAACAATTTCTTTTTTATTTATTTATTTTTTGTTTTTGGTTTTTATTCGTTTGTTCTCTTATTTAGATAGATGATTTTTTTTATCATTGCAGTCCTCTCTTGACCCATTATGAACTTTCATTACCGCTTATTTAGGCGTAGTCCACCTTTCCCTCGTTTGCTAATTTTCATGCAAAGGATTTTGAGCTTGGAATTTTCACAATGGAAAAATAAAGGTTAGAACGTTGATTTCGTGGCTTTCGTTGAGTTTTGGGAAAGGTTTTTCGCGTATGTCATTATTTACTTTATATTTGCTCATCTTTTTGGTTGTTTTCACCAGTTTGGGGTGATTTATTCACCCTATCATTTAAAACCATTTATTATGGATACGCGATTTGAGCTGTTGGTTGATTCCTGATTATTTGTGGGGGTAGAAGAGACCTTTTGTCTGGCCATCGTATTTTAGATTGATTTTTGATATATGTGTTTCTAAGGTCAGCGATTTATTTGAGGCCTTGGTGCTCTGACGAGGAAAAAAGAATGGGCGCACTAGCTGCTGGCCTCGCGATGCTTGAAAGGAAAGTTTTAAATAACATGAGTTGGTATTTTTTTTGCTCAGCAATGGGGCATTTTCTGGAGTTTGGCCCACTGGTTTGTGGGCTGTGGGCATTTGTCAGTTTTTCAATTTTATTTTTTAAATATTTTCCAGTGGTTATTAGGAAAACTTACCTGGTAGGTGTCATTTCGGGCGCGCTTGCGACTGGCTTCACTGGAGGATCTGTGCTCATCTCGTGTTGAGTATGTCTGATCCTGTTTGTACCATTACAAATTGCACATCATCATCATTAATATTTTGGGCAGTCTATTAAAAATTACTAATTTGCTGAAATTTTAGATATTATTTACTCGTGGACGTTTATAGCTGTTGGAATGATCCCCCCGACCACCTCTGCTGCCATAACGGTCAGATCCACCGCTGGAATTATTGTACTTGCTGCGGGATTCATAACCACCGCCAGAGTACTTATTGAATCTGCTACCCCTTGACGATGAAAAGCCACCCCCCCGACTACCACCTCCGCCACTTCCACTTGCGTTTCCACTCCATTCGCCACCCCCTCGACCTCTGTAGGAGTTGCCACCACCACCGCCACCGCCACCGCCGCCACCGCCGCCACCGCCGCCGCCACCTCCACCTCCACCCCCGCGCGTGTTGAAACCCCTTCCCCGAGAGCTCATTTCAGATCTATAACTATGCAAAAGCAAATTATCTATATTGCACCCTCATTATTAATCCTCTTTATTCCTGAATTATTGTTGTATCAGAATAACAATTTGGACGCCAATTTAATAATGTATGTGCACTAGTTCAAGGATAACCTTTAAAATGTCAACTGACAACGAGCATAAAATTATTATTAAATCTCTTCAATCCTAAATAAAATGTGTCACCCCATTTACATCACCTCTCTCCTCGTGCAAAAACTCATTGATTCCTGATAATTGTGGAGAATGCACTTTTGGGGATGAGAAAATCATCATGACCTCGTAAAATCAATAGCCCCACACGCGCCCATCTTAAGTAGCATCGAAAAACAACTCTGATAAATAAATTTATCAAATAATAAACTCACGTGCGATTGTAAGTATCTCCAGCTCGCTGATTATTTACCGAATTGTTGATGAATCAATAACACTTGGTTGGCAAAAACTTGATATATTTTATTGAAAAATAAAAATAAACTCGTTGGTGGAAAAGGAAAATGTCGCCAGTCGTTCAATTCACCAGGCGAAATGTCGCAGCCGCGGAGCGTTGACTTTAGCTTTGGCGTCTCCTCTCCCGGTATGTCTGCCTTCGTCTCACCGTGTCCCTACTGGTTACATTCTCAACTGAGGAGCAAGAGAACACATTTTACCCTGAACCGGAAGTGAATTATGAGGAATCAGGTAATGAACCAATTCAAATTTGAAGCCATCCATTTGTCGGCTCAGTGAAAAACATTTTCATTTTTCATGATATCATCGAATTGTTGAGGATGAAAGATTGAATATGAATAACTCCGAAATATACATATCTAGCAGATAAGTGTATAGCACCTCCAGATGGAGATATCATAGTATATTTATATGAGAAGATGATTAATGAATAACTATGGAAACATCAATCATCATTCTCATAAAACATTTGCAAATGGATTTGAAAACGGGAATTTCATCAACGTCGGGGCGGTGGCAGTTTACTAATATACAGTTTTTACATATTTATTCATACGGCTTCGTGTTCAATAAGGAGGGGAATAAAACTTCTTTCAAGACTCATAGGGAAATCAGAGAGCACAGGGGCAGTATCGTAAAATATACAAAAACATACAAACCTAAAGCAACACTTTATTCATCTGCCCGGCAATGTTTTCTATTTACAATTCATCATCAATTTTCATTTCCTTCATCACTTGACATTTCAATTGAAATTAAAATATTCCATATAATTTTGCATCATCAGTTATATTAGCTGCGCTTTTTCCACCTCACTTAACAATATTAAACAGTCGTAAGAATAAGTTACAACGATCTTGCAATAACAATTATTAATCTTCTAAATTTAAAGCTAAACGATTGATTCTTTCCCATCCACTCGGGCCAAACCAATATTACAATTTTATTTCGATCTAAATGGCTATAATTGATTGCAATTTTTTTTTTATTTTATAGATTGTAATAATAATAATGAAAAAGTTGTGTGAATGAAAACGGTAGTGAAATATATTGCAGGATAGACTTTTTGGAAATCTATCTATCTTCAAAAGATGATACCACTGGGCTACAATTATAATTGTAATATCTGTAATAAATTGGTTAGCGTTGCCTGTTCTTACTCAATCTTTCCATTTGTCCGCCCTGGATATTTCATTCGTTTCAATTTCAAACAATATTTACAGTGGACAGAAAATTTCTAAGTTGAGCATAAGCTCTACTTGAAAAATTATTATTATTATTATTATTATTATTATTATTATTATTATTATTGTTATTATTATTATTATTATTATTATTATTACTGTTATACAGTTCTATGAATCAACTCAACGATGTAATAATTTGTTGGAGGAAAAAAATTAATAAAGTAAAGTGCAGCACTGCATCAAAATCATCATCATGGATATATCGCCAGTTGGTGAGTTAAAAAATATCCTAACCATCTTAACTATCATCAGTGTCGGATGATGACTGGATGGTCTCTGGACTACAATTTAAGATCACGGACATTGCAAGTGTTTTTATGCTAAAATATGGTCTACTATCAGTCAGTAAATTGTTGAGCTTCTCTATACCACCTTCAGCTTCGACAAGTGAACAGTATTTCGTTGGATAAACTTGAGTGAGATTTGCTAATGCCCACACAGCCCAGTGCTGGCACTGCGGTGTATGATAAACATCCAGAAGCCTTAACAAAGGTAAAAACGATCGGTAATTTATGTTACGTTGAGCTGCTAGATCCCACCGTTCGATCGCTTCTACCATCGCTTCTAGAACTTCCTCTCTCGTGGGTGCTTCAACAGTCCAAGCTGCTGCTCCATCCGATGCCATGTGGGCAAGAATACCCGTTGCATTGTATGACACCTCGATACCGTCACTATCGTACTTTAATAAATTAGCAAAAACTGATACATAATCTTGTTGCATTAGTTGGGGACGAAGACAGGCAACTTCAGCGACATTTCCAAGGAGCCCCATCATATTTCTCAGTAATTCTTCTTTTTGTGGATATTGCTAGTGGGGATAAAAGAAAAATAAATTAATCAGCAAAGTGTCAAGTGATGAAATGAGATAAGCCGAACTTACCCTAACGCATCTTAAAAAGAGATTCATCCCCGTCTCGTCGAGAAATCTCTGACAATTGATGGGTGTCTCATCCGTCATATTCCACATTGTAGACCACGCCACTTCCAGAACATCATCGAATATACTGCAGTCGACTCTGTACTGGACGAGCCTTAGCATTGTCCCGACACAACCAAGTCGCCCTAGGAGTCTCTTTTTCTTTCCCTCTACCTGGCAAGCTAGTGAATTCAAGAGATAAATTCCGATGCGTTGAACAAAACTCTCGGACTCTGCGTGTCTCGCTGAATACAGGAGGACCTTGACGAGAGCTTCATAGTTCCACATAACGTCCTGGGGTATTCGAAATTGACAGAGTGCCAAGCAACCGTTACGCATCATCGTCTCCTCATCTCTGTGGGCAATCATACCAGCGAGTAGTGTTCCAATTATTCGTCTCTTTATCTGTCCAACAAGCTCACTTTTTTCCTTTGTCTTTACGATGTAAAATAATGTTGCACTTCCTGAAATTTGTATATGCTTCTCAGCAATATGTTTCTCCATGGCCTCGAGTACGATGCATAGAGCCTGATCCATGCGTTCGCAGCTCTCATATCTGAAGACATGATAGAGATCGTTGAGCACTTTCTGCAATAATTCGGGCTTGTGATTCATGCTTACACGAGCAGCTATTAAAATCTGCTCATCGTTAGCATCCCCTGCTATCACTTTGGCGGGGATGTCGTGTCTCCTGCAGGCACCCTCCCGAGTCCCATAGAGACCCAAAAATTGTAGGGGATTGTTAACTCGACAGGCGAGCCCCTGAATATCGCACAGACCATATTCTACATTTTCATCATCCACTGAACGCTCTGCTACCCCTCGTCCTGCTAAATTTGTACCACCTATATCGAGGGACACTAAGTTTGGCAGACCGGACACTAGCTTCGACAGCACCTGATTAGGATTTTTGTAAGAACCCTGTTTGTTGTTTGATTGTGACAGATCTAGGTGTCTTAGTCCCTTGAGTTTTATAACATTCTCCACGAAAGCCTTAAAATCAATAATCCTCACGTTATAGAGACAAAGAGACACCAAATGGGGGACTACAGTGTGAAACTCCAAGCTCCCAATCTTGGTAGCATTTGATAAATCGAGATGGGTGAGATTGGTCAAACTTCCCAGAAGGAGTGTGTACTGTGCTGGAGCTATTTCCACGTGTTCAAACGCAAAGTGTTTGAGGTTTGGAGCGCGAAATACGTAGCCTCTTTTTACGTAGTCCAAAGCCGAATCTAAATAAATTGTCAAATCGACAAGTGCAAGTCTGGGACATCCCCTGAATGCCAGGCTCTGAAGATTCTTAGCGTTTGCATTGATGTCCTCAATACCGAGCTTGGAAATTAGTCCACAATCCTCAAAGGCAAGATGGGTGACCTGATGCTTGGTAATAGCTGCAATTGATGTGTCTGTGATAGCACTGTGGCAAATACTCACTCGCCTAAGTCTAGTTGCCACAACATCTTGGAATATATGAAAAAACCGATCATCCACCTCGATTTTATCATTTTTCTGAGCGAACTCAACGAGTTTATCGCATATTTCGCTGGGAAAAACCAGTCCCTTATTGAGGGTTCTGTAGCCCCTCCTGCCTCTGGTCGATATGATATCAAGATTATCGCAGATTGCTCTAAAACACAAATCGGCGAGGCTTTCGGGGCCAACGTACTGCTTCGAGCTGAATATCAAATCTAGATGCGCCATTATCTCCATAAAAATAATGAATTATCGATAACTGGGCGTCATCATCGCATCAAAAGACACTTTGGAGGTTAAAATTATTGGCTATTCCAAAAGCCCAGAGCTGTCAAATCCGTTAAAGGGCATCAACTGTGTGGCATTGTTTCTCACTCCATCATCACCATCCATCACAATACAAACATCAATTATTCCATTCTTTTTTGCTTTTGGCAATTGTCACTAAACGAGTTTGAGAGGTCCGTCACTTGATCCGTCACTTGATCCGTCACTTGACTATCGATATAATATATATAGTAACAATATTCACTCAATCATTCACCACCGTTCAACACAGCCAACAAGAATTTTTTTCTGTCTATCTCTATCTCTGTCTTTATTATTTTGGATGTGTGTTTTTTTTTTTTTCAGAATAGCTATATAGGGTGAAATGAAAAATGCTGCCAACAGAGCCAAAGAGGATTGACTAAAGTAGAGGCTCAGTTCTGGGGGTTTGAGTGACCCCAGCGGCATCGCAGTACTGCACCCCAAGAGAGGGAGGGCGCACAACATTTACATGTATACATGTACGGGATGCCTATACATACATACATCGCGTACAACCTCTTCTTCTCACAGTAGATAAAATAGGAATTATGAAAACTGAAAGTTGATGATTATTATTAGTATTATTATTACGGAACGATGATAGAACCATATGCATGTGGTAGTCGGCCGTCATCTGACAGCACCATCATCCTGTCAAAATACTCATAATCATCACTCTGAACAACGCAAATTAATATTCCTCAAAGATGTCCACTCGAGATCCCGATGATATATTAACTTACGGAGACGAGAACTTTGACTTTCTCTTCAAAATTGTTTTAATCGGTGACTGTGGTACGGGGAAAACGTGCGTTGTGCAGAGATTCAGAGGTGGTACATTTATCGAACGTCACGGAAACACTATTGGTGTAGATTTTTCAATGAAAACCGTGCTCATTGATGGAAAAAGAGTCAAGGTCAGTTAGGCATTTTTATTTTTCAATAACCAACGATAAAACTTGAATTCGCCACATATCATTTTACAGAAGTTGGCAAAAAAAACATGAAAATATAAATTACCTAATTATTATTATCGATAATTCCACATTGTGCGAAGATAAATTTGTCTAGATTACCATTTAGTATGTATTTTCTCAATTTAATACTGAAAATTTTTTTAATATTATTTTATCAATTTTTAGTTACAAATTTGGGATACCGCGGGTCAGGAACGCTTTCGAACAATTACGCAAAGTTATTATAGGTCAGCCAATGGCATAATCCTGGGTAAATATAATTTAAATCTTTCATTATTCCTCGGTTTAATTTTGATACTTCTGTTTTTTCATACTATTATTGGAATCATGGATTAACAATACTGATAGATAAGCCTTTGAGTGAATAACAATTGTTAAATGGGAAAGGTATTGAGGAAGGGTAAGTTGTGATGAATGATTGTTTAATAATAATTAAGTAAGATTAACCTGAGGAATTTTCAAATGAAAATGACCAGATGAATCTTCAAGTAATTATGTATGTATGTATCTCTCCAATGACAAACTTATTAGACAAATGCCAAAGAAATATCTTATGCGGAATTTTGTTGATTGAAAAAATTCTTTTACGCAAGATTTTCTCCTTATTTACTTCATTATAGAGATATTTACAAAATTTGTCATTTATGCATTTCTAGATTTTCCTCGATTATTTCAGTGAGAATTATCTTTTTAAAATATTATATTTTTAAGTTTATGATATTACCAAACGATCCACTTTCCTGAGTGTACAAAAATGGATTGAGGAGGTGCGGCGATACACATCTACCAGTGTTATGTTAATATTAGTAGGTGAGAGGTTAACCATTGAAGTATTTTAAATTTTTTTTAATTTCCATTATCAATTCTATTGTGTGAAAATTTGTACCTCATCTGGCTTCTTTTTCGTAGGGAATAAGTGTGACCTAGAAAGTCTAAGAGAGGTAGAACGGAGCGAAGCCGAAACCCTGTGTATATACATGCCAGAAGTATTACATGTCATTGAAACATCAGCCAAAGATAATATTAATGTAGACACAATATTCTTCATGATCGCATCAGAACTCAAAGTAATTAATCGGTTATTACTGCATTGATTTTTTTCCCGCATTATTATTAATCAGTGTGACATTGTAAAATTGAACAATTGCAGAAACGACATGAAAATCGTCAATTGGAATCGAAAGACCAGGAAGTTGTTAAACTTGGCGACAGCAAAGCTCTCTCCTCATGTTCCAGTTGTTCGTAGATTTGACCCCTACCACCAGTACATACTATTATATAAATTTGGAGCATTGAAAAACCTAATGTCTCACGTGTGTTCATAGAAATTACGCAAAGAGTTTAAAAATGAATGGCTAATACATTGAATTGAGGTCGCCATAAGCAAACCATGAATAAAACATACTCAGACCTGCCACTGTCAGGCGGAAAAAAGGAAAAATAGATTTTAAAAAAAATCTACATTGGTAAATGTAATAGGATCTATCCGATGAGCTCATTACAAGGGCAGTACTAGCGATACCAATTGATGAAAAATATTTTAAAGTACCTCTTGAAATTCCCATTGCACATAAATTTGAACATTGTATAGGAATTTTTATAGTTGTTTTTCCATATTTTTAACCTTCTCTTACATTTGCGATTTTGCAGATATTTTTTAATAATAAAAAAAAAAAAAAGATTAAATGAAGTGATCAATCAATGTTAACTAATGAATGAAAAATGGCTTGTGTATTATAAAAAAAAAAAAAAAGTAGGATGAAACTAAGAATAGTTTCCCTTTTTAATGAGGAAGAACAGAGTGGGAGAACAGTATATATTAGAGAAAATTTATTGAACATACTGCGGGTGATTGAATAAAACAAATGAATACTTGAGTAGTGAGAATTATCTTACAAAATCCCTTAACCTCCGATAGCTCTTATTAATTGATATAAAACAAATTCTAAACATGAAAATACTCTGTCACTCTCGTCGGCAGTTACTCGAGCACTACAGAATTTCTACTATTGTCGGATGCATTCACACCCACGTAGAAGGCACATCGCTGTATCGCTGTATATATATTAAACAAACGACAAGTCAAATATAAATGTTTCATGTCATTGGATTCATTGGATAAATTTGATTTTCTAATTGCCATATTGCTAATATTGTCAACTATAAATAAATTATATAAAAGTTTTCGTGAGACAATATGAGAGATGGAGATCATTGGTCAAACGGTACTCTCTGATAGGTTCTTCTGTGCATGTCGTCAACCCCAACCAAGTAGTAGCTGCCAGGGAACATTCCATCAATGCTTCCCTCTGGTTGATAGGGCACAGTGTGACAATTTTTCTCCCTGAGTTCCAGGATTCTGGTGTACTCTTCAGGTTCAACACACCGTCTGCCCTCGAGCTCACCTCTGACACCACTGAGGCCTTGAAGGATCCTCATAAGCCCCTCCTGGGCGTCCTTTCTGATACTGATGGAGTACATACTGGAGGCAAGACCGGAGCCATAGGAGAACACTGCTACCCGCATCCCCGCGAGCTCCTCCGGCCCCTTGCTGATCAGCAATGAGACCAGTCCAGAGTAAACACTTGGTGTGTACATGTTGCCAACTAAATTAGCTATGAATAAACTGGGCTTGGTTTTCTCCTCGAAGTCTCTTAGGCTTCTCTCCATGAAAGTCTTTTCGACGTGACGATCAAAGTACGTCTCCTCGGGGCAAAGACTGTGCAATTTCACGAGGGCTGGCAGCTTATCTGCAACCTCCTCTCTTCTCAGTCGAAGAAAATCCATGAAGGCCAGCCTGGCAAAGCTCTTCTGAACGAGTTTGCAATAGGGAGAGTGAAAGATGACGGCGTCAAAGTCGTTGAGGGTCACCTGGAGGCCAATTTTTGTGTGGTACTTGTGGCAATAATTTTGGTAACAGTGATCGAGTGCACTGAGGTAGCACTGAATTGAGAGTTTGCCATCAACGACGGGATACTCAGAGCGGAGATCGGGCTTGTAAAAGTCATAGGCGTGTCGCATGTAGGAGGTCCTGAGGCCACGATCGAAGACGAGTGGAGCGTCAGGACCGATGAGGATGGCGATAGCACCAGCACCACCGGTCGGTCTTGCGGACCCTTTGGCGTATACAGCATTGTCAGCGGCTACCACGAGTGCTAATCTACCGTCCCAAGCGCTGCTCTCTACCCACGATATGGCGTTAAAAAGGGCAGCTGTTCCCCCGTAGCAGGCATTACTTGTGTCGACACCCTCGACGTCGGTAACTCCCGCCGGTTCGAATAGTTGCATTAGAATAGACTTTACGGACTTGGACTTGTCGAGGATTGTCTCAGTACCCACTTCCAAATGACCAATCTCTTTCGGATGGAGGTTGTAATGCTCCAGGAGGCGATGGGTGACTGTCAGACACAGAGAGTTTACGTCCTCCCGATCGTTACAGAAGCCCATTCTCGACTGACCGAGGCCAATTGTGTATTTACCCGGGGATACCCCGTCGAACCTCTCTAGGGAGCTCTGCTCCACGTACTGCGACGGGAAGTACAACTCTAGGGCAATTATACCAACATTCTTTGGCCACATTTTTCCTCCACCTCGATTCGATTTCTACCCTGATATTTCACCGTACTCGATATCTTTTTTACCCTCTCTGTTGCTCTATTCGGGCTGATCCATATCGCACACCCTCAGCGAGGATTTTTCCATTAAATTCTGCAACAATTATGGAATTGCGAGGAAAACTTTAAAAAAAAAAAAAAAACATTCCTCACTACTGAAAATTTGTCTTGACATCACCTATTTTAATAAGGAAGTTCTAATATCGTTAATGATAATTCATCAAGGGATAATTGATGTAATTGGAATAATGAGAAATTGACAATTGATACAGATTTTATGAGGAGTGACTATCCCTTCTTCAATCTGTGGAATAACTTTCTCACTCGTGGGTATTTAGGTTAGAAGTGAAAGCTCGTGTCAGGTGAAAATCACGGTCACTAGGTTATCCAGTGTTACTCACCTCTTTTTCACGTCGACTTGGAATACCTATTGTTGAATAGCAGTTGGCGGTATAGTTTGGTTTCGTTTGTTGTTAACTGCTGGGTGGAGAATAGATAGGAGAATGACTGTGGTAAAATTTGACCAACTTGACTTGTCGAAGCAATATAACTAACCATGTGTAATAGGGACTGACCTCTGGCCGGGGCTGTCGGCCAGGATTTTCGGCTGCTGGGACTGTCGAGACTGTCGGGACTGGCAGAACTACCGGGACTCGGGAGCCCTAGAGCCGTGAAAGCCGTGAGACTCGTGAATACCGCCAGAGCTCCTATTAAGTATTATGCATGTACATACATACACAGAGCTACAAGTTGCACTCTCGACCCTCTCAACACATAGCCACTAGCACCTCATCAACAGTGAGATCAAGTGGGGGTGGGTGAAATTCAACAGCTCAATAATTCTATGTTTGTTCGGTATTTTGGCTTTGTTATGGAAGATAGTATTTCCAATAAAAGCGTTATCGGCATTAGGTGCCAATCGAAAATACAATGAATAACAAGAATTTCAAATGGAACACGTGGCGGACTTAAGTAGGTCATTGTGCCACAAGTGTACGTCATACGTACAGATCCCATCCTAATTTTTCCACTCTTCAAAATTATTCCAAAGGAATAAAAAATAAAAATAAGACCATAATTGCAGAGGAAAAATGAATTGTAATATTTGTATTTTACGTTTTTATAGACTTGATCAATTGATTACATTATTACGAGAATTCTCTTCTAATTTACCGCATCGGGACATCATTACACTTAATACATCTACTATTCATTAAGAATTGGCGGCAGCGTTTATTTATTCTGGCACGGCAAAATATAATCTAGGAATAATTGTCTCCAGGAAACCAATACAAATATGGTGAGTCAAAAAGTTTTTGAAAATTAAAAAATAACGAAATAGATATTTGAGTCCTTTTTTGACAATGTATTCCTTCATTCATACAAAACTTCAGTATTCAATTGCTCTTTTATCATTATCATATAATACTAATTCAGGACCTGTTGAACATCCTTGTGACACACCTTTTTCTCACTTATTGAGTGAATTTTATAGAAAAAATTATGGCATCTGCTGCAAACAGTTTATATAATTTCTGTAATAGTTCTATTATTTTTAACCTATTTGCCAATTCTCTTGAAGAATTGAGATTTCTTATAAATTGAGTTTATTTAACAGAATTTTTTTCACCAATATTGCATTAAAAACCGATAGACTCTGGACTCGTCTAGAGGAATTCTTTGCCTTGACTTTTCTTTGTTTTTTTTTTTCTTTTTTCACCTGAGCTTTTTCAATTATAAAGTAGAGTTTCAATAGAAATTTAATAAAATCCTTTGGTGAAAATTACGAATTTTATTCTATTAAATTCCTCCATATGCGTTTTTCTAGGAAATTCTTCCTTGCGTTGGTGTTAAACATTTCGCAGAGCAATTCAACGAATTTACATAACTTGTTAGTGATTTTTTAGTTCGTCCATTGTTTTCTGCTTTGTACTTTATAGCTACGAGTTTGATTATAATTATGTATGGACGACTCATTCAAGCGCTAAGGAACATTATAATTGTCTAATTTTGCGGAAATTATTGGGTAATAAAGACGTGTTGAATACTGTGCCAGTGTTGTCTGTCTCTTCATAACATAATTTCTTATTTTTTTTTTCTCTCTACGCCGTGTAATTTGGTAAAAAAAAAAAAAATTATTGCATTTTGCCGAGTTTCACTTTTTTTTTTCAAAGTGCCTCGAAGTAACTTTTTTGTTTGTCATTGTAAATTGAATCGATGTCGGGAGAAGCTATCACGAAAAAATGTTTCTCAAAAGTTCATTTAATTTTGCTGATTGTTGCAAAATTTCAAGGAATAAATTTTAAGCACACGTCTGCCTCAGTGATCTCATACTAAAAAAATTACCAAAACACGATAATATGATACTAGCAGTAATCCATTCTTACATTCACATGTACAATTAATATAAATAAAATAGTCACTGCTCCATCATAATTAATCAATGGCTCATTATTGGAAGAAGATTATGAATTGAGGGAAAGTAATAAACATATGGACAATAACTCAATATAATGTCTGATGCATTCCATGAGAATTAATTAATGTGATTGCTTGTTAATTTTATTACTATTTTTCTCTCTTTGTTTCTCTCCTCATCGTCAACTCCCTGTTCGACAGAATAAAAATGATAATGTTAAACTATTTTCTTCTCTCTAAAGGTAAGTCGTCATGTACAAAAATCATTTAAAAATTATTATATCAAATTGTTTTTTACACTCAATGATTACGTTTTTTTTTTCTTTTTGTTTTCTTTTGCCTTCATTCGTTATGCTGTAGATACTTATTATTAATGAATCGTTCTAGGAGAACAGCGGTTGCGGTGAGAGTCTTCTCTTCAATTATTTTTTCATTTCCTCACGGTGATTTAGAAGAGTCCCTTTTTCTTATTCTTTTTATCCTTGCCATCGACTGTCCTGGAAGGAGAAAATTGGATTTTTTAAAATTAAGGGGCCGGCGGGGAGGTAATTAGAAATTTATTTTCGTAATTCAGTGGTGAAATAGATAATTGTAACACAAAACTCCCACAATTCAATTCACTAAATTTTCGTTTCATTTGTTTCATTCTCGAATTTCCCGCGTGTCTACAAATTGAGTCAGTTCAGCCCCCCAATGTATAAGAAAATTACTTATGGAGATGCTTAAATTGGCTGATAAAGAAAGGTCTCCGACTCCGGTGGTAATCCACACCAAGGAAAAATTTTTCCCCATTTCACCTCTGAAGTGACGTCGACTTCCCCTGCATAACAATCTCCGTATTCATATTTTTGAATTACAATTCAATTTGGAAATTCTCATGCTGCAATGACTAAACCCAAAAATCGATATTCTTAATGAGAAATGGCAATTCATTAACGCAATAAATACGAATAGCAATGCATAATTAACAATTGAGAATGCATAATTTAGGGAGTTGAGGCGCAAAGGACGGTACAAATTCCATAATATCGATAAAAAAAGCCTCAGAAAATGTATAGGAAATTGAAAAAAATAACTAGATTCATTTTTGTCTAACTGGAGATGTCAAAAATAAAGTGGGGAAATGCATTTTTTTTTCAAGGAAAGATAGAGAATGATGTATGACTGACTCTTTTTTATAGTGCGAAGGAAGAGCAGCAAAATATTAATTGGATAAATTCCATTTTCTTTGGTAGATTTCAAGATTTTGGGCAGAATATGAGAACATGAGATTATTTTCAACCCGTCATTCTACTAGCCGAATTTAATTATACGTGGTCACTTGATCTTTCGTCCTAAGGCAAATTTTGGTTAGTGAACAATTTGTAAGAAAGCATTACGTTTATTTGCAAGTTTATAAAATGAGTATGACAATACAATTTTTATCGAATTATTCGACTATAAAGAGCTAGCATGATTCAATTTTATGAATACTCTATCAAGCTGTCTGAAAATTCAACTGGAGTTATCAATCATCGTTGATGATTACACCATTATCATTGAAGTGCTCATTTATTCGACAGCTTGAGGAGTTTACAAATGAATGCAATTGTTACGTTTTAATTGATCCAAAAGCTAAAATTAGTATTCAATTGCCAATTAATTTGGTGGTGAAGCGGCATCTCCGAATCCAAGAGAGATGGAGATTTTTTTTTATAGAAAAATTTTTGTATCTCTTGTTGCACTCTACAAAACAGAATCCTTAGAATATTTTATGATTTTTTTCAGATTTCCAAATATTTGTGTCAGAATCGAGCAAATAAAATTTATAATTAATCTCCATCTCTTCCCCAATTCATCGGTATATTCACACCCTAATTAAATGCAACTGTTTTGAGTCATGTTAGTGATATAAATGATGCCAAATAAGTCGCACCTTAACGGCTTAGTGATTCGATTATCGACCGACATAAAAAAAAATGTCAAAAATATTTTTCTCCAATTTCAATTTCTCAATTCACCTTCTTTTTGGACTTGTTACAGGTGTTCGCGGCTATAATGAATAAAATTAGGAGACATAAAGAAGATAATTAAGCAGAGCTTGTTAAGACTTTAATATCTTCGGAATGAATGATTCAAGGAAATGATTTGATTTTCATTCTGAAACATAAAAAAATCAAATCAACTTACATTTACTTTCCAAAAATGTTGTACTTATTTTTTTTTGTGAAAAAAAAAAAAAAATACCATCTCTTTAAATTTTCTCAAGAAATTCATACGAATTATACTGTTATGAAAATGAATACTGTTTCATAATTATGATTAATGCCTGGAATTATTGAAAAATCTCAACTACTTCTAACTCCAGTGTTTGCCTTCTTACGTATCACATGTGTTTTTCTACTCACCCAATGGCGAAAAATGTTTTTAAAAAATGAGTTAATTTCAGTGTATGATTGCGCCATTTTTTTTTATCTTTTTTCAAATAATTAAACACCTTCAATGCTTGAATAATGTTAGCTCAAAAGTTATATACCCTTTTTCGTACTAAATCTAACATGAGATTACAACAGATGATTGAATTAATGATCGGGATGTTGTATGACAAGTTGTATCTGTGGGGGGTTGTCTTGTGGTGATTTGAAACTGGCGTGACGACGAAGGAGACTCCCAAAGCCGCGTGATCCCTTCAATGTACCCCCTCCACCGCCGGATCCCTCGGAGGACATCGAGCAAGTCCTGGATAAATGGACACCGCGGTATTCGTATACAAAGCAAACATACATAGTAAGCAGAACATCAATTTTTTTAAGTCTGTGATCGTAATCATTTGTTGGGTACTACTCACTAACTGACTATTGGCCAGCGAATGTAGGATTTAACACTATAATTAGACGCAATATATTTCTTGAAGATGGACTGGGTAACGGTGGTTAAGAAGGGTTTGCATTAATAATGAGTTTAAGGAGTTTCGAGTGCTCTTAGAATAGTAGGTCTCCTCTCTCCACGCCAAAGACACCCGAACCATCAAACCCGCAAAAGAACATACACTGTCGCATGCATTGAAAATTCACAATAGAGACACTGAACGCCTATTAGTTATCTCAATAGTTGTTCATTAATAATAATCCAAATGATTGAGATGATAAAGAGATTAAAGATAACACGAAGCTTCTCATTGAAATCAAATAATGAAATTCACAGGGCACAACAGAACACACTCTTGTTCGGACAGAACCCAAAATGTAAAGATGGGATGATCATGGCACTATTTCAATTATAATGGTATGTACTCACTCTTTAGAGTTAGCTTCCAAGCTACGTCTGCGTAATTCATCAATACTGTGGCCGGTTTGCTGCTCCCAGACTTGTTTTTCAGCTTCGAATGCTCGCCTCTTTTCTTCGAGTTCTCTCAACTGCTGCTCCAGGGAAGCACGCATCTGTGCATGTCTTCTCTGTAACTACAACCGTAAATTTATCGAACAGATATAAAATATTTCATAGCCAAATTTTTTGTAATTTTCACGTTTATTTCACAGAGAGACAATTCCGTCTAGTTCACATACACTCTGTGGATATTTGACACAGTTCTTTTGCCATTTAGCTGATGTATAAATTTTTCATTGGTACTCCAAATTGTTTGAGAAATGCAATATATCATTGTTTATTTTTCTGTTGGATACCGTGGAAGAAAAAAATTTTACAATCAAGTACTCACGTCTGCCTCTGAATCTTTAAGTTTCTGCTTCTTCTCACGGACTTTCATCTCAAACACCTGCTCCATCTCTGTCTCCATTTTTTTCATTTTGTTGTCGTGTTCACGCTTTTCCTCTTCCAGTTGTGCCAGTGGATTCCTGAAATAAAATATTAAATCTTCGAGATGTGGGAAAATTCAATTGAAAATTTTGAATGTGAGGTGGTAGAACGTTACAAATTAAGGGACTCTTATGTGAAATAGGATAAGGTAGCAATTAATAAATACAAGAGATGACGTGAATGTTGAAAAAATCTTTACAACCTGGGAAAAATAAAACTCAATTCATGACGATCTTCCACTTCACAACTAATTTTTTTCCAAATACGTGATGGTTATGAGAATTAACAAGTTTTAATAAATTACAGCAGATATTTCATATTGACGCTTATCTCGGTGCTTTCTTTTTCAATGCTACTAGGGGCCGTCAGATAGAATCAGAAATTTTGCAATTATTAACATCGAGCAATGGGAGAAATTACGACTTGAATGGAAATTTTAATCTAACAATATTGATAAGACTTGTGCACACAAAACAGGAGATACATAATTCGCCGCCACGGAAAATATACAACTTACCAAACTGTCATGAAACTGTTCATCACTCCTGGTGGGCATAAACTAACCGAAAGAAATAAACAGTTAAAATGTTTGTTATGAGAATTGGTCATTACTAGACAGAATTCCATTCTCTAAGACTAGTTGTTGCTGCAATTCTTTTTAATCTGTAGTCGTTCTGTTTTTCTTTTAATTGTTTGTTGTTAAGTTTGCATGCACAAGCTTGTCCCCAAGTTTAGTCGGCTATTTCATGTACTCTCACGCTTTTTTATTCATACCATTTTCATTTTATGGAAAATCTTCATCGTATAATAGCGAACAGGACCAAGGAAAAATAACTTACTTGTTTGAAATTCTCGTGGGTTTGCCATCAACACCAAGTCCCGCGAGTGTGCGACATCGGAAATTTTCATAATGTACGTTATTCGTTACTTCCTTCAAGTCCTGCAGATGAGTCCGTATTACCATATTTCTCAGTGCTATGAAATCACAGTGCTCCAAATTTTCCACTATAACATCATAATAAATTTCTCAGAGAAAGAAAACATATTTGAAAATAAAGGCAATAAATATAAATAAAATAAACTTAAATTAAAATTAAAATATAGTCCAATGATAATTTCATTTAGACAAGTAATTGTTCTTCGTTTGCCAACTACAATCCGTGATATTGAATGAGCAGACACACAAGACGCCTACCTTCAGCAACGCCCCAAGGATACTTCCTTCCCCGAACCTTCTTCCCATCATGTTCCACAACTGTATTCGCCCCAACAACGGCAAATGGTACTCTGTCCCTCAGCACTTTGTGCAGCTTGTTCTCCTCCTCCTCCTCGATCTCAGGAAACTCATATATTTTTATTTTATGCTGGGCTATCTCGTTGAGTATCTAGGGAATTATGAGTTATGCAATAAAAACAATCAATCACATTAAAATAATAATAAAAAATTGTTTGGCAAAGAGGAAAATATCATTGTGACTCACTTGTTTCTTAAAGTGCCCACACTCGTCTGGAGTCATGGTGTCAGCTTTGGCTATGACTGGTATAATATTAACTTTGTCGTGCAACCGCTGCATAAATTCAACGTCGAGTGGTTTTAAACCATGACCAGTGGGTGAAACAAAGTACAAGCAACAATGTACTCGACTGTCTGGTATTTGTCGTCTCACTACTCGTGATTCTGCATTCAAGAATTCCTCGTACTTTGATTCTATGTATTCAATTACTGGCACCCAACTAAAATCATCAAGATAATCATTATTTTTATTTTTAGTCTATGGAGAATTATGGTTATATTTCTATTTACCAATTGCTGTTGTCCACAGCATCGCCAAATCCAGGTGTATCAACAATAGTCAAAGTAAGATTGACTCCATTCTCCTTTAAAATGACTTTGGTCGTTTCAACAGCGACCGTTTTCTTAACTCTCAGACTGGGTCCAGGGTACTCCGCGCTGTATATATCAGCCAGGAACATAGAATTGATAAGTGTGGATTTTCCCAAACCCGATTCCCCTGCAAAACAAAACAAAATGAAAAAAATATATTACAGGTACTTCAAGCGTTGCATCAAATCACAAAACGAGCAACGATGAAAGAATTTTAATGCCAAACATGTGGTCACCAAATGCAAGCACTTGAACTTGTCTATTTACGGGACACAACCATAAGCACATCTCAAGAGGGTATCGCTTGCTAATTTTAGACCTCGGTAAATGGAGCTCCATGATTTTTCATTGTCGTCCACTTTTGTACATTATATAAGCAAAAAAAATACATGGGAAACTACATGGGTTGGCAGATGACAATTAGTAACATTAGAATTTTTAGTTGAATTATATTTGAATTATACGGATAGATTATAGGTGCAACTGACCAACAACCATCAGCGTAAAATCGAATCCTTTCTTGACGGCCTTCCTATAAACTTGATTTGGCAAATTGGCAAAACCAACATAACCGTCAAGTTCTTTAGGCTTGGTAGGTATTGCTGGTCGTTGATGCAATTGTACACTACCCTCTTTGTTGCTATCATATCTGGATTCTCGTTTGTTGCTGTCCTCAGAGGCATCTGTCTGATTCAAGGTAACATTAGCCGGGGGTAATCGTGATTTTATGGGAGCTGTTGGGGGAACAGTTGCTGGGGATACTGTTGTCGATGTTGCTATCCCAGTTGCTGGTGGTTGAGGTGGAGGTACTGATGGCACAGATGGAGATGTTGTCAGTACGCCTGTTTCCGACTTGAAGAACAGCTCTCGCTTTGTTTGCATCTGCAATAGACAAGCCGGAGAATTTGTGTTAATTATTAATGTTAGCAGTGATTTAGGTTTAAGAAATAATCTAAGTATCCTCCAATTATTAGACACATAGCCCTCATGAACAGCAATGTCCGGAAAATCAATGGCGTTGTGTATTACCGACCTAAATTGCACTCTTAACTCCTTCAAGTCAACTGATGGATAGTTTCTCGAGAACATTGAAAATTTTGATAACTCGAGATAAATTTTTGAGACTTCACTTGAGCTTTCATGAGCTTACTCATGAAGATAAAACCACCAAGTTTCCATGATTAAATTTCAACAGTAGTTTCATTACATTGAAAATCGCATGCAATCTGATTACAGAGACCTTGAGGCAAAGCATTGTAAGCTCTTGAATTACAGTCCGCGGTATATCCTTGATGGATACCCTCTCACAGATATGTTTCTAATTTTGTACCTAGTACCCTCGACAATTTCAACGATACATCCCGCTAAGGCCATAAATTTACTTTATATCTTGAGTGTTTCAGCATTAGCACTGGACATAGCACATATCCCTGAATGTTACGTGAGTGGATGGACATTTTGTTGAGAATTTTTTAATACAAAATAGTGTCATCCGATGATTCTGTATAACATGAAAGCGTCACCACCGAGCGTAAAGCACCTTTTATGTAGTAGAAGGGAAGAAAAAGAGGAGAATAAAAGAGAAGATACAAGCCATGCCTCTGCACTTTATGCACTGAAATTTCGCAAGAGTTCATCAAAGGTCATTCAACAGGGATTGCGTAGAAAAATTTCCATTTTCCTGCGAATTTTTTCAATATCCAAATCTTTCTCTACACCTCATCGAATTCTCTGTATTTTAAATAATGTGCCCTTCGAAAATTATTGAAATTTTTTAAGGATAAAATAGTTTAAATGAAAGTATGCAAGATACTTGGATAGCCAACAACCCGAGAAAAAAATATGATGGCAAGTGGAGGAAATTTGGTAGGGGTGAACTCGCCCCCGCAGAGCCCCCCGTTGGCCATATGCTCTCCTAGTGATTCTCAACCCAGTCTTTTCACCAATCCACCAGGATCTACCCATATGAAATTACAATCAATTTCATTCAATATGATTTCATCAAATTTTCGATAGGTGCTTCAATCCAATACAATAATAAAGATGAATGTTGTAGCAATTATATCCAGGTGGCAACATGATTTGGCAAATTTCCTTACCGAATTTCCAGTATCCCCATTTTGTTTCTCTCCACCATCGAGTATCCTATGCCTGAGCGCGAGCCTGTCCAGACTAGCAAGTCTATAGCTACCCCCAATTTCCCGATCTCTTGTTAATCTTTCGGCATTGCCATTAGTTCCAGTGTTAAAACTTGACGTGTATTTGGGCAAAGTCGGTGGTGGCACTTGTCTTGGTTTATCGCGATTTATCGATGAATTGCTTGAGTACAAGAAGGACGCATTGTTAGGCAGAGTTCTCGTTGATGATGAAGAAGATGATAATAATGATGATGATGATGATGATGATGATAATGATGATGATGTGGTTGACGGAATTGTTGATGCGACACCAGTGGGTGATTTTATTCCGCCGTTAGTATGGGCCGCACCGTTGTGATTCTCCGTTGACATGTTTTATAGCTCACTTCCACTTTTCAATATTTTACCGGTGTCTTTCTCTCTTTTCTATCTTCAGCTAGTGTTTGTATTATTATATGATCTTTACACTTTAGTGGTCCATCGGCAGTGATTCACATCTGGATGACGTTCTTACATCATTTCTCCAATTGATGACAGAAAGTTTTGGCAGTAGAATATTAACATTAAATGGTCCATTTGTAAGCCGGGACTGACGATTTATCCTAATGACATCCACCCTTTAAACTGATCTTACAATTAAATAGTCACGATTGGGCCCAAATGAAACAACACCTTTTTAATGGTCAAAAATTTTAGACAGGTATATCAAGCAATTCAATCAGTCTGTTTGAACCTTCAACATTTAATAAAAATCAATCAATTTCCTATTTGCCCGACTCTCCCTTATAATCTCTCTACAATGTATTCAGAATGAGTTGATAATCAACTTGAGATTGAAAACACTGTAATGGTTCATTGAAGCTTATATTAAAAATATCTTTTTTCCCCATCTGTGAAAAAGAATGATTTATCCTAATGAAAGTACGTGAAAAACTACCTCCCCTTCAAAGAAAAATCACTCATCACCAGTCTACGAGCGTTATATCTGATAAAACGAATTCGCAACCCTTCGCAGTCTTAGCAAACCCTCCATAAATAATACACAAATTATCCACACTTATCACTGAGGGATAAAAAGAAACGACGGTCGAAGTTTTTGGTTAGTACAGCGAGGGGTGACTTCTATCTAACGTTGGGTGTTGTGGCGATGGGATGATTCACGTCACGTCACGTCATTCACGTTGAACCGGTCAAATTAGTCACAAAATCTTGCACTAGACTCATTGTTTCACGGTAAGGGGCGTTTTTTTTTTTCAAAATATATAAAAGACCTGAGCCATCACATGGTAGGCGAACTAGTCTTTCAACGAAGCAAGGAGGCACCGATGCAACGATACGAACGCGGCACACTCGACCTCTTCAAGCAAGAAAGCAAGCAAGCAAACAAGCAAGCAAACAAGCAAGCAACCAACCAACCATCCATCCATCCATCCAACCAACCAACCAACCAACCAAGCAACCAACCAACCAACCAACCAACCAACTAACGACTAACGACCACGCCTGACGCAGATGTCTCATCGAGTGGGGGGAAATGGAGAAAACACACACACATATACACGCACACACACACGCGGGCACAAGGGCACACGCGCGCGCGGGCACAGGGTTGGGAGGTGGTAGTTGATGCAGAAATCATTTGACAATGGAGAGGGAGAAAGAAAGAGTGAGTTGTGGAATTGAAAATATGCTCCGTGTGATGTTGCTACAGGGCAAGTGCTAGTCGAACCGGTTGCCATTCCATTTTCCCCCAAATTTGACACATCCTCTATTTAGCCTTTTCGTTATTGGTCAACCAATCGGTTTTTTTTTTTTAAATCATTTTTACGGGGCTGGGAATCAATGCTTACAGGGTGAATGTCCCAGTAGAGGGATGTCCAAACTCAGTGATTAAATTTTCCTTCCTAAAATGTTAAGAGAATGCTTATGCGAGTTGAGATTAAAGAGCACATAACGTATCCTCTAATCACTGCGTCGCCAATTAAGGAAACATTGACAACCAGAACGTTCAGGACACTTCCTACTACCTTATTTGCATACCAATGAATCAATTCAGTGTTTATCAGTCTTAAACGGCACTTTCTCGTAATTTTTTTAAAAATATTTTTAAACGCCATTGTAGATATTAACAATTACATTCGATCTTTTATTTTTTTTCTATTATTTTAATTATTCAACATTAAAAATAATAATTGTCTATTTAAAAGGAAAAAAATTCAATCTCGATAATCATAAGAAAAGTATTCTAATGATACAAGCAACTTTAACAATTGATATATATCTCTTTATTAATTAATTCACTCTACCTGAAGGTCGAGAACGCGATGACAATCATACTTTGCCAAAACGGATGGATTTAGTCTTCCTCGCTTATCTATACCCGACATGGTTGTCCTATTGTTTTTCTTCTTTCCGCACTACACTTATATCTACTAGTCTCATCAATTCAATGTTTACGGACTTATCACTATAATCACATATGGTCACTTATCCTTTTGAAAGTAACACACGAGTGAATACACGCGAATTTTTATTGACTCTATAAGTTCGTTGCCCGTATCGAATTCCGGAATGATTCTCAAATCGAGCTGTGTGTGATGTTGCATACATTCACATGTGTCACGCATACTGTGTGAGACTAACGGTCAATGGTAGTGCAGAATGCATCACAGAGAAATACATTTCCCTAAGGCAATGGGGAGGTACCTCAAAAATGAATGGTTTACTATTGAATTTTTCATAAAACATGAAAAATAATAATTCATCAACACTTATTAACATGTTCATTCAGAAGGATTTACTGTCTATCATTTCTTGCACAATCAAATTTATTTTTACCACTCGACTACGTTATTTATCAACGAATGACTTATTAAGGTGATTATCGCGCAGAAGAAACAATATTAAAGGAGATAAGGTAGGCAGAGGATACAATATGGCACTTTTTTGATTTTATCACAGTGGAAAATGGATTGACCATTATTAATTAATATGAAAAGGTAAAATATTGAAACTGATTGGTGAGAGAGTGAAGTTACGACTGTGTCATATAAACCGTCACTGGGCCAACATCTTTTTTCGTGTAATCATTTCCCTTATCACAACTTACCGCTGGTGGTGAGGATGACGATGGAAAGACATGACAAATATCAGTATCAGTAGAACAATGTGTTCGTGTTCGTGTTCGTGTGCAGTTGTGCAGCATCCGTTCAAGTGGGGAACATCCGGAAACATGAAATCATACAAGGGCGTAAAATTGAGAAACTATGTGTATAATAATAAAGTGTGTTTAGCACACATTCTCCACATTTGGTTAAATTAATTAATCGCCTGTAGCGGGAGGATAATTTTTTTTCTTTGATAATTTTTATACACTATAAAAAAATATGAAAAGTATTCAATATGAAAACTAATTATTTTACTTCGACAAATGTTTTCAATTCATCAAACTATTAGTCGATGATCCCACAACAATGGCCACTTGATATAAGCGTTTTGTACTCGACCCGATAACCTAAATTTAACATTCAAATTATTCTATCAATGCTCGTTACAAAAAATTTTGCCAACTCCTTTGAAAAATTCCCTTTATAATTTCTGTCTGTAATCCCTAAACGTTCAGAGTGAAAAGCGTGAGGTTAGGCTGTGCGGTATTGAGCCTAGGTGCCAGACATGGATGTCTGGTTGAGTGATTATCGACGCAAAAGTTTTCGTTGCAAAATGGACATTAGCCACTTGAAATAAACTGTGTGTTCTAACTCTCGAGCCTTAACGATGGTAAATAATTCTTAATACTCACCACTTCTCTGCATAATTTATCCACTTGCTTTATAAATCTTCGTCACACATCACTATCCAGTTGGGGAGGACATCTGTGGTAGGAAAAACCGCATGTACGAACACTTGAGATTTACGTATAATGAACACCAATTCACAGCAAACAGAACCAGATCGAGAGGATTCAGATTTTGGGATCGGGGATGACAACTATCGGATGGTATATGCTAATAAGGTCGATATGGATGTATGTATGTTGTGTGAATTTTTATATCCACCATCCACTGGGGGCCACCGGGGGATCCAAAGAGGATGGACTAAAGTAGTGGCTCAGTTCTGGGGGTTTGAGTGACCCCACCGTAGTAGTACTTCACCCCAAAAGAAAGAGGGCGCCCACATGCAATGCTGAAGTGTCTGCCCTTCGTAAGAAAAAAAATAAATTATTCATCACTCATTCACTCTTTGAGTTATTTTTTAATCATATGTATCTATATGATAACTAATTTGAAAATAGGTTCCCCATAGATATTCTCTCCAGACACAAGGAAAATATCAGCTTTTAGAATAAAAAAACAATAATCTGTAATGCTTACCGATTGGCATTATTCCGAAACAAATCAATATAAATACGTGTTTTCGTATTTTTTTAAATTTTTTTATTTTTCTTTGTATGAATCAGTTGTAAATTCATAGGTCCTGCAAAACAATGCATCATTGGAATGATGATTTTTTGAATTTTTTTCCCATTTTACTCCCACCCGCCAAAAATTTCATGTATTTCTAGTGGTATTTTGCGCGGCCCTCTAGCGAGCGCCCAGCACACCTTCAAAAACCCACTGTAAGAGTTCCACTGGATATATATATATGATTCGCATTTTCTCAATTTGTCAAAAATTGTAAACAATATTTTCAAAGCCAAGTGGCATGAAGTTATAAGCTGATCTGTTGAGATTCATTCATGATTATCTGTGTTTCCTTTTTCCTTTTCAAATTCTATTCGCATAGCGTGCAGACACCTCGAATAGCCACAAAATGTCTCAGGACGATGATGTTGGCTTCTTGTACAAAACCATGAGTGAGTTTTATTCCATTAATTGGTCATAACTTGTATTTTAACGAACGCCTGAGATTTGTTTAATATATTCATGTCTTTTTTTTTACAATGGCATTTATTTTCATTTTACTTTACGATGAGAAATAAATTTTTTTGAATGAATGAATCATAAGTATTTATGTAAATTAATAGTCTTCAATGGTGAATGAGTGTTGAAATGTTTTCCATCCATGGAATTTTAATTCTTTTCCTGTGTTTTTTTATTTATTTTTTTTTTTTTTTTGTAACTTTGAGTTGTAAAGTTTTGGAGAATTTTCATATTAAAAATTGAGCGTGATCCGGCACTGAATATTTCATGTTTTCTTCGTAACCTTATATCATGTTGGAAAATATTGTTTCTGTTGCTAAAAAATAAAGGATTTTCTTAAACTTTCGTTGGCTACAAAAAAGCTCGAATGAAAATTCCCATATCTCCTTTACATTGTAAGATATTTATGGAAAACGATTTCAGCTTTCCCTTTTGAAATGATTTTTTTATAATTTTTTTTGTATTATTTTCAGACGATCAATTTCTAAATAATAAAAAATAATTGACGTATAGGATAATAATATTTAATAGCTTCGTATTGCAATAGTTGATAAATCCAAGAGGAAAATTGTTTTTCTTAACTAAGGCGCTGGGGTACAGGGTTGAAATAAAAATTAATGAACTGGCTAGTGGAAATGTTCACATATGCACATGAATCTGCCTGAGTACGTCAAGTTTTCGCACTACATACACTAGCGTGACGTTAACATCAATCTCCCTTTTTTCAATTTTTAATATTTGGTTGATATTTTCTTAAGCCCATATTAATAATGGGCATTTGATGAATTTTAATTACACAATGGGCTCAAGTTCTCATTGATAAAATGAGCAATTCACGTGAGTGTTGTTCAATATTAACAGAAAAGTCATTAACCTCACTGATATGTAGCTCTGTGTAGAGTCAGTAGTTTTCATGAAGTTGAATTATTTTTCAGTTGAACGTGATCCAAAGAAACGTCGCGTGAAGCCAGTGGAGTCAGCTCAGCAGTCTCTTCTTGATTTTGACTTGGGGGAGAGTTCAGATGATAGTGATTTCAGGATTGAGGATCACTGTGAGGAGTCTGATGATGATTCTGTGGATTCAAATGATCCGGCCAAGGGTGAGAAATGCATTTTTCAGCGAAATGATTTTAATTTTTTGCCTAAAACTCATCCATGCACTGAATTTAACAGTAAATAATAATAAAGAGTGATAAAGTTATAAATATGTGGCTTCTAGATGAAGAGGAACCAGACTCAGACGATTCATCGAATTCTCTAACGGAGCCGTTGATCTCGACAAAACCGAAATCGGCAACGCTGGGTGACGTGATAGAACAGGCTCGCCACCAGTCAGAAAAATCTCTTCAGCTCGATGACAAGCTCGCAAAGATGCTCATCTGTTGCGGATGCCTAGGCGACAGAAGCGACGACATAAACGAAATAGTGGAGTGCGATGGTTGCGGAGTAACTGTCCATGAGGGTTGCTACGGTGTTTCAGATGTGGAGAGCTTCTCAAGCACGGACTCGTTGAGACAGTCGGCGCCCTGGTTTTGCGAGGCGTGTTCAGCGGGTGTTGAGGATCCCTCCTGCGAGCTGTGTCCCAACAAGGGAGGCATTTTTAAGGAGACTGATGTAGGAAAGTGGGTGCACCTTGTGTGCGCACTGTATGTTCCAGGTGTGGCCTTTGGGGAGGTTGATCGTCTCTCCAGTGTCACTCTCTTCGAGATGGCTTACAGTAAGTGGGGATCGAAAACGTGCTCTCTCTGCGAGGACTCTCGTTACGCTAGGACTGGTGTGTGTATCGAGTGTGACGCTGGCATGTGCCACACTTACTTTCACGTAACGTGCGCTCAACGAGAGGGACTCCTCTCAGAAGCACACAGCGAGGAAGTTGATCAGGCTGATCCATTCTACGCTCACTGTAAACTTCACTCGGACAAGAGCCTAGTTCGTAGGAGGAGGAGAAATTGGCTTGCACTGAGGTTAAGGTCTGATTACAGACAGCAGCTACTAAAACAGGCTGATCATCTCGATACCGAGGAGCAGAGGAGGATCCAGAGGAAGCTCGCAAAGCATCGTCATAGGTATCTCGCTAATAAGGCGGGCAAACCCTCGCCCTGGGTGCCCACTCAAAAAATGCCAAGGTTGCTGACAACATCAGCCTCAGCTTATCGTCAACTAGCCAAGAAGGCTGGGCTCATGGGCATTGACACTGCGGCTCTTGAGGCCCAGGAGGCACAGCTTGTCGCTCTAGTGGACGTCAGAAAGAAATGGCACATACCACCGGCCTTCAGTGTTGAATTTATTGGTTATTATCTCGATCGTAATATCCGCGTCACCACCATGAAGAGAAAACTTCAGCAGTTGCTGGATATTAATTCACAGCTGCTGAATGAGCAACAGAGGCTTGATAGAAAGTACGACGAGGTGATGAAAGATAATGAAGAACAGATTAGGGTCAATGTTACACTCAAAGAGAAAATTGAGCTTTATCACCAGATGCTGAGGGCTAGTGGTTACGTTAAGCCTTTGCCACTCATTGGAGATATTGTTAAACCCAGGATTCCACCTACTTTAGGTGCTGGACTCGGGGTTCCAACAGCTGCAGCTTTAAAAATGGGAGTGGGTTTCCCTTTGCCGGTGACTAAGGGCACTGAAGGGGCTCGGGAGGGTCGAGTTCTTAGCAGTCAGGCCCAGGAGCAGCACATTCAAAAACCTGAACTGACACTACGTCATCAGTGTGGAATATGCAGGAGATCTACTAATCAACATCTTCTCGCTAAGTGTGATACGTGCCATCTGCATTATCATCTGTCCTGCCTTAGTCCACCGCTGTCACGAATGCCCAAGAAGACGAAACTCATGGGGTGGCAATGCTCAGAATGTGATAAAGAATCTTCGGGATCCGACGTTGAGCGGGTGGACACATCAGCTCCTCGTAAACTTCGACACTGCAAAGACGAGGCAAATGTCGTCTCAACTTCACCACGAGAGATTCAAATGTCATCGATTCCCTCCACATCGGCTACTTCCACTATTCATTCTAGCTCAAGTGTTAATTCTACGCCAATGGACACACCTCCCCCCAAAGTAACCATTAAACCGATGATACCACAGGCCCTTGTCTCTGAGCCCATGCAAATTGACCAATCACCTTATGTGTCTCTACCAATTCCTGACAATGTTCGGATAGCTCCGAGGGAAGGTTCTCCCCAGTACATGGTAGCTTGTGCAGACGGCACTGAGGCGCCCGTTTCTCAAAGAAGCGGCAAGAAGAGGAGGAGGGAGAAGCACAAACGATATACTCCAGATCCAATTACTGGGATCAAACAGCGAAAACGTAAACACAAAAGGAAGAGCGTTGACATCGAGAATCCTGACAATCAGGGACAACCCGAGATCCATCGCAGAATCACCATTAAGGTTATATATCAAATAATTACTTCAAGTTCGTTACTTACTATATTATACTGTAAATTTTGATATCGAGATGAAAAAAAAAACAATGCGGTATTGGTTGGTTGATAGAAAAGTAATTATTTTATGTACAGATAAAGCCTATTCCACGCCCGGACGGTGAAAAATTCTCTGAGTCAAGCCCCCAGATGTTTGTTGCTACGTCCACAAGCACTGAAATGGACCCTCCATCCATTCATGTTTTCCCAACTCGAGCTGCATTATCACCAGGAGTAGTATCACCATCGTCACCGACATTACCATTACCATTGCCAGCAGCAGCAGCAGCAGCAGCAGCAGCAGCAGCAGCAGCAGCAGCAGCAGCAGCAGCGGTAGCAGCAGCGGCAGCATCATCACCACCACCACCCCCACCACCACCACCACC